AAAAGCAGCTTAGGAGAGGAAAGGGTGTGTTTCAGCTCACGGGTTACCATCCAACACTGAGAGAAGGAAGGGCAGGAACTGGAAGCAGAACCCATGGAGGAATGCTGCTTGCTGGCTTGCTTGCATGCTCTTAACTTTGCTTTCTTATACAGGCCTGGACCATCTGCCCAGGGAATGGTGTCACCCACAATGGGCTGGACCCCTCTGCACCAACTAGTAATTAAGAAAACCACAGGCAAATCTGCTTTGGGCGACCCTTCAGTTGGGACTCCCTTCTCAGGTGATTCTAGGCTGTGTTGAGTTGACAGGTAAAGTTAACTAGGATATCTAAGTTGAGAGCTGAAGGAGAGGCAGTAACAAACAGCCTTGCTAGTTACAGGATAAGGAGTGGGAGATTAGAGGCCTATTTCAGGCAGAGGGTAGAGCCAGGCCAGCGGTGCAGGCCCATAATCCCAGCTACTCTGGAAGCTGAAGCAGGAGGATCAAAAGTTCAAGGCCAGCCTGGGCAACTAGTTGAGGGGCTGGAGAGATGACTTAGCTGGTAAAGTGATTAGCCAAGTTCAAACACTAGCATCCACATAAAAATAAAAAGCTTGGCGCACGCCTTTAATCCCAGCACTCGGGAGGCAGAGCCAGGTGGATCTCTGTGAGTTCGAGGCCACCCTGGGCTACCAAGTGAGTTCCAGGAGAGGCGCAAAGCTACACAGAGAAACCCTGTCTCAAAAAACCAAAAATAAATAAATAAATAAATAAATAATAAAAAATAAAATAAAAAATAAATAAATAAAAAGCTCTTTATTTATATGTTTTTGTTTTTTTGAGATAGGGTTGATGATATAGCCCAAGCTAGCCTCAAGCTCGCACCTTCTGTTGGGACTGAGTACTGAAGGGTCTCTACACAGCTAGCTCCCTCATGGACTCTTCACCTTTGCTGTGACTCAAATGCCTTTGACAGCCTAGTGAAGCTCATGGATCTCGTCTGGAAATCACTTCAATTTATTCTATTTATCTTATGGGTGTGAGTGTTCTGCCTGTGTGTCTGTAAGTGTACCATGTGCACATCTGATGCTGAAGGAGGTCAGAAGACAGAACTACATTCCCTGGACCTGGAGTTATAGACAGAGTGGGCTGCCATGGGGATGCTAGGAACCATTTCTGCAGTCCCAGAAAACGGCTTTTCTTTCTTTTTCTTTTTCTTTCTTTTTTTTTTTCTGGAGCTGAGGACTGAACCCAGGGCCTTGCGCTTGCTAGGCAAGCGCTCTACCACTGAGCTAAATTCCCAACCCCCTCTCTTTCTATCTTTTTTTTTTTTTTTTTTTGGTTTTTGAGACAGTTTCTGTTGTAGAATAATCTTTTTATGTACTGTGAAGATGTGTCTTTGCCAAGGTACCTTCTGATTGGTTTAATAAAGAGCTGAATGGCAAATAGCTAGGCAGGAAGAGCTTTTGCTGGACTTCTAGGCAGAGAGAGAGAGAGAGAGAGAGAGAGAGAGAGAGAGAGAGAGAGAGAGAAGAGGTGATGAATCTAGGCGTGGGAAAGATGATAGAGGACACAGAGAGGGAACAGGAGGTACAAGATGGAAGAGAGGTAAAAAGCCACAAGACAAAACGTAGATTAATATAAATGGGTTAATTTAAGTTATAAGAGCTAGTAGGACAAGCCTAAGCAATGGCCAAGCTTTCATAATTAATAAGTCTCTGTCATTTTTTGTGAGCTGACAGCTCAAACAAAAATCCATCTACAGGTTTCACTGTCTTGTGTAGCCCTGGATGTCCTGGAACTCACTCTGTAGAACAGTCTGGCCTCTGCCTCCTGAGTGCTGGGATTAAAGGCGTGTGCCACCACCACCTGGCAAGAACTGCTTTTTATGCATAAAATAAACTGTTGGAATGCAAAGGCAACTATGAATGTTGGAATACAAGTACCAAAATATTTTATTTTTTATTTTTAATTATGTGTGTATTTTTAATTAAGTGTATGTGTCCATGTATGTTTATGCACACCAGTGTGGATACCCACAGAATCCAGAAGAGGGTGCTAGATCTCTCAGAGCTGGAATTATAGGTGGTTTTGAGCCACCTGATGTGGATAGTGGGAACCAAACTTGAGTTCTCTGCAAGAGCAGTACACTCTCTTAACAACTGAACCTTGTCTTTTGTCCCTTAATATATTTTTAAATTGGGGGTGGAGAGATGGCTTGGTTGGCAAAGTGCCAGCATGAGGACCTCAGTTCAGATCCCCAGGATTCCCATAAAAGCTGGGCATCGTGGTACATGCCTGTAATTCCCAGGTGGGTAGGGTTGGAGACCAGATCCCTGAAGGTCCCTGGTCAGATTGTCTAGCCCAATCAACGCACTCTAGGTTTAGTGAGAGTCTCTGCCTCAAAAAATAAGGTTGAGATTAATAAAAAAAAAAAAAATCTGTTATCAACCCTTGGCCTACATGTGCACACAGATGAACACAAACACAATCAAAAAAGAATTCCATGCAAGGCTGGAGAGATGGCTCATTGGTTATGAGCACTGATTGCTTTTCCAGAGGACTGGGGTTTGATTTCCAACATCCACATGGTGACTCCCAATTGCCTATAACTCCAGTTCCAGGGGACCCAGTGTCCTCTTCAGGCATATATGGGTATCAAACACACATGAGGTGCACAGGCATGCATGCAGTCAAAACACCCATACACATAAAATACAATTTAAAAATCCACATACATACACATGCTTACAAAAATATTTTAAAATTTGTGGAATAGTAAATTATGTATTAAATTTTTTTTTTTTTGAGTCAGAGTCTTGTATAGCCCAGGCTGGCCTCAAACTGACTAAATAGTTGAGGATGACTTTGAACTGATTTTCGAAGTGCTGAGATTACAGACATGTGCCACCACATCCAGATCCTTTTCTATTAATGTACAATGTTACAAAAATCTAATGGCAGGTTTAAAAATGACCATAATTTTGAAGTAGTGAATACTGTCTTAAGCTGTTTTCTGTACAACAAAATTTGTTAAACCGGATAATTTATAAAGAATATAAATTTAGACCGGGGCGGTGGGAGGAACACACCTTTAATCCCAGCACTCGGGAGGCAGAAGCAGATGGATCTCAGTGAGTTCAAGGCCAGCCTGGTCTACAGAGCAAGATCCAGGACAGCCAGGACTGTTACACAGAGAAACCCTGTCTCGAACCCGCCCCTCCCCCCCCAAAAAAGAAAAGAGTGTTTTCAATGAGAGATTATGCAAATGAAGATGAAATCTGCCTCTCCCTCCCAATATGCTACTGAGTTGTCTGCAAGGCCCTGAAGGGATTTATGTCCTGCCAGGACAGAAAATGAACAGGAAGATGTGGCTGAAGAGAACTGACTAAGCGTGCTCAGGCTGTGGCAGGATCAACATTCCCAGGGAATTTGGACTGAAAATGGAGGAGGCAGGATACTGCCTTCCAACTCTCAGACTCTCGGTGCCACAAATCTCGCTGAAGCACCTGCCAGGTGCTGGGTTCTTGAACACTGTGCTGGGCAGATGCCTCACTGGGGACTGTTAAACCATCATTCACTAAGAACTTGTCACTACCACACAGGATGGTAGTTCTACATGATCACATGATCACAGGGTTCTGTAGAACATAACCCACATAAAATGCATGGTGCTTTTAGTTATGTATAAAAAAATGAAGGTTGTTAAACATGAATTCAATGAATTCTGATGATTTCACAAGAGGCAAATCTGTTCTTTTCTTGCTTCTTAATCCTCTTCTCTGGTTAAATCTAGAAGATTCAGCTTGTTGTCTTCTGGAAAGGTAGTCATGTTCCTGTTCAGTGGTTTCCAGATCTCACCAAGGTTTCAGATGTCATAGTCATCTTTTTAATGTATGCACTGGAAACCAAACCCGTAACCTGCTTGAGGACTGGAAGAGGTAGCCTTTGTAATGCAATATGGTACTTCACCGTCTGGAAAGGTATTACAAACCCTGAGATAGCCAGAGTAGTGGGATATCCTTGCCATCCTAGCATTTGGGCAGGATGATTTTGTATTTGAGGCCAGCCTGGACTACACGGTGAGACTGTCTCAAAACAACACCCCTGGAAGCAAGATGACAGTCGAAAGGAACACTTTGGAAAACACCCCAATAAGAGGCACACGTTGTGCACGCTTGGCTCTAGGTCTACCACCTTCAGAAGCCGACCTGTGGCAAGTGTGGCTACCCTGCCAAGTGCGAGAGAAAGTATAAATGGAGTGCCCAGGTTGAGAGACAAACACTCCCGGGACAGGGCACAAGAGGCACCTGAAAACTGTCTACCGCAGATTCAGACAAAGATTCTGTGAATGAGCATCTGTACATACTTAAGGGGGTAGCTGCTGCCGCATGCAGTTCATCTTGAGGATTTCAGTCAGTCATAAAATAAAGTTCTGGTTTCAAAAACTTAAAAACAACCACAACAATCCCCGAATAAGAGCCCTTTAAATAACTGAAACTTATCTCAGAGCAAGGTCACTTCATGTTCCAGATCATTACTGAACACGTGAGCTGTAGTTATATTTTCTGTGCTTTTTTTACTTTGTAAGAAATTAAATCCAGTACATTCTCTGATTCCTAGAAAACTTTTATTTGCCTTTTCTTCATCTGTGAGGTCATAACACTTCAAAAGCTGCTTTTCAAATATTTTCTTCCAATCCTAATACCGCAAAGAAAAACTCCTCCGTGCTGAGACTAACAGTGCTAGATAAAACCTAGTAGGGATTAAAACTCGGTGAAATATTCAATTATTCTCATCCTGTAAATTATAAATTCACGTTAGGTGGAAACCTTAAGAAAAAAAAGGTGCCTCCGACGAGGATGGGATTCGAACCCACGCGTGCAGAGCACAATGGATTAGCAGTCCATCGCCTTAACCACTCGGCCACCTCGTCCCAGAAGCTTAGTCCTTCCTGGCAGCTATAGGGAGTAGTAGTAGTGGGATGTGACGCAATATCATGGAGGTCGCCATTTTGTACGGAAGCCAACAGTCCGATTGTTGGCAAGAGCAGACAGTCGGAAGAAGATGGCCGTTCTCAGCACAAGAGCTCCATATTTGAGAGAGGTGAAGAAAATTCTGTAGAAGACGAGAAAAAGTTGAGGAAACTTAAGTTAGCGCAGAGGACAACAGAGAGGTTTAAAGACGTCTTAGGGGAGGGGCCGGCCTGAAGCCTCAGGGGCGGGGGCGTCGTGGCGTGCAGCAGTGCGCATGCGCACCACTCGGGCGGTTAGATTTGAATGCTTCTCAGAGACTGGCCGGACGTTGTGAAGTGACGTCCCCTTCCGAAGGAGCGCGCGGACCCCAAACAAGTGGAGCAGGCGGACTGTGGCGGGTAAGAGTCCTCCTTTTCCTTCTGGGCTCCCGAGAGGGCTTGGCTTTCGTCTGCGCGCGGACGGGCGGACGCGGGCTGGTGAGGGTCGCTCGGTCAGCCCGGCGGCCCCGGAAGGTCCGGGCCCCAGCGGTGAACGCGCGAGCCCCAGCGGCCCGCCCGCTCCCCCTCCGCCTGGACCGGCGCGTCTCGCTTCCCCTTTCCCGGCGCTGCTCCATCCCGACCCGGGGCCTCCCGCCGCTTCCTAGTGTGGGCGCGGCGCCCTGCCGGCCTCCGGGCTCGCCCCACCCGCCATCTTTCGTCAGGGCCCCGGGGTCTTGTCACCGCCTCTCTTCCTCCGAAGGTTCCCGGCCGCGGTGACTGGAAGGCAGGGAGGGAATCTTCAATTGTAGGTTCGTCTGAGCACAAGAATGGAGTTTCGGGTTTCTGCGGGTCCAACATTAATTAACTCGTTATCAGTGTGGCACAAATTGGATTATAAAACTCCCTTTCCATCATCGGGCTTGGATTTAAGCCCCCTTGAATGGGAAGAAAAATTTTGCCCACTGGAATTTTAAAAATGTATTAGACGTTGTGCTTTGAATAAGGATGGCCACCCTAGGATCCTATATTTGAATGTCTAGTCACCAGAAAGTGACACTATTGGAAAGGATTAGAAGAATTAGGAGGTGTGGCCTTGTTGTCGGAGGTGTGTCAGTGGGGATGGGCTTTCATGCCAAGCCTAGGCTCTCTGCTGCTGCCTGTGGAAGCTCTCAGCTACTCCTCCAGCACCGTGCCTACTGCCCTGTTCCCACCATGATGATAAGTCTCTGAAACTGTAAGTCAGCCCTCAGTTAATGCTTTCTTCTATAAGAGTTGCTGTGGTCATGGTGTCTCTTCACAGCAATAGATCAGTGACTAAGACAGAATAACAGAGATAAATAAAGGCTGTGGCTAAAAACCGAAGCAGCAGTTTATTCTAGACACCAAAGGTTGAAGTTAGTTTGCGCTTCAGTTAAATGGTTCAGTTGAGTTTCTTCTATGTCTTATAGTTCGTTATATTATGGTAAAATAGACTTCATGGAGATGGCATTTCATTGTTTGGCTAAATTGTTGAGGGATGATTTATAGATATGAAAGGAGACTATATTGTAAGATTTTGGTCATTAAAGGTTAGGTTCAAGCAATGTACTTCCTGACTGTGTGAATGGCTGGAAAGCTTTACAAGATGATAAACATATGTAAATGGAATAACAAATGTTGGAATGGTGATATACATGATGTGTTTGATGTTAAGAGAACAAGAGAAGATACTGACTCTAGATACTGGATGGGATGAGCCTTTCCAATAGAATTTTCTGTGATAATGGTAATATTTTATATGTGCACTGTCCAACATGGATCCATTAGCAACCATGTTTTGAGCATTTAAAGTGTAGTTATGGTTACAAAGAAATGCAGCTATGGTTACCAAAAAAAACCCCTGAATTTTAACTTGTTTTAATTTCAGTGTAGATAACTATTGTATTTGACAGCATAGATCTAGAATCTATCAATGAAGACTGTGGAAAATATTTACTATAGATTTTGGTTGTATAAGTTCAGGAGTGGACAAAGAGCCAGATAGTATTTTAGGCTTTGCTGGCTGTAGTTCACTGTGTTGTTCTCTGCCACATAATGTTTTGTTGTTGTTGTTGTTTATTTTCTTCAATTAAAAAAAATCCTCAAAGACTGTTTTGGCCTAGTGTGAATACTTTGCAGACTCCTGGATTATTTAGACAAGTGATTCTTAAACTTTTTGGTTCAATCAGTCCAAAAGAAATACTTAACAGTTCCATTTATTATATAACTAGGTTCAATAAACTTAATGACTATGTCTTAACAACTTAGTGGCCATTTGATAAATATAAGTTGAAGATAAAGGTAATATGCTTTTTTCTTAATTAGTCAAATTACTAATTAAATAAGTTTGTCTCTTGAACATTGCACCACTTTGATTAAAACAAACAAAAACTCATTAGCTTTTATTCATACCAGTTGCTAAAACTGTTCACAATGATATATTGTTATAATCGACAGTGATGTAGCTGGGTACTATTTTGAATTAGTCGTTCACACAGTACCTGATAGTTTTCAAGAATGGCTGTTTAAAAAACAAATAATATCCAAACACCTCTAAGTATAAGTATATCCCTAAATGCCAAATGCAGTTTTGAAACCAATCGATACTCAGTATGAATGTAATCAAAAAGCATTTTATAAGTAAGGTTATTGTAATGGTCTAAGAGCTTGGCTTGTTTCTGTTAAAGGGTTTCTGTTGTGGGTTATGTAATAAAATACACATTTAATAGAATTAGAGACTTCCAGTAAGCACTCCATACACACCCCCTTTTGGTTTTTCCAAGTTCTAGTAAGTTTTGAATCTCATTAGTTAAATGCTAAGTAGTCCACAAGCTGGAGAAGAATGATTCTCAAAGACTTAAACAACAGTGTTTAAGTTACCTTAGGTTAATATTTCCTAGTATTTTTTTTAAGTCTGTTTTAAGTACGGAATTTGAAACTATTCCTATAGAGCAATGGTTCTCAACCTTCCTAATGCTGCGACCCTTTAATACACTTCCTCATGTTATGGTGACCCGCCAACCATAAAATTATTTTCGTTGTATTTGGGTGAGGTGGCACACACCTTTAATTTCATCACTCAGGAGGCAGAGGCAGGTTTGAGGCAATCCTGGACTACAGAGCTAGTTCTAGGACAGCCAGGGTTACACAGGGAAACCCTGTCTCAAAAACCAAAAAAAAAAAAAAGTGTTTTATCGCTACTTCATAACTGTAATTTTGCTACTATTTTTTTTTTTTTTTTTTTGTTTTTCGAGACAGGGTTTCTCTGTGTAGCTTTGCGCCTCTCCTGGAACTCACTTGGTAGCCCAGGCTGGCCTCGAACTCACAGAGATCCGCCTGGCTCTGCCTCCTGAGTGCTGGGATTAAAGGCGTGCGCCACCACCGCCCGGCTGCATTGGTGTTTTTGCCTACATGTGTGTCTGTGTGATTGTGTTGGATCCACTGAAACTGGAGTTACAGACAGTTGTGTGCTGCCTTGTGGGTGCTGGGGATTGAATTCCAGCAAACCCTCTGGAAGAGCAGCAGTGCTTTCAACCACTGAACCATCTCTCCAGCGCCTGGATTCAGTTTTCTGAATCTAGTCTCCACAGACACTAGACACAAAGGTGGTGCACTGATAAAAATAAATGCAAACAAAACACTCATATACATTACATGTAATAAATATATATAATTAAAAATTACATATTTATATATTTAAAACCAGCCAAGCCAGTTGTATTTGTCCTTTACTTTAATCTCAGCACTCAGGAGGCAGAGGCAGAAAGAAAACCATGAGGTTGAGGCCAGCATGGTCCTAAGTGAGTTCCAGGCCAGGTAGGACTACATAGTGAGACTATCTTAAAAACAAAAAACAAATAAACAACAAAACCCAAACCCACATACTTATTTCAGGCTTAAAATGAATCACTGTTCCCTAAATTTAGCTTTTATTATATATAAACAATGTGTGAAATAAGATATTGTCTTTTAGGTTTCTTTTTGTCTTTATTGCTAAAAGTAAGAACATTTACTATTAGTAGTTCATGTATATGGTATTAATTTAATGTTAATGGTAGAAATGCTAATACTAGTTATCAAATTTTGTAGCTATTATTTTTAAACCCGACATGACACCTGGAAGTAAGTTTCTAGTTAATGCATTCAGTGAAAGCAACGTGTATGTATTTATTTATCTTGTGTATGTGTATCCATCACACCCATGACACATGTGGAGGTCAGAGGCTAACTTAGTGGGAGTCGGTTCTGGTTCTTTCCTTCTGTCATGTGGGTTACAGGGATTGATCTCAGGTAGCTATCTTAGTGACAAGTGCCTTTACATGCTGAGCTGCCTCAATGGCCCTTAACTTCTTATTTCATGTCCTTTCCAGGGTTAATACTCACTGAGTAGAATTCGAATTGAATAGTCAACTGTAGCATGTAAAATAGCAATACTGCTGGGTCTAGTAGTGCTTTCCTGTAATCAAGGTTACTTGGTAGACTGAGACAGGAGGATCAAAAGTTCAAGACAAGTCTTGGTACAGAGTGAGTTCAAGGCCACCTGGCAACTTAGAGAATGTGAGTTGTGTTGCCATCCTTTTTTCAAGGAAAATTGAAAATCTAATTATTGTATAAAATCTTGAGATTTTTTGCAATTTAGGCAATAAAATTAAAAAATTGAGTATCATGTATATGATAAAGGTTATGTGTGGTTGGCACATGCCTTTCATCCTAGTACCTGTAGCAATCTCCCTTGCCTCTATCTCCTGGGTGCTAGGATTACAGGATACCCAGCATAGTTTAATTTTCTTAAGATAAATTCACCATTTAAGATATCTAGTTGAGGGGCTGGGGATTTAGCTTAGTGGTAGAGCGCTTGCCTAGCACGCGCAAGGCCCTGGGTTCGATCCTCAGCTCAAAAAAAAAAAAAGATATCTAGTTGAACCAGCGGTGGTGGCACACACCTTTAATCCCAGCACTCCAGAGGCAGAGCCAGGCGGATCTCTATGAGTTCGAGGCCAGCCTGGTCTACAGAGTGAGATCCAGGACAGCCATAAAAAACTACACAGAGAAACCCTGTCCCGAAAAAAAATAAATAAATTAAAAAAAAAAAAAACCCAAACAAACCAAAAAAGATATCTAGTTGACTTCCGTTTAGGGATTGAATTATTATGCGGTTAAGTGTTATATATTATTTATTATGCAAACTAGACCAGATTTTTATTGGAAACTCCATATCATCACACTCAGAGTTAGTCTACAGGTTTTATCTTATTTACTTACTTATTTATTTATTTATTTATTTATATTTATTTATTTTTGTGAGACGTGTGGAGGGAGGAAGAATGGCTTATAGCCAAGGCTGGCCTGGAACTTGATATATATATATAGATAGATAGATAGATAGATAGATAGATAGATAGATAGATAGATAGATAGATATAGATAGATAGAGAGAGAGAGAGAGAGAGAGAGAGAGCGCGAGCGCAAGCGCGAGCACGTCACTTTGGGGGTGGGGACTGGGGAGATGGCTCAGTGGGTAAAGCATGTGCTTTGCAAGCATGAGGACCTGGGTTCAAATCCCCAGGACCCACATAAAGGCTGTATGTGCCAATAACCTAGCACTGGGTGATGGAGACAGACAGAGCCTGGAGCCCTATGGCCAGCCAACCTAGCCCAAATGACACCCGTCATCCTCCTCTGTATTATACAAGTACATACATACACACGCAACCACACACACATGAAAAGAATAAATAACAACAACAAAAAAGGTGTGTGTGGCAACTACTCCTGGAGTACTAGCACTGTGTTATAATTCTAGGCCAACCTGAGCAAAACTTTGAACCTAAAAAGAACCTGCCAGAAAGTCATGCTGGGAAGCCAGATGTAAAGTGGAGGCAAAGTCCCTGCCTTTTTCCCTGTGCCACAGCACAAAGCAAAAAAAAAAAAAGGGGGGGGGAGTATAACAGTACTTAAACTGTCCTACATCCCTTATGTTTTAGAACTCACAATGTGGTTTTTGCTTCTTATTTTTGGTATTTACAAAATAACTCTATAAAGTCTCACCCATGCTCCTAATCTCCCATAGATTATCATTTTTATCATCTTTCTTACTTGTTAATACTATGTATTTTTTACAGAAAAAAGTTGTCAAAAATGGATGGGATGTCTTCAGAGGCTAATGAAGAGAAGTAAGTTCATTCAGTGCTGCTCAAATATTTTCCATAAGAAAGATTCTTTTCAAACTAGTTAAGAACTATTAGTGACATCTGAAATTGTTTTCTATTTTGTTTCAAGTAAAAGAAGTCAGTGTTATAAAGTGACAGCCCTTCTGCCATATCTTTGTAAAAGTTCACTTAGAGTAAGAACTGAGGACTTGGCCGGCGGTGGTAGCACACGCCTTTAATCCCAGCACTCGGGAGGCAGAGGCAGGAGGATCTCTGTGAATTCGAGGCCAGCCTGGTCTACAAAGCGAGTTCCAGGAAAGGCACCAAGCTGCACAGAGAAACCCTGTCTCAAAAAACAAAACAAAAACAAAAAAAAAACCCCGAAACTGAGGACCTGAAGGACTAGCATAGGTACCACTTTTCATCTCATTAAGGCCTTAGGAGGTGAAATGATTTCTCCAAAATTAGCATCATAAACTAGTGATCTGTTTGCCACTTAAAAATAATGTTTTTTGAGATAATTTCATTATGAAGTTCTTGGTTGGCCTGAAACTTGACCAGGCTAACTTAGAATTCATAGAGAAGTACCACTTTCAGAGTACTAGGATTAAAGGCATGTGCCACCACACATGTCCCTATTTTTTTTTTTTATTTGTTTGTTTGTTCTTTTAAGACAGAGTTTCTCTTTATAGCCCTGACTGTCCTGGAACTTGCTCTGTATAGACCAGGGTGGCCTGGAACTCAGAGATCCGTCTGCCCCTGCCTCCCAAGTGCTGGGATTAAAAGCATTGGCCACAACTACCCAGCTCTTAGTTTTAATTTATACATGCTTAATTTTTCAGTTAATTGCCCAAATTGCAAAAGTCTCAAGATTTCATACAATAATTAGATTTTCAGTTTTTCTTTAAAAACCAAGTGTGGCACCAAAAACTCACATTCTTCCTTGGAACAGCTAGCTGGTAGAACATAATGCCTGTGATCTTTAGACTAGTTAAGAATTCTCTAGATCATTTGAGTCTCTAAACTGTCTTTTTTTTTTTTTTACACCTCACCGTTATCTATTTGGCTAGGAGGCATTTGGGAGTTTAAAAACCCAGTCAAAAAATCATACCATAGTACCCAGTTAGTATCTGGTGACTTAGAGATTGTTTATTTTAATAATTGTACCTCTGTAGATATGATAAATTATGTGGTACTGATTATGGGAGTTTTGTTTGTTTTTTGTTTTTTGAGACAGTTCTTGGCTGTCCTGGAACTTACTCTGTAGACCAGGCTAGCCTCAAACTAAGAGACCCTGCCTGCCTCTGCCTCCGAAGTGCTGGGATTAAAGGCCACCACCCAGCCAAGAGATAGTCTTATAGAACATGATTTTTTTTTTTGTTGTTGTTGTTTTTGTTTTGTTTTTTTTTTTTGAGACAGGGTTCTTCTGTACCAGCCCTGGCTGTCCTGGAACTTGCTTTGTAAGACCAGGCTGGCCTGGATTCACAGAGATACACCTATCTCTGCTGCTTCCAGGTGCTAGGATTAAAGGTGTGTACTACCACACTCAGTCATTGTTTGAATAGTTATTTAATCTAGGCATAAGAAGCTTCAGCATGCTAAACATATGCTTTACCACTAAACTACACTCCCAGCCTCTTCCTCTCACCCCCTACCCCTTTGGTACTGGAAGTTGAATTTAGGATTTCATGCATGCCAGACAAGCGTTCCACCACTAAGCTATAGCCCCAGACTTTTACATTTTGCTTTGAGACAGTGTCTCATAAAATTGCCCATACTGGCCTTGAACCTACTTGGTATCCAGGGCAGGTCCCAAATTTGTGATTCTTCTCTTCAGCTGACCACAGTGGGCCTTTAAAACATTGAATGCTTGGGGCTAAGAGCACTGACTACTCTTCCAGAGAACCAGGTTCAATTCTCAGCACCCACACAGCAGCTAACAACTGTCTATAACTCCAAGATCTGACACCCTCACACAGGTATGCAGGCAAACACCGATACACATAAAATTAAAAAAATTAAAAACAAAAAACTAAAAAAAAAACCATTAAATTCTTCTTCTTTTTTTTTTTTCTTTTTAGACAAGGTTTCTCTATGTAGCCCTGGCTGTCCTGGAACTTGCTTTGTGGACCAGGCTAGCCTCAAACTCACAGAGATCCTTCTGCCTCTGCCTTCTGAGTGCTGGAATTAAAGGTGTGTGTCCAGCTAAAGAAAGTTCCCCCCACCACCCAATTCTCTGTGCAACAGCCCTAGCTGCCCTGGAACTCATTTTGTAAACCAGGCTGGCTTCGAACTCACAGAGATAAAACATTGAAGTCTTATACTGTAACATATAAGGGATGAGGTATGAGGTGATGATAGCTTTTACAAATTCAGTTGTTAATCTACATATACATAATTTTCCCTTTTTTTTCTTTTTAGTGACAATATTCAGAAGCCTGTTAGAAGACGGCATTCCTCAGTAAGAAATATTTTTATTTAAATTAATGCTGTTATTTTTACTGAATACAAGTATAGTAATATTGATTGTGTCTTTACTTTGGCATCCCAACTAGCTTCTTATTGCTTTATGAATAAAGATTCAGATAGTTAATCTTGTTATACAGTTCAGTAAATATGCTAAAATTCATGTCTTTGCACTTTTAAATAATTTAATAAACTTTTATTAGCATATTTTACATCATTATGATATTTTCAAATGTGTTTAATACATTTTATCCTATGTAAATTATACTTCATTATTGTAAATGCTTAAAATGTATAATATTTTTCTCTTAAAAAATATATTTAACCTGGCATTCAAACTATTATAAGCCACAAGTTCACCCACATTGATTTACATATTAAATTCATGTTATATTATGAAACTCAAAAAATAAAACAGTATAGGGTGCTTATATGCAAAATTTACCCATGAGAAATTCTAGCATAATCCTGCTAAGATTTTCTTTCTTTTTTTCTATTTTGACTGCTTTTGAGTAGGTTTTGCTAACAGGCATAATTTATATGATTATCTCTTGATTGCTATGATATATCTAGCTCTCCTTATTTTCATGTTTAAGTTCTATGTGAAGAGTTTTATGTATTTCCTCAAGATAGGAAAACAAGACTTAGAACTGAATTGAGTTAGTGTGATTATCCTATTAGGGCATGCCCTCATTCCTGAACTGAACATTAGGAACAAAGAAATTTCAGACTGTTGGATGGTCTCATTAACCTTGAGTTAGTGTGGAGCTTTACCTAGACCACTTGAGGTGATTTTGTGCAAAAGAATTTGGAAGAATGGGCCAGGAGAATGCATATTAAATCAGCCACATAACACTGAACAATATGACTTTGAGGAATTTCAGGGATTTTATTGGAAATTTTAGTTTTCTACTCATATAACTTAAATTGACTAGGAGCTATGTTAGATTTTCATGACTAATTCTAATTATTGCCTCTAGATTTTGAAACCCCCAAGGAGTCCTCTTCAGGACCTCAAATGTGGAAATGAGACAGTTCAGGTAAGTCTCTAGTGCAGATGCTTTGGAATTTCAGTGATTTTGTTTTGTGGAGGGACTTGGTTTGTTGAGATTAGGTTTCATTTACATAGTCCAGAGTGACTCTGACCTTGTGGCAATTCTGCTTGTGCTTCCCAAGTGCTAGGATTATAGATATCTATCATCATGTCTGGCTTCAGTGACCATCATGAATTTTATTAGCTATGTGAAGAGACAATACCATAAATGATTCTCATTTAAATGTGTACAAGTAAGTATCTCATTGCTTCCATGTTACTGTTCAAATACTTTTGTGATGTTTTTCTGTTGGCTTAGCAGCTGCACATAAATCTATTGATATTTTAATTATCATCTGCCTCTCCATAGCCACTCAGCACCCCTCTGACTGCAGCTTGGTGGGGCTTCTGGTCCCATTGGCTTTGAATTAAGTCTCTATTGTTCTGTTTATCAGTGAGACTCAGAAGTCAAAGGATGGGGTGAAAACCTACTAGCTCAGAGAGGCTGTGTAGCAACTAGCTGACTTTGCTTTTTGGCTAGAGATACCACAAGAGACATGTCTCTTCCCTTGTCCCAGAACTGAGAGAGCTCAAACTCTAGTCCCCACCCTTTCCTTCCTGTGTGCCTTCTCTATCCAAATTGCTGGCTTCTCTATGGCCAATTCCCATTAATTAGTCATTGGCTCCGCCCCCAATTCAAGGTATAACTTTATTGGGCAGTCTTGGGAGTATCAGGGTGTGATCCGATCAAAATATGCCATAACACTTTTGGGCTTGAGCTGTAACTCAGTGGTGGAATGCTTACGCACTGTGCATGAGGCCCTGTGGCAGTATTAAAATCCAAATTCTTGAATAAGCTGGCATTTATATTTTTAAAACTCTTATTTGTTGATAATAATTTAACCCCTGCTGGGATTAAAATAGGGAATGATATTGATTTCTTACCTTAACACGGGAACTAGTATAAGCCTTTACATGTTGAGACATCTCTCTAGTCTACCTGTCTAGCTTTTTTTTTTTTTTTTGATTTTTTGAGACAGGGTTTCTCTGTGTAGCTTTGCGCCTCTCCTGGAATTCACTTGGTAGCCCAGGCTGGCCTTGAACTCACAGAGATCCGCCTGGCTCTGCCTCCCGAGTGCTGGGATTAAAGGCGTGCGCCACCACCGCCCGGCCTGTCTAGCTTTTTACATGGAGTTAGGGATTGGAAATCCAGTCCTCTCACTTATATGGCAAGCACTTTTTCTACTGTCTGTCATGCCTACTGTATCTGATTAGACCTTTGACAATATAGATTGCTTAATATAGATGGCATACTATTCTTGGTTGTTTTTAATTTATGTTTATATATGAATGCCTGCATATCAGTATGTATTCCTTGGTTATGTCTAGAGCCCACAGAATCCAGAAGAGATAGTCAGATCCCCTGGACCTAGAATTACAGCTAGTTGTGAACTGCCCAATTTGGGTGCTGGGAACCAAACCTAAATTCTTTTAAAGAGCTGTACATATTCTTAACTACTGAGCCATCTCTCCAGCCCCCTTAAAGAGATACATAGTAAGCTGGGTAGTGGTGGCCCAGGCTTTAATCCCAGCACTCTGGAATGGATATCTGAGTTTGAGGCCAATCTGGTCTACATAGCGAGTTCCATCTAGAACATCCAGGACTGCACAGAGAAACAAAAAAAACAAACAAACAAAAAAAGAGATAATACATCGTCACGGCAACACTACTCACAGTAGTCAAGAGGTAGGAAATCTAAATGTCTATCCATTTTGTTTAAATAAACAAAATGTGGTTTTCTATATAGTGCAATTCAGTATTAGAAGTCTGACATATACTACAACATGCAAGAATCTTGAAGCGCTAACTGAAAAAAAAATTCAAAAAGATAAGCTCTACTTGTTACCACTTATATGAGATATATAGTTAAATTGATAGAGACCAAAATAGAATTATGGTTGACAAGGATTTGGAGGGAGGATCTCAAAGTGTATTTTTTTGTTTGTTTTAATTTTGTGTGTCTTAGGTACCCATGAGTGCAAGTGCCCATAGAGGTCACAGAGGCATCAGATTCCCCACTTAACCAGCTAGAGTTGCAGGTGGTTGGGAACCTCCTAACATGGAAAATGAACTTTGATTCTCTGCAAGAGCTGTATGTGCTCTTAACCATTAAGCCTTCTTTCTAGTCCCAACAAGTACAGTTTGATTCTGTAAGATGAAGATCTAGAGAGTGGTAATACAGCAAGATGTTTTTTTTTTTTTTTTTTTTTTTTTTTTTTTTTTTTTTGGTTTTTCGAGACAGGGTTTCTCTGTGTAGCTTTGCGCCTTTTCCTGGAACTCACTTGGTAGCCCAGGCTGGCCTCGAACTCACAGAGATCCACCTGGCTCTGCCTCCCGAGTGCTGGGATTAAAGGCGTGCGCCACCACCGCCCGGCACAGCAAGATGTTTTTAATAACACTATTGAACTGTACACTTAAAAGTGTTAAGATGAGGGTGGTTAAGAGCACTTATTGCTCTTACAGAAGACCCAGACTCAGTTCCAGTTGGTGGCTTATACTACCTGTAACTTTAGTTCCAGAGGATCTGACACTCTCTTCTGACTTCCATGGCACCTATATGTATGTGATGCACATAAACTCACATGGACACAAATATACACATCAATTTTTAAAAAATGATAAAGAGCTGGGTGGTGACATATGCCTTTAATCCCAGCACTCAGGAGGCAAACACAGGTAGATCTCTAAGTTTGAGGTCAGCCTGGTCTACAGAGTAAGTTCCAGGACACATAAGACTACACAGAGAAAGCCTGTCTCAATAAAACAAAACGAAACAAAAAAAGGTAAAGATGATAAATTTAATTTGTTTTTTTTTTACCACTAACAAAAAAGTGTAAGTACTTGTCAAGGCAGAATGGTTAAGATGATAAATTATTTGTAGCTCAGCATGATGGCACAGGCCTGTAATTTAGCACTGGGAAGATGAAGTTTCAAGTTCACTCTTGGATGGGTTACATAGCAAATTTGAATGCAACCTGGGCTACAGAATACCATGTCTAAAATAACTATAACAGTTACAAAAGATAGTAACTTATATGTATTTTACTACAGTGAAAACGGTTTTTTAGATGGGTATGGTACTTCATGCCTTTAATCCCAGAACTCAGGCGGCAGAGGCAGGCTGATTTCTGAGTTCTAGGACAGCCTGGTCTACATAGAGAGTTCCAGGCTCATCATAGCTGCATAGTAAGACCTTGTATAAAAAAAACAAACAATAAGTTTGTTTTTAATTTTAGAAGAACATTGTAATAAGGTATAGTTGGCCACAGAGCTCCTGTTTTGTGCTCAGTCTTTCTTGTTATATATTGCTTGTGTCAGTATGCTTATTTTATACTTGATTTAGTCAAAAGGCCCAAAAGCAATAATAATATGCTTCTTTTAACTCTTACTGAAAATCATTCTCAAGCTAGGAGTGGTGGTATACACCTTTTATCCTAGCAGTCAGAAAGCTGCAGCACAGGGTCATGAATTTGAGATCAACATGGATTATATATTGAGACCTTGTCTCAAAACAAACAAAGCAACAATAAAAGAAAATCATATTCACATGAGGCCATAGGTTCATCCTTAGAACTGCCCTCCCCCCAAAAAAGTATATGGAAAATCTTGTTTATGTTCACTAAGTGCTTCTATATTGGGCTATTTGGAGGAATTTTATATCATTAATTCAAAATAGGACTGGATCCCTGCTTCTAATCGTATGAGACCTAATTCACAGTGATTTTTATTAAGAATTGTATCCTATATTCTTTTCTCTTAGGAATCTAATGCTCCAAGAACTAGAAAAAGCTCTCGCCGAGTCAGCTTTGCAGATACTATAAAGTAAGTTAAAAGGAAAGTTAAGGAAAATGTTACAGGTAATGCTTTTCTTTGTGTCAAATCAAATATGTTGGTGGTAATTTATTTGGGTAAACTTGTTTTGCATAAATAAACATTAAGAATAGTTATTTTGTGTGCATGAGTGTGTGTCATTTCAGGTATCTTCCTCTTCACCTTACTTTTTGAGACAGTGTCTCTCTCTGAACATAAAACTCTGGGACTTAGCTAGACTTGCTGACTAATGCGTCCCAGGGATCCTCCTCTCTCTACCTCGACAGTGGTGAGAGATTTATTATGTCTATGCTGGGAATCCAAACTCAAGTCCTCATGTTCATATAGCAAGCCCTTTACTGATTTATGGACTCAGCACCAGAGAATTATTTTATTTTGAAAAATGCCTTTTACTTAAAAATTTTTATTAGTGTTTGCATATATCATACATATATCATATGTATCTGTGAGTGCAAATTAATGGATGCCCTGGCATGTGTATAGAGGTCAGGGGATAACTTTTGGCAGTTTTCTCTTTCTACTGTGGGTTTTAGGGATTGAACTCAGGTTGTTAGCTTGGATATCAAGTACTTTTATCTACTGAGACATCTTGCTGGCACATTTTTTTTTTTATTCTTTAAAAAAATGTATTTATGGGGCTGGGAGATGGCTCAACAGTTACGAGCACTGGCTGCTCTTCCAGAGGAGCTGGGTTTGATTCCTAGCACTCACGTGGCAGCTCACAACCATCTGTAACTTCAGCTCTAGGGGATTGAGCTCTCTCTTGCCTTTGTGGGCATGGCATACATGTGCACAAATACCCATACACATAAAGTAAAAATTTTTAATGTTTTTCTTGTTATTAGCGGGGGTGTTGTGTACATAGGATGTGAGTGAATGTGTGGATACAATTTCTTTTTTCTCTGTGTAGCCCTGACTGTCCTGGAAGTCACTCTGTAGACCAGGCTCACTCTGTAGACCACCCAGCCAAAATTGTTATTTTAAAGGTTGTTATTCAGCATTATCTTTTTTTTTTTTTTTTTTCTGTTTTTGTTTTTGTTTTTCCAGACAGGGTTTCTCCGTGTAGTTTTGGTGCCTGTCCTGGATCTCGTTCTGTAGACCAGGCTGGCCTTGAACTCTCAGAGATCCTCCTAGCTCAGCCTCCTGAGTGCTGGGATTAAAAGCGTGCGCCACCGCTGCCCTGTAGATGTATCCAACCTTCTTATTAAATAATAAACACAGAACCAATGCAAAGAAGAAAGCCAAGAGGTCAGAGCTAAGAGCTAAAACCTTACCCTTCCTCCTGCGGTGGTCCTACCTCTCCGAACCAGAGCTACCCCTGTGTTAAAGTCTTTATATAGAGTTCCTGTCCTGCCTTCTCATTGGTTGTAAACTCAACCACATGACCGCCTCCTCACAGCCTGTCTGTATAGGCCTCCAGGTTTTCCATGATTGGTATTAAGATTAAAAGCATGTGTATCCAATAATGGCTGTATCCCTGAACACACAGAGACTTACCCAGCTCTGCCTACCAAGTGCTGGAATTACAAGCGTACGCTACCACTGCCCTGCTTTCCTATGGCTTGCTAATAGCTCTGACCCCCGGGCAACTTTATTTATTAACATACAAATAATATTTTAATACAAATAAATTATCACCATATTTCCCCTTTTCTATTTTAATAAAAAGGAAAAAAAAAGAAAAAGCTTATAACCAATATAAGAAAAACTATATACAAAAGTACAATAACTATATACAATATATACAAGTAATAAATACCTAAACAATGTCTAGTCCATTTGTATTTGACAAATTCAGAGAAAATAATTTCATTATCTATCCTATTTTGGTAAGTCCAAAATGTATCCTAATTAATCTTCAACTATAACTAACTAAACTTCAACTATAACTAACTAATCTTCAACTCCCTCAGAGACCCAAGAAGGAAATAATATTAGCTAACAAAAATAAAAACAGGAAGTGCACATAAGCAACTTCCAAAAAATTTGTGAGTTGACAGAAACAGACAGCTGTCTGGACAGTCACCTGAGGTTTCTCCGAAGTGCTGGGGCATCATCTTCAGCCTATAGGCTTAGCATATCTGACAGACTCATTTGTGAAGTAGGATGTACACAAGGTCAACAGTTCAACCTCACATTGAGTGAGAGTAGTCCATGTACCAGAAACACCTGAATTCCACTAGTGTCATGTCATGATTCAAGATTTTAAATTCTGGAAATTGTTGATGGTTTTTTAATTCAGCTGTCCATTCTTCTTGGCTGTGTATATATGGCTTCATCTCAGCATCCCATTCTTCTCCATATCCCTCCATCAAATGCCAGTCTACTATTGAGAGGCGTGAGCTTAGTTACTCTTCAAGAATAACTGTTTCAGCTGCTGTTCCATTGCACATCAGAGGCCATCGGCCCACTGCCTGTTCAGCTGCCTTCGAAGAAAAGGGCACTGTACCTTTTCCGAATTGCGAAGGCCACTTCAGGGATGGTGCCATATTGTCCTGGCCTCTGAAGATGCCTTTTGATAAAGCCATAACCACACTTGTTTTGGCAAGAATCAGTAATCCTTTGTTTTATGTCCTGTCTGTCCATTTTGTCCTGTTGATTCGAGGATACTTTGTTGTCCAGTGGCTAACTTTTGCCACAATGAAAGTTAACTCCATATGCAGTTTCTTCAATGCCCATATTTTCTCTGAAGTAGATTGGTACTGCCAGGAGCCTACATGTCTCATAGTCATAACAAAAAAGAAAAATTTTCTAAGTTATTAAAACATTTTAAATGCCATATTCTGTAGATCTCTGAAGGGTTTGAAGATAACCTGTCTATCTAAAATATATCTACTCAATCTTGAAAACATACCTAATATAACTACAAGTTCTATTATAATATCTAACTACTAACTTTCATTTCTTTATATCCTAATAGTTGGTAATAACATTCAAGGATCAGAAAATTGCATTACATTGTTAGATGAACGGTACAATTAGAAAAATATATATAACATTTTCTAACAATATCAATTTCAATATATATAATTTGTATACAATATAAAACAATCCAATCCAATGTAAAGTATTTTACAGCCAGCATTATCTTTATACGAGAAGCAGAATAATTCCTTTTTTTTTTTTTTTCCGAGACAGGGTTTCTCTGTGTAGCTTTGTGCCTTTCCTGGATCTCGTTCTGTAGACCAGGCTAGCCTCAAACTCACAAAGATCCGCCTGCCTCTGCCTCCCGAGTGCTGGGACTAAAGGCGTGCGCCACCACCGCCCAGCTGAGCAGAATAATTCTTTAAAAGCAATAACAAAACGGTGGTAACTGCTATTTAACATTGTATTAGAGGTTTTCACCAACAAAAGTAGAGGAAGAAATTTAAAAATTAGAATACTGGGTCTGGAGAGATAGCTCAGGAGTTGTGAGCACTCATTGTTCTTAGAGGACACAGGTTCAATTCCTAGCACACACATGGCAGCTCACAACTGTCTGCAACACCAGTTCATATGATCTGCACCCTCACTCAGACATACATGCAGGTAAAACACCAATGCATACAAAATAAAAATTTTTTAAAATGTTTTTTAAGGGGTTGGGGATTTAGCTCAGGGCCCTGGGTTCGGTCCTCAGCTCTGAAAAAAAAATGTTTTTTAAAAAATTAGAAATGTCGAGGCTGGAGTGATAGCTCCACAGTTAAGAGCACTGGTTGGTTGTCCTTCCAGAAGACTCAGGTCCCATGCCCAGCACCCATATGGCTGCTCATAATTGTGTATAGTTCCAGTTCTAGGAGATCTGATGTCCTCTTTTTGCCTCCATGAGTACCAGGCACACATGTGGTGTATGAAATACCTGCAGACAAAACATTCATACACCATAAAAAACTAGGTTTAAAAATTAGAAATATAGGATAAACTTATTACCTTTGTAGACTAATTGTACTGTTTCCCAGTTGTGTCCTAATTGTGTGGTTTTATTATTTTCTTCTGTATCATGAATTTCATTTTTGCTATCTTAACTTCCTTTGTTTCTAGTGTATTTCTTTGTGTTCTTTCATAGAAGTAATTGCTTTATGTTTTGAAATCCATAACAAACTATATATACAATTTTCAACTGCTTTGGTGTGTAGTTCTAGGTAATATTTTTTCTTTTTCTTTTCCTTTTTTGTTTTTTCAAGACAGGGTTTCTCTGTGTAATGTGGGAGACCAGCTCCCACATTTATTTACCCCAGGGACTCTTGAGGAATGAAGGATAAGAGACTTAGAGGGGAGAGGGGAGAGACACAGAGAGAAAACACAGGATAGCCTCGGGTGAGCCTGGATCCTTATCTGTGGGCCCAGAACTTTATTCCAAAGGGCTATTTCTAACAATGCCAAGGGGTGGGGCAAAGGACCTCCCCCTTGCTAGTTACAGCCAAGCGTAGACCTTTACAAACGCCTGGTACTCAGGCCAGTGATCAAATCATCCTCGTATGCAGTTCTGCTGGGTAAAGCCACTAGGAAGCCTATATGGGCTCCAACAGTGTAACAGCTCTTACTGTCCTGGAATTCCCTTTTGTAGACCAGACTGGCCTCGAACTCACATGATCTGCTTGCCTCTGCCTCAGGAGTACTGGGATTAAAGGTTGTCCATTGGGAATATTTATCTTTTTTTTTTTAATGAATTATGCTTTTCTCTTAATCTTACGGTTCCTTTTGTAGACTGTGCTTCTGTTTGTTTATTGTTGTTTTTTGTTTGTTTTTTGAGATAGGATCTTGTGTAGACTAGGCTGGCCTTGAACTCCTGTATTCCACCTTTTCTTTTCTTTTTCTTTTTTTTTGGTTTTTGGTTTTTCAAGACAGGGTTTCTCTGTGTAGCCCTGGCTCTCCTGGAACTCACTCTGTAGACTAGGCTAGCCTTGAACTCACAGAGATATGCCTGCCGCTGACTCTGAATATTGGGGTCAAAGGCATCCGCCACCACTGCCCAGCTCTAATACTGACTTCCAGTGTGAGATACCATATATAACTCTAGATTCTGTTTTTTTTCATTCAACATTGAATGAATTGAAATGTTCTCAACTCAGCTATTTGTGAGAAATTCCTGTGGAGTAGAGGTTATTTCAAAAATAGCTCTTTTCTGTAAATGCCAAATTCTTAAAATTTTATTTTCTGTTTACCTTAGACTACCTCATATTAGCCTTTTGTGAAGTAACTAGATTAAACATTTTAGGAAGAGGCAATATTGTTTCATGTTTAGAAATCTTGGCAAAGTTCTTTGGTTTGATCAACGTTCTTTCTCATTCCATATTTATATTTCTCCAAACTTTTTAAAGTCCATATTTTTTTGTGGTTATTGGTGGTTTTTTATTGTTGTTGTTTGGGTTTTTTTTTTTTTTTTTTTTTTTTTTTTTTAAAGATGGTTTGCCCTGGCTTATTTTGAACTTACTTTTTATCTTTGGCAGACCTTGAGTACCAGCTACTTGGCACACAGCGATAGAAAAACTTACTTGAGACTAAGAGTTTAAGATTAATATAGACAAATCAGCAAGATCTCATTTCAAAAAGACAAAAACTAAACCCCCACAAGTTTTGGGGGATAGATTTGGAGGGGCAGTGGGAAATTCACAAAAAGCTACTTATATACAAACATCATTGTTCTTAGAGACCAAAGACAGGAATTAGTGTCAGCTCATTGGAGGTACTATATTGCTGGCTAAGTGCTATTGGAATATCATTTAAATAAAGTTTGAACAGTTTTGTTCTTGAGTTTGGTTTTTTTTATGGTTTGAGGAAATACACAGGGTTTGTCATGGCTGCTGGGACCTGAGGTGGCTACTCTTCCAGAGGCCAGAAGAGGGTGCTGGACCCCCTGAATCTGGAGTATATTATTGCTTGGAGACTAGCCTGCTCTCGAACTGAGAGATTCTCTACCTCAGTTTCTGTTGTGCTGGGATTAAAGTTATATGCCACTACACCCGGACTCAGCCTGTTCTATATAGGGAGTTACAGGTTAGGCTAGTTAGAGCTACATAGTAAAAGCCCATCCCTAGATAGATAGATAGATAGATAGATAGATAGATAGATAGATAGATAGATAGATAGATAACTAAAATAAAGCAATTCTTTGGTATACATATAATTAGAAAATTTTACCGTTTTTTTAGAGTGAAAAGCAAATTTGCACACTAACAAAAAGTACTTCTCAAATGAATAATAAAACTAGTAAAATTTTTAAAAAAGAAGCTTTTCAGTAGTCTTTATTTTTTTCACTTCTAGAGTATTCCAGACGGAGTCTCATATGAAAACAGAGAGAAATTCAGAAATTGCAGGTAAATATGTAATTGCAGTTCCTGTAATCTGTTTTGTTTACAATTTTTCTGTGGTTATGTACTTTTAACTTCACATCTGTCTGGGTGCACGCACTGAGAAAGAGAGAGAGAGAGAGAGAGAGAGAGAGAGAGAGAGAGAGAGAGAGAGAGAGAGAGAGAGAGTGTGTGTGTGTGTGTGTGTGTGTGTGTGTGTGTGTGTGTAACATGCATACATCATAAGATGTGTGGATGTCAAGAGACAGTCAAGATTCTGTTTTCTTTCCACCACATGGTCTCCTGGGGTTGAATTTGGGTCATGCTTGGCAGCAAATGCCTTCACCTGCTGAGTCATTTTGCCAGCCCTGTCTTACTATTCAAATAATGTATCCTAAGGGATAGGTAAGATGATTGTCATACCTGCATGATCTCTAGTACCCATTTCAAAGCCAAGTGTAGGCTATTGTGATGAAGTGTGCAGGAGCCAGGTGTGGTAGTACATACCTTGTATTAGTTACTTTTCTCTTGCTGTGATAAAGCACCATGACCAAGGCAGTTTATAGAAGAAATAGTTTATTTGGGGTTATGGTTCCAGAGGGATGAGTCTGTCATGGCAGGAAAGTGACAGGCATGGTAGCTGGAGTAGTGAGCTGAGAGCTTACATCTTGCACTTCAGACATGAAGTAGAGAGAAGAAACTGACAGCAGATGAGCCTCTTTTACACTTGGAAAGCCTGCCGCTAGAGACATACTTCCTCTAGCAGGCCACACTTCCTAAACCTATCAAACATTGCCACCAGCTAGGGTCCAAGTGTTCAAATGCCCAAGAATATGGAAAACATCAGTCATTCAAACTCTAATATGCCTTTAATTTTAGCACTGAGGAGGCTAAGACAGGAGGATTCCTGAAACTCATTGGCAAACCGCTCACCAAATCAGTGAGCTTCAGGTTAAGTGAAAGATACTGTTTCAAAAAATAAGGTGGAAAGTGATAGAGAACGTCACACAGCATTGACCCTTGGCTTACACATTCCTGCCCACACATGTGCATTGTATATGTGTGCACACCCACATAAACATCTATGTATAACACACACACAAAGTATATTCTTTGCCAAATGTGGGGGCTCACATCTGTAATCCCAGCATTCTTGGGCTGGGGCAGAAAGATAAGTTCAACACCAGCCTGAGCTATATATAGCAAATTGACCCTTCCAAAAAAAAAAAAAAAAAAAAATGAAGAAAAAAAGAAATGAAGTATATGTCTAGTCAGGGAGACAGAAAGGTTAAATAATAAGTTCTTTTTAAAATTTTGCTGTTAACATCCTTATATAGCTTTTCTAATACTTGATCAAGCATCTTTGAACAACTTTAATTTTTTTTCTTTTTGGTTTTTTTTCGAGACAGGGTTTCTCTGTGTAGCTTTGCGCCTCTCCTGGAACTCACTTGGTAGCCCAGGCTGGCCTCGAACTCACAGAGATCCTCCTGGCTCTGCCTCCCGAGTGCTGGGATTAAAGGCGTGCGCCACCACCGCCCGGCTAACTTTAATTTTTTATTTTATTTTTAGAGACAGAATCCAGAAAAAATGTGCTGACTCTACAGTAAGTAAGGGGCATGCACTGATTATGTTTAAATGGTTATTTATTCCTATTAAATGGAAGTTTAAATATTTTTATTTTAGCATCCTTTCCATTAGGAAACACTTAGCATTAATTCAAAATACAAACTGTAGAATTTAGTATATGTATTACTATATCTGAAAAATAAGCATATAGTTTTAGTAGTGATAACAAACTCCATTTTCATATATAAATTCTTAAATTCATCACCTAGTATAACTTTCATGTGTGGGAATTTAGTTCACCAATCTACTTATAAATGTTTTAAATGATGACTACGTAAGATTATTCACCAAAGCTTTGAAGATATGAAGGATCATGAAAATGGCATAAAGATCCTTTATGATGGCATAAAGGCTGATTAAATAAATTATAATTTTTCATGTAAGTGCTCAACTAGAACAACATGTACATATGTGTTTATATTTTTGCTTGTGTGTGCATATATTCAATACATGTTTATGCACCATGTGTATGCAGTGCCCACAGAGGCCAGAGAGGGCATCAGGTCCCCTGGAACTGGAGTTATAGACAGTTGTAAGCTGCCATGTGGGTACTGGGAATCGAACCCTGGTCCTCTGGAAGGTCCTGTTGACTGCTAAGCTGTGTCTCTACCCCACCTATTAAGATTCTAAAATTAAAGTTGTTTGAAGTGCATCAAATTAATAATAGCCATGGTTTTGAAGTAGTGAAGAACAAAACATGAAAAGTAAACAATTATTTTCTTCTTTGGATGATCCATTTCCCACAGTCAGTTATTTTGAGTGTTCTTGCAGAAGTGATCTTTATGTCTTGATCTTTAGCTTTTCTGAAAAACAACGTAAATTAGATTATCTAATAGTATATAGTCAGCTTTTTACTGTAGATACTTGGGTTCTTTTTTCTTTACTTTTTTTAGTGTTCAGGTTTTAGAAAATGAATTGATTTACAGGTCTTTAAAAAAAAATGCCTGTGGGGGCTGGAGAAATCTCAGCAGTTAAGAGCACTGGCTGCTTTTCCAGAGGACCTGAGTTCAGTTCCCAGCACCCACATGGGTGCTCACAACCATCTATAATTGGATCTGATGCCCTCTTCTGACATGCAGGTATATATGCAGAACACTCATACCTAAAATATAAATAAATAAATTAAAGAGAAAGAAAGAAAGAAAGAAAGAAAGAAAGAAAGAAAGAAAGAAAGAAAGGGAAGAAAGAAAAGAAAGCACACCTTTATTCCCCAGCACCCAAGAGGCAGAGCAGGTAGATCTCTGTGAGTTTAAGGCCAGCCTGGTCTACATAGTAAGTTCCAGGACTGCCATGGCTATTAGACCCTGTCTCAAAAAAAGAAAAAAAAAATCACCATATATTAAAGCATGTTTTTATGGTGTTCTTAGTTTAACACACTATTTAGACCATTCAAGTAAGGGTCTCTAATTTTCTACTAGTTACCCTGTGAAAACCTTTTATCTTCCTTAGTCTTTTTGTTTTGTTTTGAGACAGGATCTCATTGTGTATAACTCTGTCCTGGAACTCACTATGTAGTGTTCAAGTGGTGTGATTAGCCTGGCTATTTTCCTTACTCCTTCAGCTGTGTGATTCTTCATAATCACATTTTTTTTTTTAGGAATAAGAATTCAGATGATAATTTTTGTGCAATTACTGGTGAGTATGACCAAAATACTTCTCTTAATCATAATCTTTTGCTTTATGTAGATTCTTTGATGCAGATAAAACATTCATACACAATAAATAAATAAATCTTAAGAAAATTAATGAAAAACAGATGTAGTATACATTTGTAATCCTAGCACCCTGGAGGTGGAGGCAGGAGGATCAGAACTTCAAGGTCATCCTTGGTTATATAGCAAGTTTCAGTCCAGCTTGGGATATATGAGACAAAATATAAAAATAATGCCAGGTGTGGTGGCATACACCTTTAATTCTAGTGTTTGAGAGATAGAGGTAGGTGGATCTCTTGAGTTTGAGGCCAGTCTGATCTACAGAGTGAGTTCTAGGCCAACCAAGGTTACATAGACACTGTCTCAAAAAACCAAAAAGGTAGATAAAATTACTAACACAGATATAAAATATTTTATTTCCAAAATGAATATAATAATCATGGTTCTCTGTCATTAAAAAAGGGCTTTTAGGGACCACAGTATAACTCAGTAATGGAAAGCTTGCTTGCCATGTGTGAGGTCCTGGGTTTGATTGCCAGCATTGGTAAAGGAGGATGGGGGGAGGAAAATATGAGCTCAAAGTCTTAAAAATGTTTAATTCATAAGTCTTTATGAAGAACTTAGTAATTGGTTGTCTTAGTAACGTTTCTATTGCTGTGTTAAGCACCATGACCAAAAACAATTTGTCAAGGAAAGGGTTTATTTTTGTTTACAGTTGTAGTCCATTATGATAGGAAGTCAGGGCAGGAACTCAAGACAGGAACAACATGGGGGCAGGAACTGAAGCAGAGACCATGGAGGAATGTTGCTTACTGGTTTGCTCAACATGGCTTGCTCAGCCTGCTTTCTTATATAAAGCAGGAGCACCTGGTCAGGAATGCTACCTCCCACAGTGTATGGACCTTACCACAGGAATCATTAAGGAACTGCTTAATAGACTTAGATTTTCTCAACTGAGATTCCTCTTCCCAGGTAACTCTAGCTTGTATCAAGTTGACAAACAAGCAACCAGGCCACTAGTAAATACATCTAACTGAGGAAGGTCCTAAAAAAGAAAATCAGACTCCTGGCACTATGTTTTTCTTACTGTAATTCTTTTCTGTTTGCTCCGTAGGTATGAACACATTGCTTTGTGCTCCTATTCAGACCCAGATACAACAAAAAGAGGTATGAGATCATGCAAGTATCTTCATAATTTAATGTCACAGTTAAATAACAAAATCTTACGGCAATGTATAATTTTGAGATAATTTACCAAAGTGAATTATCATAGCCTATAAAAACTTCCTATATTTCCAATTAGTTGATGACAGTTAGATCCATTTTGAATAATAACAAGATCTCTCAAACTTTAATGAGTACATGAACTATCTCAGAAATTTATTAAAATATAGATTTTTTTGGATTGAAGATGTAGCTCAGTGGTAGCTTGTCTAGCATGTGCAAGGGTCTGTATTCAATATTCAGCATCATACACACAGACAATATGTGTATGCATTGTGTGTAAGTAGATAGATGAATTTGTGTCTGGTTGAAAATAGTAAACTCTTCAGAGATTATATTTCTCATTTTTTAAAATATTTATTTTGTTACAATGTGTGTGTGAATGTTTTGCTTCATGTACGTATGCACCATGTGCATGCTTGGTGCCCAGAGAAGCCAGAATCCACCAGATTCCCTGGAACTGGAGTTCGAGACAGTTGATAGCTGCCATTGCTGGTATGAACCTTCATGCTGGAAACTGAACCTTCTGAAGAGTAGAAAATGCTCCTAATTGCTGAGTCATTTTTCCAACCCCAAGAATCTATATTTCTACCTCTTAAGTGATACTGGCAGCAGGTGCCCAGACTGTACTTTGAATAACAAGGTATTGGAGACTGTATATTCAAAAACAAAACATCCAAAGTACAGAGTATAATATGAATTATGTACCTATGCCTTTCTAAGCCTTTTTATTTAGAGTTGGAGTGACCTACTCAATAAAGAATTTTCATTATGGGTGCATTTCATATATTCAGTGCTTTTTCTTTTTTTTTAGTCAGTGTGGAAGGCATGTGATTAACTTCGAATTTTAATTTTTCCTAAACTACCAAAAAGTAATTTACTGAGAGACTTTAACACCCCCCACCCCCTCACCTCCCCCCCAAAAATTTATGTTTGAAACAGGGTCTTCAACCCAATCTGGCCTCAAACTTAACTATGAAACCAAGAATAACCTTGCACATTTTTGTTATTGATGTTTGAGACAGGGTCTCACTGTGTTGTGTAGCTTTGCTGTCCTGGAGATCACTATGTAGACTGGAGTGGTCTTAAACTCACAGAGAGATTCCCTACCTCAGCCTCCCAGAGTGCAGAGATCAAAGGTGTGCACCACTCTGCCCACCTGCCTTGAACTTCCAATCCTCCTGCTTGTACCTCCTGAGTACTGGGATTATAGGTGTGGATTAACATATCTGGTCTATGCTGTGCTGGGGATTGATCACAGGGCTTTATTCATAGTAAGCAAGCACTCCACCAACTGAACTACATCCCTAGCCCTAGGGAAAAAAATGTAGTAACAAATTACATATAATATAATACACCATTGATTTAAATAAACCAATATAGCTTGAAACTATTACTAATTGTGTTTATATAGTATATGTTATAAAATACCTTTTTCAAAACTTACATTTTTGGAGCTGGAGAAATAGCTCAGTTGATAAGATCACTGGCTGCTCTTCCAGACAACTGGATTTGATTCCCAGCACCCATATGGCAACTCACAACCATGTGTAACTCCAGTTCCAGGGAATCTGACATCGTCTTCTGGCCTCCATGGGCACCAGACATGCAAGTGGCACATAGGCAAACATGAAGGCAGAACACCCATACACATAAAATAATAAAAATAAAATAATAAATTACAAAAAAGCCTTATATTGGTCTCATTTTTTCTTTTTCTTTTTCATTATAGTTTTCAGTTGTAGACTACAACCATGAAAGGAAACATGCAAATGACCAGACAGTCATTTTTTCAGATGAAAACCAAATGGACCTGACAGCAAGTCACACTGTGATGATTACCGAAGGCCTTTCAGATTGTACCAAAAGTGAAAATTCCACGAAGATAGATACTGCATCCTTTCTGGAGAATTTAAAGCGTCATGCTGAGAATTCAAGAATTAAAAAGGAATTAGAATGCCCCACAATTTCCATAGGTCAAAATACTTTCTCAGAAAAGATAAATTCTGACAACTTCATAAAAAGATTGAAAACAGGAAAATACAGTACTTCTCTTGATAAGGAAAATTCTGAGATACCTATTCACTCCAAAGAATCAAACAGTGCTTCTTCTACACATCAGATGCATGTATCTCTTAATGTAGATGAAAATAGTAGTAATAGGACACGAATCTTTAGAGAACAAGATGATGGGATGAATTTGACCGAGTGTCATACAGCCTGTATTCAGACTTGGATTCCTCCATCCAGGGAGAACAACTTAGGAGGATCTAAGGATGAAACTAAAATTTATAGCAATGAGTGTATGGAGTTGACAGCTAACTATACAATGCAGGTTTTGCCATCAGAAAATAATTTATCTGAAAGAGAAACTGAAACTCAGAATGTCGTAATGAATGTTACAACAGCTGATGAAACTAAAGCTCCAGAGAAGAAAACAGTCCTTAAGGATAAGCTAAATGCTGCTTTTCAAGACTCCTTTCCAAACCTTGAAAATAAAGTTCATGTTACCAAAAGCCAGAGTATGGAGTCAGAAACTCATACAGCCATACAGACTTCTAATCAAGGTGCCAGCACATTGGCTAGAACTCCAGAATCTATCTGTTCTAGTCCAGCTATTCAAGGTTATAAGACAATTTTTTATTCTAGTAGCAATGATGCAATGGAACTGACTAAGTGTCTATCAAGTATGAGAGAGGAAAAAAATTTGCTGAAGCCTGATGGTAATTATTCTAAAGTGTGTAGCAGTCCAGATGCTGGCCCACTCATAGAGAAAACTATTTATTCAGAAGAGGATAACATGGACATTACCAAGAGCCACACAGTTGTAATAGATAATGAGATATTCAAACAAGATCAAGAAAACATTAAAAAAGAAATTATACCAGTATTTAAAAAAGAAATGATGCTCCAAAATCATACAACTGTGTCAGAAGAAGAGAAAATGAATGTAAATTATATTACAGTTCCTCAAGTATCTAAGGAAAGATTACAACAAAGTCTGACAAATCCTTTATCTGTGTCATTGCCTGACAGGGTTGAACTCTTAGCAGGTGAAGATATGGAATTGACTGAAAGTCATACAAATAAGTTAAGAAGTCAAGTTATTCCTACAACTTTTGACTTAGTCTCAAAGAATGTCACTAAATCTTACTCTCACAGCAAAAGCCCTTCAGATGAATGGGGAAAAATGACCAAAAGTCTTACCCAACCATTCCAACAAACAAGCATTATATCCAAAAATATCCTAACTGACATCCAAAGAAAAGAAAAACATCCAATTTTGAAGATTTCATCTTGTCTTAATAAAATGTCTCCTCTGTCAGTTGACTATAATCAGGATATAACAACAAACCATAATATATCCTCCTCTGGTCCAGTTCAGGATATACAAGTAGCACTAGAACATGCATTACAGGACCAAAATTCTAAACTTATTGAGCCACAGAGGAAAAACTTAGGTGATCCCACACCTGACTGTTTTCATGATAAGATGATAATTTCTTCAGAGGAGGAACAAACTATGGATCTAACCAAGAGCCACACTATTGTAATTGGATTTGGTCCCTCCGAAGTACAAGAACAAAGGAAGACTGATTTAGAGCACAGAAACAGCCAGCTCACTACAGTAAACAGACAAATAGATGTGAGCATTCCTATAGAAAAAACTAGAGTAGTAACAACTAATGTTAAGGACATGTTAAAGGACAGAAGTATACAGAAATCTGAATTTTTGAAAGAAAAGCAAAATGTTGAAATTTGTGGAAGAAAAAGTGCTGGTGGACTAAAAATTGATAAAACTATTTTATTTTCAGAGGGTAATGAGAATGATATGGATATTACCAGGAGTTATACGGTCAAAATAAACCATAGATCTTTATTAGAGAAACATGAGTCTCATTTAGTACCTATGGCAGGAACTTCTAAAACCATTTTGTATGCATGTGGACAGGATGAAATGGAAATCACTAGAAGTCACACAACTGCTTTAGAATGTAAAATTATTTCACCAGCTGAAGTAACTCCTAGTCACCTGGATAAGACTGTGATGTCTATAGAAGGTCACGAGGAACTAGAGATGACAAAGTCCCATACTGTTTTCATTGACTATCAAGCAGAGGCGAAAGGTGTGCTTCCAGACAGAACTGACTTTGAATTATCCAAGAAAGAATGCCTACAAAAGCCAAAAGGGATGTCTACTCTTGCTGAAGAGGTTGTTTCCATTTCAAAAAATAGTGAAAACAACCATCCAGCAGCGAAAGGTAGCCAGCTAACAGTAGTGGAGGAAGGGTCTAATAGTGGGTCTAGAGAAGACACTGATGATGACCCTGAGACATCTAAATTGGCCGCTTGGAAAAATGCCAAAGATGTACAAAAACCTGGATTTCAAAATGAGCTTCTGTCAGGCAAAACTCAGAGAAGAAAAAGCCTTAGGCTCACAAATAAGACCATTACGTTTCCAGAGAATGATAAAAATAATAGAGATACCACTCAGAGTTCTGTGATGGGAATAAATAATGAAATTAGCCTGGAAGAGGGACAGGACTTGAGTTTTGTGCCATTGGCAGAAACTTCTAAACCAGTTTTGTCTACACACAGGCCAGAGGACATGGAGATCTCTAGAAGTCAAATCACTGCTTCAGAACATAAAACTGACCCAGCAGATGAAATAACTACTATACCTATGGATAAAACTGTAATGTTTGTAGATAATCTTGGTGATCTGGATGTCACCAAGTCCCATACTGTTTTCATTGATTGTCAAGCCAAAGAGAAAGTACTTCATGAGTATACTAAATTGGGAATGGCAAGAACAAAAAATTTGAATGGTCCTGAAGGTGATACCTGTATTCTAGAAGCATCAGACTCTATAGTTTCATCTAATGTTTCATGTTTTAGTAGTGTCAAACCAAGTCTGAGTAATTTGAATAGAAAAACTGAGGAGGTTTTAGGCTTTCAGACTGTTCATGTATTACCTCCTGCAGAACAGTTACTTGAAGTAGGAATTCAGGCACATAATAACATGAGTACAGTGCAGGCTACAGGAATATATAGTCTAGGTTCCAGTGGTGGTGGAGATGATGAAAGTAAAAATCTTCATAATGGAGCTGAAACTACCTCTGTACCACTAAAGGCAGTTGTCAAAGACAAAACAAGAAGATGTTCATTGGGCATCTTTTTGCCCAAATTACCAAACAAGAGAAATTGTAGTATCACTGGTGTTGATGACCTGGAGCAGATTCCAGCAGATGCAACTGACTTAAATCACTTAGAAACTCAGCCAGTCTCTAGTAAAGATTCAGGCATTGGATCTGTTGCAGCCAGACTGAACTTGAGTCCATCTCAGTATATAAATGAGGAAAATCTCCCTATATATCCCGGTGAGATTCTTTCCTCAGACTCTATTAGCCTAGACATTGAAGAAAAGGCTCTGACTGACACATGCTATAAAGAGATTTTACCATCTGAAAACAAAATAGAAATCTGCAGTGCCCAAAAAAGAACCTGGGTACAAGAAGATGATAATGTTACAAATGAGAAAAAAATCAGAACACATGATAGTACACAAGATCAGGAGGTAAGTTGTCTAGAACCCAAAAAAATGTTCTTGAATTTTGTATTTTTGCTTTCGAGATAGATGCTCTAGAATTCTGCTGCTGTAACTTTCTGTGTGTTAGGATTACAGGTATATACTTACCATACTCAGCTGTATTTGTATTTTAAAACTTATGAATGTTTTTGAATTTTAAGTTTCTAAGCAAGTAGAAACTACTTCTACCTACTATAGGTTAGAGAAATATTCCTGTATAGAATTTTCAGGGGTCAATTGGTAAGAGACTTTAAGATAATGATATGGTGGCCTATCTCTGTAATCCCATCACTCTGAAGAATGAGGCAAGAGGATTGCTGTGACTTAGAAGCCAGTCTGGGCTATAAAACAAGACCCTAGCTCAAAAAAAAAAAAAATTTATAGTGGCAGATACCCACAAAAATGGAATAAATTGTATAAATAAACCTGGCAGTGGTGGTGCACACCTTTAATCCCAGTATTCAGGAGGCAGAGGCAGGCAAACCTCTGTGAATTCAAGGCCAGCCTGGTCTACAGCCAGGACACAGATATATACTGTCTCAAAAAGAAAAAAAAAAGTGCAGATATTATCCAGGGGTATAGCGTATATATGGAACTTAGACAGCTTTGTGGAGTTGGTTCTCTCCTACCTTGATGCAGGTTCTAGGGATCAAATTCAAGTCATCAGACTTGCATGGTAAGTTCTTTACTTACTGAGTTATCTAACACATTTTTTTTCCTCTTATGGTTTGTCAAGACAGGGTTTCTCTGTAACAGTACTGGCTGTCCTGGAACTAACTCACTCTGTAGACCACGTCTTAATTTCACAGAGATCCATCTGCTTCTGCCTCCTGAGTCCTGGGATTAAAGGCGTGCGCCACCATGCCAGGCTCATACATGCTTATTTTTTAAGATAATGTCTAAGTATGTAGTCCACGCTGGTTTCATCCTCTAAGTGCTGGGATTATAGGCATATGCTACTACCATTGCTACCTTGAAATGAAGCTTCCGTGTTACAAATATCTGAGGAATCAAGAGCCTTTCTACCATTCAAACTTATTGCTGCCTGGCGGGGCCAGCCTCCAGCAGCGCAGGGCTCAAAGGGAATCCACAGAGTCAGCGTGTAGTATGACTTTTTCATCTGAGGGGGTTAAGGGAAAAAACACTCACACACTCTCTTGATGGTTTCCTTCAGACCTTATCTTCTTTTGTATTCTGATTCTGTATTCTCTTTTCTTATCTCTATCCAGAAATGTCCCTTCTGTATCTCTTGATGTTTTCCTTCTAACTCTATCTTTATTCTCTCATTCTTGATGTTTTCCTTCTAACTCATTTTAACTCTATCTTTATTCTTTCCCTTACAACTTATATACCACAGAAAAATCTTCCAGGCAATATAAAAATTATAATGTGATTACATTCTGTTTTTTAAGTGAATGATTATAATGAATACAAGTAAAAACCAGCATGTTTTCCATATCCCGTATGTGATATTTTACGTATTACAGGTGATAAACAAATTATCCCAAGAACCCACGTACATTCATACCCAAGCAACTTGTTACAGATTAACAGTGTAGGCAAGCAAGATATTCTTTTACTGGCAGACTGCGTTTTGTGGTTACAAAGAAAGGACTAATCACTTTATTACTTATCTTGACAGGTAATCTTATAAGAAATCTTAAAGGAATCACCAATCTAAACTTCTTTATTTGAAAAAGAATCAGTTAGCTCTCCTTTAAATATTTAGCCTACATACCCACTCATCAGTAGTTTTTTTTTTTTATATCAGGAGATTGAGGGCAGAAATGGGTATAAGGAATTAATCATCACCTTTGGTCATCAGCCAATCCTAGCAAGAAAGGCACGTCAGCTAATGATACTTGGGCTGCTTTGTTCTTGTTCCCTGACCTTAAAGAGTTTCTCACTCAACTCTGTGCCTTTCTAAAACTTTAGATTGTCTTCTTGGATTTTTTACCTCAAAGCTATTTGAAAAAACTTAGTCTAACTTTAAGTTGTTTTTAAAGCTTTGTTTCAGCTATGATGCACTCCAAAACCTGTGAACATATCTCCCAACATTAAGATTAAAAGAATTTAAACTAGCTGAGCTACTGGGACTCAATTATTTTTCTTAATCATTAACCTAAGCCACAGTCTATAGGGCTCCTCAATAGAAACTCATGTGTTGTAGCTGTGTGACATTTCCTTGTTTTATTTTTTATCATCAAAACTCTATTTAAACTAACATTATTACCAGTTAGACAGTACAGCTTAGGAAGAAATCATCTTCATAATAATCCACAGGTAAAAATGCCTAATAGAATGGGATATTTCCATGAGATAAACATACCACATTACAGGCAGCAGGGATCTCCCCACACCTTTTCTCACCATGCCAGATACCCAAGAAAGATGGCAGTGGCAAACATGTGAAGACACAGCAGGAGCAAAAGACATTCTGGAGTCTGTGGTCTCGGGGCCGTGCTTCTCTGAGATTCACCCACCAGGGATTTGTCTCCTGGTGGGCTGACACCTGGACTTCAGTTGCCATCTGCTGCTCCTCTGACATGGCCACAGGCACAAACTGCAAAAGTAAAAGCTTGACAAGGTTTTCTTGCTGTGTCAAGACACGTCAAAGAGCGTATTTCTTTAGTGGCTGGAAGAATGCCTAGGTCAAGCTTAATACTTCAAAGTAAACTAAGATATTTTTATTTATTGAAAGACCATTTTTAAAAAACCCTCATTTGGCTAACTTGGAAAGAACAAAACTTGTCATTCAAATCCAGTTTTATAGGTGGTAAAATAAATATTAGAAATGCCCTGAGATTTGTAAACTGTTATTAAGAACCACATAAGGCGGAGTTTGGGGTGGGCGGGGTGGAGAGATGGCTCAGGGGTTAAGACGGGCTGCTCTTCCAGAGTATCAGGGTTCAATTACTAGCACCACATCGCAGCTCACAACTGTCTTTAACTCCTATTCCAAGGGATCTGACTCCCTCACACAGACATATGTGCAGGCAAAGCACCAATGCACATAAAAATAAATAAATCTTAAAAAAAAAAAAAAAAGAGAACCATGTAAGAGGGCTAGAGAGTTGGCTCAATGCTTAGGAGCACTTACTCTTGTAAAGTACTCAAGTTCAATTCTCAGCACCCACATCAGGTACCTCATAACTGCTCGTTACACCATGGGATCCAACACCCTCTTCTGGACTCCCCAGGTACCTACATTTGTATGTGTAAACACCTACACAGACATAAACATATATGCATAGTTTAAAATGAACATAAATCTTTAGGAAAAGAACCACATAAGTAGCTAGGTATGATAGCACATGCCTAATATTCCAGCACTCAGGAGATTGAAGTGGAAGGATCATGCGTTTGAAGCCAACATGGGCTGAGTTCAAGTAAAACTTGTAAGATATATGGTCTAAACAAAACAAAAAACCAATATAAGTAAACATAGAAGATAATTTCAGTGGCTCTGAGTTGAGGTGATGAGAAATAGCCAAAGGTGTGAGAAATTAATAATAGTAATATAACACTTAAATCTGACTAGATTTTATGAAAATTAGTATTTTGTTTAAATATTGAACACTATACACTACTAGTTGTTTTTTGTTTCTTTTTTTTTCGAGACAGGGTTTCTCTGTGTTTCCTTTACTGTCCTGGAACTCCCTCTGTAGACCAGGCTGTCTTGGAACTCACAGAGATCCACCTGCCTCTGCCTCCAGTGCTGCCCAATAGTTGCTTCTTTTTTTAAAGATCTATTTATTTTATTTTATGTGTATGAGTATTTGCCTGTATGCATATATATATATATGTGTGTGTGTGTGTGTGTGTGTGTGTGTGTGTGTGTGTGTGTGTGTGTGTATGTATGTATGTATATATATGTATGTATGTATGTATGTCACTTGTGTGTCTGATGTCTGCAGAAGCCTGAAGAGGGCATCAGATCCTCCTGAAACTGGAGTTACAGATGATTGTGAGCCTTCATATAGGTCCTGGGAACTGAACCCAGTCCTCCAAGAGCAGTGAGTGCTCTTAACCGAGCCATCTCTCCAGCCTCTAAACACTTCGATTTTAAGACAGAAATCTCATGTAACCCAGACTGGCCTGGAACTCAACTTAACTGAAGAATACCTTGGACTTTTGATCTTCTGATCCGACCTCTGCGATGGTGGGATTACATATGTGTACCACCATACCAAGTTCATGCAGTGCTGGGGCTTAATGCAATCTTAAAAACTGAACTACATTCCTAGCCCTGCCTTAGACACTATTGGAGGTGCTAGGATTACATCTGCAAAAATCTTTAATAGTAAAACTTTTATCCTAGCATTTAGGCAAGTATTTTTTTTGCCTTCAGAAAACCTGTATTAATGGAGACACTGTTCCATGCCTGTAATCTCAGCTATTGGAGAGACTAAGGATTGTAATTTGAGAATAGTCTAGACAACATAGCAAGATCCTACTTTAAAAAGAAAAAAGGGAGGGTGTATGAAAATGATATTTGAAGCTAAATCAAATATTTTTAGGGTGTTTTTGTTTTTGTTTATAAGACAGGGTCTCATGTAGTACTGGCTGGCCTGGAATTTGCTATATAGAACAGACTCACTTTGAACTCAGAGACATACCTCTCTGCCTTCTGAGTGCTGGGATTAAAATAACCATGCTTAAGTTAAATGACTTAAATTATAAGAGCAGGGCTACATGATTTATTTGATTTCAACCAAATGAATCTTCATGAAGTAGGGACCAAAAATGCATTCCTTCTGTCTACTCTCAGGGCTAACGTGTACAGTAAATATTCTACTCTACGTTTCTTTTGTGTATTGGGGGATACATTTTTGTATGCATGTATGTATAGGCAAGAAGTTGATGTCAGGTGTCTTCCTCTATCATTCTTCACCTTATTCTGAGACCAAGTCTCACACTGAACCTGGAGCTCACCACAATTCAGCTATGTTGACCAGTGAGCCCCAGGGTTCTGCTGCTCTCCACCTCCCTTCTTTGCTCCCCGGTCCTGGGATAACGGGTACATGCCCCTATGCCCAGCTTTTATGTGGGCACTGGGGATCTGAACTCCAGTCCTCATGATTGCACAGCAAGTACTTTATCCAGACTCTGGTTGCCTCTTCTGATGTAGCTTCCCTATTGGTGACTAGCAGCTAAATAATTGGAAAATTTGACAGTTGGTAGCTTATGGTATCTTTCTAAAGTGACGTATATCCGAGAAACAGTTTGTTTATACTGTATAGCACATTAAGTACCATTTAATGTCTAAATTACCTCATATTCTACTTTAGTAAGTTATTATATATGAATTATATAGATAAATTTTGTTAGAAATAGTATTTTTGTTTGTGTTCAACATTTAGTCTCTATAAATACCAAGCTTATAAAGTTATGCTGGTGTTTTTAAGTATGTAAGTAAAATGTAGTATGTATGTACACACTTGTGTGCATGCTTAATGTGGAAGGAGGAACATGTCACAACACGCATGTGGATATCATGGGACAATTTATGATGTCAGTTATCGTCTTTTGCCTTTACATGGGTTCTGGGAATGAAACTCAGGTTACTAGGCTTATATAGCAAGTGACTTTACTGACTAAACCATTTCACTTGGCCCTATGCTGATGTTTCTTTGGTAATTTCAGATTTTTGATCATCATACTGAAGAGGATATCAATAAAAATGTCAACAGTGTATTGATAAAAAGCCTGAGCAGGACCCCATCTAGTTGCAGCAGTGATCAGGATTCAATCAAGGCTGATGGAATCTCTCCAGACCTCAGCAGTAAGACTCCCTCTCTTACCCCCTCCCTGCCCCCAGACAGGATTTACCTGTGAAGCTCTGGCTATCCTGGATCTCACTATGTAGACCAGGCTGGCCTTGAACTCAGATCGGCCTGCCTCTGCCTTCTGAGTGCTGGGATTAAAGATGTTTGCCACCACCACCTGGCTAGCAGTAAGATCTTTATGAAGGCTAAATAATAACAGTTATTTGAATCTTTGATTAATAAGTGTATTTCAGTTTAGCAAATATTTGAATGTTATATAAACCCTTTCAGGGTTATAGGGTTGATAATTAAGATAATATTTCACTTACATTTGATTTTTAAAAAATTTTAATGAAATGACAAGTGTTATACTACAGAGGGATAGTTCATTTCCTCCAAAAGCTTCTAATTAGTAGGGAAACATTGAATGGAGCATTAAAACTATATTACAGATACTTTGTCTTACTACATGAATAGCTTCCTAGAAACATCCTAGTAGATAGAAGCATCAGGATCATGAACAGCACATAAATCTGAAAGATAACTGTCTTAATTAGGGTTTCTATTGCTGTGAAGAGACACCATGACCACAGCAACTCTCATAAAGGAGTGGCTTACAGTTTCAGAGGTTTGGTCCATTAGCATCATGGCAGGACATGGTGGTATGCATGCAGACTTGGTACTGGAGAAGGAGCTAAGAGTCCTACCTACGTCTTGGTAGGCAACAGGAAGTGAACTGTCATACTGGGAATGGCTTAAGCATAAATGAGACCTAAAAGCCTGCCTCCACAGTGACACACTTCCTCCAACAAGGCCACACCTCCTAATAGTGCCACTTCCTATGAGCCAAGCATTCAAACACATGAATCTATGGGGGCCATACCTATTCAAACAACCACAATAACTAAAATTAACTTTATATTTTTGTTTTGATTTTGTTTTGGTATAGGATCTCACTTTGTAGCTTTGACTGCCTACAATTGGCTATGTAGACCAGGCTGGTCTTAAACTCACTGAGATCTACCTGCTTCCGCCTATCCTGTGTTGGGACTGAAGGTGTACTCCACTATTCCAAGCCTTATAGTTTAGCTTTGACTTGTTTATTATATAAATTTTGCTTTGCTTCTAGCACAATGCAATAGCCAAATGGAATCACAGTTTCTCGGTGACAGTATCTCTGAAGAGAGTTTGAGGGAGGTATGTTAAAGCATTTCTCACTTTAATTATTTTTACATTTATTTAAAGTGCGTGTGTCTGAGTGTGTGTGTGCCACAGTGCACATGTGAGAGTCTGAGGACAGCTTGCAGAAGTTTGTCTCTCCATCATGAAATCAGGTTGTCAGGCTTGGTGCTGTGTGCCCTACCTACCAAGCCATTCCACAGGTCACTGCTTCTCACAGTGGTTTTTGTTTGGTTTCAGAACTTACTGTAGACCAGGCTGGCCTCAAACTCCCTGAGATCTGTCTGCATCTGCCTCCAAATTGCTGGGATTAAAGGCGTGCGCCACTACACCTAGCTTATTTCTCACTTTTTCTTTTTCTTTTTTTGTTTTTCAAGATAGGGTTTCTCTGCTTACCCTTTGCTTTTTAGAATTAGCTCTGTAGACTAGGCTGGCCTCTTCACTCAAAGAGATCCACCTGAAAGACACGCGCCACCACCACTCTGCTATTTTTCACTTTTAATATACTTTTTTTTTTAAAGAGTTTATTGTTGTTCTTTGAGACAGGATGTCAGGCATTCAAGGCTAGCCTTAAACTCTCTATGTAACCATTGCTGGCCTTGAACTCCTCATCTTACTGCTTCTACCAACCAAGTGCTAGAATTACAGATGAATGCCTCACCTGGCTTAGTTTTTTGTTTTGTTTTTGAGGTAGCTCCCATGTGTCTCAGCTAGCTCAAACTTGATATGTATCTGAAAGTGACCTTAAATTTTTGATGCTCTTGCCTCTACCCTCCAGAGTGTTAGGATTACAGATGTGGGCCACATGATCAATTTTATGTCATATTGGGAATCCAGCCCAGAACTTCATGAATGCTAGGCAGATGTTCTACTAACTGTGTTATATCCCCAGCCCTAGAATTTTTTTTAATTAAGTACTTCAAATATAGAAAATGCTAGTTTTCTTTCTTTTATAAAAAAATTATTTGTATTTTATGTGCTTTGTTGTTTGCCTGCATTTATTTCTGTGTGAGGGTGTCAGATCCCCTGGAGGAGGAGTTACAGATAGTTGTGAGCTGCCATATGGGTGCTGGGAATTGAACCCTGGTCCTCTGGAAGAGCAGACAGTGCTCTTAACCACTGAGCCATCTCTCCAGCCCCAAGGCTAGTTTTCTTTGTTAAGGATTCAACATAGTATTTATATGAAGTATTCTGTAAGTCTGTTCTCTCTTGCTATAACTGAACACCACAAGTTGGGTAGTTTATACAGACCAGCTTGTGGTTCTTAGGCTTTGTAAAGCATAACACTGCCACAAGCACATATGTAGTGATGTTGTCAGGCCAGAGGAATTCTGCAAGATCTCCAGGTGACATGGCAATAGAGCAAGCTTTCCAAGTTGAGTCAATTTTCCTCTTAAAAAGCCACTTATGCAGTCCTGGGGGCCCTAACATTATGACCCCATCCAATTGTCTACCACCACGTACTATTAACATATGACTTTGGGAATTAATGTGAGTTTTGGAGGGATCATGCAACTAGACCGTAATAAGTAGAAATATTAATATTAAGAGATAAATTGAGTTTTGAAAATTGTTTTAAATAACCTTACAAATGTTAGACTGGGTGTGGTGGACCACATTTTTCATTTTACTAGAGAGACTAAGATCATGAATTCCAGGCCATACCCGGGCTGCATAGCAAAAATTTGAGCTGCAGAGGGATACCTTGTTTAATAATAATAGCAGTAGTAATCTTATATAAAAATCAACTTAAGAAAATTTACTAATGTTTGGCTATTTCCATAACTCAGTAGATTAAGCTGTTTAGAAATGAATGGTGTAGTTAGAGTCAAAGTGAGTTTACTTTGAGTGTTCATATAAAGTCCTTTTTTTTTTTTTAAAGAAACTCAAGGATGGACAAATCACAATAAAGGAGTTCTTCATACTTCTTCAGGTCCACATCTTAATACAGAAACCCAGGCAGAGCAATCTTCCAGCCAAAGTAAGTACAATTTCTTGGCAAAATAGTCATCTCAGTTAAAATATATGATGCTTAAAAATTAAGTTTCACCAGAGTATTTGTTAAAAGACAAAACCATGAGCTGGGGATGTAGCTCAGTTGGTAGAGGCCCTACATGGTAATTTGAGCCTTAAATTGGTATGCCAAAATGTAGTTGGCTTTTTTTTTTTTTTTAATTCTTTGGGGGCCAGCCACCCAGCTCCCAAATAAATACATAGAGACTTATTCTTACTTAGGAATGCCTGACCTTAGCTTGGCTTATTTCTAGCCAGTTTTTCTAATTTAAATTAACCTGTTTCTCTTCTTCTATGTTTTTTTTTTTTTTTTTTTTTTTTTTTTTTTTTTTTTTTTTTTTTTTTTTTTTTTTTTTTTTTGGTTTTTCGAGACAGGGTTTCTCTGTGTAGCTTTGCGCCTTTCCTGGGACTCACGTGGTAGCCCAGGCTGGCCTCGAACTCACAGAGATCCGCCTGGCTCTGCCTCCCGAGTGCTGGGATTAAAGGCGTGCGCCACCACCGCCCGGCTTCTTCTATGTTTTGTCACTGGGCTTTTTACCTTTCTTTATATGTCTGTCTTCCCTTCTTACTCTGTGGCTGGGTGGCTGGCCCCTGGCATCCTTCTCCTTTTCTCAATCTTCCTCTTCTTTTCAGCCTAGATTTCTCCTCCTCTTTATTCTCTCTGCATGCCAGTCCCACCTGTTTCTCTCTTCTGCCTAGCTATTGGCTGTTTGGCTCTTTTTTTTTTTTTTTTTTTTTTTTTTTTGGTTTTTCGAGACAGGGTTTCTCTGTGTAGCTTTGCGCCACTCTTGGAACTCACTCTGTAGCCCAGGCTGGCCTCGAACTCACAGAGATCCGCCTGGCTCTGCCTCCCGAGTGCTGGGATTAAAGGCGTGCGCCACCACCGCCCGGCCTTGGCTGTTTGGCTCTTTATTAGACCAATCAGATTTGTTGTTGTTGTAGTTTGTTTGTTTGTTTGTTTGTTTTTTGTTGTTATTTCGAGACAGGGTTTCTCAGTGTAGTTTTGGTGCCTGTCCTGGATCTCACTCTGTAGACCAGGCTGGCCTCGAACTCACAGAGATCTGCCTGGCTCTGCCTCCTGAGTGCTGGAATTAAAGACGTGTGCCCCCATCACCTGGCCCAATCAGGTGTTTTAGGCAGGCAAAGTAACACAGCTTTACAGAATTAAACAAATCAACCATAAAAGAATGTAACACATCTTAAACTAATATTCTACAACAAGATCCCCTGGGACTAGAGTTGCAGACAGTTGTGAGCTACTATGTGGGTAGCAGGGAATTGAATCTGGGTCCTTTGTAAGAGCAACACATGTTCTTAACTGATGAGCAAAAAAAAAAAAAAAAAAAAAAAAAAAACAGATCAGCTTTGTATTGGATAGAGATGCCATGTAGTATTTACATAACTTTCTTTTCTTTTACAAAGAGCCTTGATTTCATTTAGTAGGAAATAGTGTTTAGAAAATACAGTCTATATTTTACTGTTGCCATTTCTGTTTGAACCATTACATATAGTTTTGATTTTTATGTATTTAAAAATAGTCTTTAACAACTGAAGGATTGCAGGCCTGTGATGGCACATACCTTTAATCCCAGCACTCAGGAGGCAGAGGCAGGCAGATCTCTGAGTTCGAGGCCAGTCTGGTCTACAGAGCTAGTTCCAGGACAGCCAGGGTATACAAAGAAACCCTGTCTTGAAAAACGAAAAAAAAAACAAAAACAAAAACTGGAGAATTGTAGCCAGGCACCTTTAATCCCCACACTGAGAGGCAGAAGCAGGGCAAATCTCTGTGAGTTAAAGCTCAACTAGGGCTTCACAGTCAAACTGTGTCTCAAACAAGAACCTGATAATTGAGCCAGTGAGATGGCAAATTGGGTAAAGGTCCTGACACTAGGCTGACTGCCTAATTTTGATTCTGCAGGACCAACATGGAAGGAGAGAACTGACTTTCACATTCATGCTGTGGCATGCATGCTCCACACATAATAGATAAATGTAATTTAAAATTTAAAAAAACATTGGAATTATGCTAGATGTAATGGTACACACCTGTAATCCCAGCTCATGATAGGTACAACCAGGAGGACCAGAAGTTCAAGTTTATCCTTGACTACATGTATATTTCAAGGCCCAAGGGCTCTACATGAGACCATGTCTCAAAAATAAAAAGCTGTGGGTCCCAAGGAGATGGGAGCAGTGGTTAAAAGCAGTTTCTACTGTTGCAGAGGACCCAGGTTTGAGTCCCAGTACTCACATGGCAGTTCACAACTGTGTAACTCCCAGGGGATTTGACACCCTATTTTTGCAAACTAGGGCACCAGGCATGATTGATGCACATGCATACTTACAAACAAAATATATACATACAGGTCCTTGGGATTGAACAGAGTCCTCATGCTTTCATAGTAAGCACTCTCTTCTACCCATTAATCGATAAGTAAGTCCAAAGTTTAACTTATTCTGTGCTGTGCTGCTTATAAATAATGGATGGAATGTTATTTGGTGTTTTCATAAGCAATGACATAAAAATCTGATTTAGATTTTTCCAAAACAGGATTAAATACATTCATTTGTCTTTAAACTAGAGCTCTAAAACATAACTGTGTTTTTTCTTGGATGGGTGTGTGGGTAGGTTGGTTGGTTGATAGAAGGTCTTACCCTAATTTGAGCTAGCCTAGAATTTACTATGTAGCAGATGACTTTAAACTCACAAAGACAAGACTCTTTTGCCTCAGTCTTTTAAGTGCTGGGATTGCAGGCATGAACCCCTGCCTTGATTTTTTTTTTCTCCATTCTATTTAAAATAAAGTGGTTCCTGGTAAGCTTAATTTTTTTTTTAAACTTTCTCTTTTATTTATTCTTTGTATCTTTCCATCATGCATCTCCACCCCATCCATTTCCCCGCCTTTTCATATCTGCCCTCTGTCCTTGTAATATCCTCCCCCCAAATAAAATAAAATAAAATAAAAATTAAGAGAAAAAGAAAATCTGTCTCATCATGGAAGCTGTAGTTTGACACAGTGAGTTATACAGTATACCCATTAGTCCATTTATCTTTACTTGCAAGTGTTCATTGCAAAGAGTCATTGGTCTGGTTTGAGGCTCTGGTTTCTGCTATACTATGGATAGGGGGCCCTTGGTTATCCTGTTGTTGCCTAGTGTTGTATAGATTCTGCAGCTTTGGGTTTGCTCCAGCAGATCACAGGTTGGGTGGATGTTGGGGGTGGGCCAACTCATAACCCTGATTCTGGGCCTAGATAGTTTCAGGGGTGATCAGCCTGCCAGCTCTCTCTGTCCTCACCACCAGAGTGAGCTCTCCTGCTTTGCCTCAGCTAGTTTATCCCTTGCTGTGATGAGCAAGGAGCCTATCCCGTTCTTCAGCTTTCTCGTTCTCAGAGTTGGTTCTCCCACACCTATACCTTCAGGGCCAGCTCTACAGTGTTGCCCAGGCATGGCATAGGGGCCACTCTCCTGAATGCTGCAGCTGATGAGGGGCAGGGCAGCTCTCCTACCTGCCTCAGAGGTTGATGGGCAGAGGGGTGTGGAGGGTGGGGAGGTGCCCATGCCACCACATGTCAGATGAGTAATGGGGACAGCTCTCCCATGCTCACAACTTCCGGGCTGGCTCACCCACATGTCTGCCAACAGGATTGGCTCTATTGTGGTAAGCTTCATTTTTAGGTATTGATTTTCTTTCTTTTTTCTTTTTTTTTAAATTACATTTATGTATTGTGTGTATATGTATATGTGTATATACATACATACATACATGTAAATGCTTAGAGGTCAGAGGACAATTTATTGGCGCCACCTTGCCCCCTCAATTTTCTTAAAATAATTCATAATCTTTTGTTTTGTTTTTGTTTTGGGTTTTTTGTTTTGTTTTGTTTTTCGAGCCAGGGTTTCTCTGTGTAGTTTTGCACCTTTCTTGGATCTCTCTCTGTAGACCAGACTGGCCTCAAACTCACGGAGATCCGCCTGCCTCTGCCTCCCGAGTGCTGGGATTAAAGGCATGAGCCACCACCGCCTGGCTCGTAATCGTTTTTAAACCACTTTCAATCCTATAAGTCGATACCCTTAGCTCATCTGAACACCTGGGGATCAGTAGACTTTGAAGTTAGAGACTTGAATTCAGGTTTGAACTTGTAACTTGCTGTGTGAACTTCATATAGCACTTTGTATAATTTTCCCCCCACAGTACTGGGGATTGAGCCCAGAACCTCAGATACCCTATATTGAGCTACACATCCAGCCCTGTTTGTATGACTTTTAAAAATAGGCACTGTAGCTGGGAGGTGGTGGCATATGCCTTTAATCCCAGCACTCAGGAAGCAGAGGTAGGCAGATCTCTGTGAGTCTGAAGCGGATCTGGTCTATGGAGCAAGTTCCAGAACAGCCGGGGCTACACACACAGAGAAACCCTGTCTAAAAACAACAACAAAAACCCCAAAGTCATTCTTTCTAAAACTTGAATTTGTTTTTGTATGTGGTTTTGTTCTCAAAATGCCAGTTTTAGCCAGGTATTGGGGTACTCACTTCTGTAATTCTAGTGCTTGGGAGGATCAGGAATTCAATGTGATCCTCAGCTACATGAGTCTAGCCTAGGCTATATGAGACCTTAAAAAAAAAGGCAGGGTGGTGGTGGCTCACACCTTTAATCCCAGCATTCAGGAGGCCCGAGGAGGTGGACCTCTGTAAGTTCAAGACCCGCCCTGGGCTACTACAGAGTGAGTTTCAGGACAAGCTCAAAAGCTACACATTAAAAAAAAAAAAAAAAGGAAAAGAACAAACAGCATTTGGTTTTGTCTGACATGGTGTCATAAGCATGCAGTCCAGCAGTCAAGAGACTAAGGCAAGAGGAGTACAAATTCCAGGCCAGCCTAAGCTGCATAGTAAGGCTCTGTCTTAGATTTTAAAAGAAAGTGGACCAGTTCTGATTGATTGACTTTTTTCCTTCTTTCTTTCTTTTTTCTTTAGTTTACTATAAACACGTCACCTACCCCAGAGGATCTGATGTTGAGACAGTATGTTTATGGACCTAAGATACAGATTTATAGAGAAGATTGTGAGCATCTTCGCCAAAAGATTGAAGAGTAAGAAAGTTTTTTTCCCCTGTGATTGTTTTTGGAGGGTTATAATAAACAAATGGTCTTTGTGGTATTTTAAATAGAATAACAGCAGCATGGGGAAATGGATGGAATTAATTGATAGTATGACATGAATGAATGGAAACCCAGGCTGTCTACAATGTTGTGGAGCCTTGCATAAGTCATTTACCCTTCTTTTCCACTTCATAAAGTAGTAATACTATCTATACACAGCAGATACAATGAACAATAGAAGTTATTTATATAAAATGTTTCATATCATTATGAACAAAATGATAAACAGATTTTTTTTTTTGGTTTTTCGAGACAGGGTTTCTCTGTGTAGCTTTGCGCCTTTCCTGGAACTCACTTGGTAGCCCAGGCTGGCCTCGAACTCACAGAGATCCGCCTGGCTCTGCCTCCCGAGTGCTGGGATTAAAGGCATGCGCCACCACCGCCCGGCCAGATTTTTTTTTTTAAGACAAGGTTTCTCTGTGTAGCCCTGGTTGTGCTGAAGCTCAATATGTAGACCAGACTAGCCAAAAACTTTGAGATCCCCGTCTGCACCTCTGAGTGCTGGCTGAGTGCTGGGATTAAAGGCATGAACTAACACCCGATTTACTTTTGGGTTTGTAAACTGGGTGTTGTGTTACATGACTGTTACCCAGCATTTGGGAGGGGAGATGGAGGCAGATGGTGATAGGAAGGTGCCATCCTGGAGGTAGTTAGGGCAAGTTTTTGTAAGGAAGGTACATTAGAGCTGAGTTTTGATGTATTCATTGTAGGTAGGCTATGGAGAACCAGGGGCCAGAAATTCCTGGAAAAAGCCTGAGGAGGAGGGCAACCCCTCCCCCCACTCAAGGTGCAGGCTTACAGAATAACACAGTAGGAATCACAGTAGGGGTAGGGAGTGGGCAGGGGTGGGAAGCTTGAATGTTCAGAGTAGACAGGAGGTTCTAGCCAGGGGTGTGAGTGGTGATGTTAGCTGGCAAGGTCACTAGAGGATCTCCGTTAGCTGCTGCCTGAAAGAAGATTGGTTTTGGGGGGGTGGGGAGGGGTGAAGTGAGCCTGAACCGCCATAGGAAGCTGCTGCCCTCTCAGAGATGCTGAACTTTGAGTTGAGAACCTAGGCTGTTAGTAGTCATGAAAGGAAGTGGTAGATTCAGAAACTTACAGTAGGCAGACAGTAGACAGAGGGAAACCCTGTTGGGGTTTCAAGTCAGTCATTGACAAAAGTTTGGAAACATATTTTTTCCCAGGGTGGAAGGTCTAGAGTTTGGGACCCCTGGCCTGATCTACCAGGGGCAGGAAAGCTGCAGGTCTCAGTCCTGGAGACTGCCTAGACCTGGCTTAACACTAAAAATCAAGTCTTTGCCCAATCAGGAATTCAGTACCTCCCCCAACTCCACCTCCTCAGTCCCCTAAAGGTACCAGGACCTCCAGGGTCATTATCCCAGTTGGTCTATCCCCTATCATGTGTCTGTCTGCCATTCTGCAACTCCCCTCCACACATCTTTCTGATTCTCTGATCCTTTCCACTCCCCAGAATCACTGAGACACTCTTAACTGTATTCTTTAAGTGTTGTATCATCGTGCTGGCCATGTTTTCTGAGTGAATTTCCCCTTTTATGTAGGAAAAAAATGAAAATAGTTAAATTTGGCTGTATGTTTAAGCTGGCTTTTTCAAGCAGAATTCTAAATCCTGGGCTGGTGAGATGGCTCAGAGGTTAAGAGCACTGACTGCCTTTCCAGAGGTCCAGAGTTCAATTCCCAGCAACCACATGGTGGCTCACAACCATCTGTAATGAGATCTGGTGCCCTCTTCTGGCCTGCGGTCATATATGCTGTATACATAATAAATAAATAATACTTTAAAAACAAAGAATTCTAAATCCTATATTAACTTTTGTTTATTTTAGATTAAAGGTATCTGCATTGAACCAAGATAAACTACTGACTGATGTAAATAGGAACTTGTGGGAGAAAATGAAAGACTACTCTGATGAAGAGGTATTTTTATGTCCTTTTCTGAATAAGGATTGACACATTTCAAGATAAGAAACTGTTACTTAGCCTGATACACCTTTAATCTCAGTACTTGGGAGGCAGAGGCAGGTGGCTCTCTGAGATCAAGACCAGCCTGGACTACAGAGCCAGTTTCAGGGCGGCCAGGGCTATACAGAGAAACCTGGTCTCAAAAAATAAAAAACAAACAATGGAAAAAAAGAAAAAGAAGAAACTTATTTGATGGTATGGAGTTCTTTAATTCAGTTTTAGATGTAGTGTGCTGCTGTAGCCTTATCTAATTATTATCAAGTAACTTAGATATAACCTTTCCAATGTGTAATGACTAATTAAGCATGTAAACTATATATGATGTTCCCTCCTTTTTATTGGCATTTCCTATAGATTTTTTTGTTTTGTTTTGTTTTTCGAGACAGGGCTTCTCTGTGTAGCTTTGGAGCCTGTCCCGGAACTCATTCTGTAGATCAGGCTGGCCTCGAACTCACAGAGATCTGCCTGCCTCTGCCTCCAAGTGCTGGGATTAAAGGTGTGTGCCACCACCACCCGGCTCCTGTAGATTTAAATGAAGATTTTTTTATTTGATTAGCTATTTATTAGTCCATTTTACATGTGCACTAATATATAATAATGTTTTGTTAACTTAGAGCCAGTCATTTTCTAGTTTGTAATGAATAGTTTGTAAATGAATAAGTGAATTAAAGGCAACAATCAAAATTGAAGTCTTTGATTTTATATATATATATATATATATATATATATATATATATATTTTTTTTTTTTTTTTTTTTTTTTTTTTTTTTTTTTTTTTGGTTTTTCGAGACAGGGTTTCTCTGTGTAGCTTTGCGCCTTTCCTGGATCTCGCTCTGTAGACCAGGCTGGCCTCGAACTCACAAAGATCTGCCTGGCTCTGCCTCCCGAGTGCTGGGATTAAAGGCGCGCTCCACCACCGCCTGGCTGATTATATTCTTAAATAGATATGCTGAAATTAGGTGTGATGGCACATCCTGTAATCCCAGCACTTTAGAGGCAGAGTCTAGAAGAGCACATGTTTAAGACCAATCTGGTCTGTATAATGAATTCTAGATCATCAGGGAGTTAAATTCGCAAATGAAAAGTTCTTTAGGAATCAGAATCTAGAGTAGGCAATCTCACCTGCCTTCACAGACCTTACTTACCTTATCTGACTTTTTTTAGTATAATGTGCTCTTTAACTCTCTCCTACAGCTGAAGACCTATGGGATTTATCTGAACAGAATAAAATCACGTTATACCAAGATGACGAAAGTCTTCACTCACCAAGGAAAAGTGGCTCTGTATAACAAATTGGTGCATTCAGCTGAGGTAATTCGAGGTAGTTAATATATAGCAATTTATAGTAGGTGTAAAATATGAATAATGCTTCTTAGGAGACATATAAATGAGGCTAGGATAAAAGCTTGTTTTTAAAAAATGAGATTCTTTTAATCAAAAGCTTCAAACCTTGGCAATATAAGTAAAATGAAATATAGTTACTAATATGGGCTGTGTCTCATCTCATTGTCATCCATTCTACTTTTTGAAATAAACTATTTGTGATTCTCTCTCCCCATTCATACATACTATATATTCATAGTCAGTTGCATGTGTATGTATGTGCATGTGTTTATCCTTTTAAAAAGACTCTACATAGGGCTGAGAATGTAGTTCAGTGGTAGAACATTTGCTTAGCATTTTTGAATTTCCCGTTTGAGAGACAGGAGTAGGGTACTCATGCTAGTGATCTTGGGCACTTAAGCATGTACACAAGAGCAAGCAAGCAGGTCCCTCTGCTTAATAAAACACTTTACTGGCAAATAAGTATAGAAACACTGTATACAGTATCTTCTTTTACAGAAATAAAAATTAAAAAATAGTTGTGCCTGGTGCACATACCTACAGGAAGTTGAGGCAGGAATATTGCCGTAATTTCTGTATCACATAGCAAGAGCCTATCTCAACAACAATAGCAACAAAAACAAACAAAAACCCACACTGAAAAGGCTGTATTTCTGTTTGACCAGTGTTTCCCATATCTATCTGAACACAGGGGGAAAAAAGCTCTTTTAAAGCAATAAATATATCCACACTGTCATGAAACACAGATAGAAAAGAAATGCTATAATGATGAGTAATATAGAATTAATTCATTTATCTTTTAAAATGAAATTTAAAAAATTTATAGGTCCAGACTAAAAGTCTTGATGTTAATGTTAAGATTTGCCTGTTTATGCCAGTGTAATGACACAGGCCGGTAATCTCAGCTACTTAAAAGTCTAAGGCAGGAATATCACAAGTTCAAGGACAACCTCAACAATTTAGCAAGACCCTATCTTTAAATAAAAGGATAAAAAAAATGGATAGGAATAAAGGACAGCAGTAGGTCATGTGACCAGCATGTTCAATCCCTATATTGCCAAATAAAGGAAAAGAAAATTTGCCATTTATGATCATGACAGTAATTGAACTATCATAAAGTTTGGAGGTTAAGCTTTATAATCTATAATATTTTGTGTTTAGAATGAGAAGAAGAAACTTGAGATAAAAATAAATGAGATGGACAACATACTTAAGAAGATCAATAACTGTCTCACTGAAGTAGAAAGAGGTAAAGTATTTAACACTTTCCTAGGGCTGGGGACAGAGCTCAGTGGCAGAATGCTTGCCTGTCATGCAAAAGGCCCTAGGCTCAACCCCAGGAACTACATAAAGTTAAGAGTTAAGTTTCTGTAAATGCTCTATAAGGTATGAAATTGGATCTTACTATACTATTTTAGCAGCTTCAGTTCTTAAATTGGAGCAAATTAAAACCCTTTTTTGGGCTGGGTGGTGGTGGTGCACAGCTTTAGTCCCAGCACTTGGGAGGCAGACACAGGTGGATCTCTCTGAGTTCGAGGCCAGCCTGGTCTACAAAATAAGTTCCAGTTCAGCCTGTTACACAGAGAAACCCTGTCTCGAAAAACCCTTTTTTGGGCTAATGAGATAGTTCGGTGCATAAATGTGCTTGCCACCAAGTCTGATGACCTGAGTTTGATTTCCTGGGACCAACGTGGTGGAAAAAGAGAACTGATTCTCAACAGGTTTTCCTCTGACCTCCACAGGCATGCTGTAGTGTATACCCCTACACACAAAATAAAGGTAATAAAAAGTAATAATAAAAGCTCCTTTACTATAATCATCCATAACACAATAAAGAATAGTTGCCCAAGAAATTTAAGTCGTTTTTCAAAGCTCTTCATAACCTATACCATAATCTTGCTTATTTTGGGGACAGAGTCTTTCTCTGTAGCCCTGGCTGGCCTGGAATTTGCCTAAGCTACTCTTGTAGCTTGTGATCCTCTTTCCTTGCCTCCTGAGTGCTGGTGTTATAAGTGGATGCCTCTGGGCCCAGTGTTCTGCTTTATTATTGTTGTTGTAGTTTTGTTTTCTAATCACACCTGTTTGTTTCTTAGAGTGTGTAATTCTGAGGTTCTTTTTTTTTGAGATTTATTTATTTTTATTTTAAGTGTATGGTTGTTTTGCTTGCATGTGCACCATGTACACACAGTGCCCATGGAGGACTGAAGAAGGTGTTAGATCCCCTGGAACTGGAGTTACAGATGGTTGTGAGCTGCAGTATGGGTGCTAAGAATCACAAGTCCTAGCACCCACCTGATCATCTGCAAGAGCAGTCACATTTCTCCAGCCCCTGTTTACACTTTCCTGTGGAGGTCAGAAGACTGCTCTGTGTCAGTTCTCTTCTTGGACCATTCTGGGTTTCGGAGATCTCACTCAGGCTTGTTTACCTGCTGTACAGTCTCATTGGCTCACATTTTTAACAGATGGATTATCTCTATCTGGAAATTGTGTAACCATCCTCTTTGGCCTTTTCGAATCTTAACTGAATTCGTTTTGCTTTCCTTTGTCTCCTCTAAGATCACAAAATTCCACATATTCATCAAATTTAACATCCCCTAGTCTTTAGTCTGTTTCCTTGTTTGACATTGCTGATTGTTTTTTTCCTCCTAAAGCATTTATCTTACTTAACTTCCGTGTCATCACACCACCTGACTCTGGTTCTGTTCTTTATTCCCAGGTTTTCCCTTTAGCTCCTGTGTTGTCCTCTCTTAATTAAACTAACCCATCAGCACCCAGGTCAGGTGGTTCATGGCTGCCTAGAACTCTAGTTCAGGGGATCCAACACCCTTTTCTGGCATCTGCAGATACACACATATACACAGGCTCATGCACACACGTCCACTCTTGTGTCTACACACACACAAAATAAAAATAAATCTAAAAAATTGTAAGTTCCATGCAGACAAAATTAGCATGTTTTTCTCCATGTTCTTTAAGTCCCTAGCATTATGGATTGCACAGTAAAAGTGTCTAATACATGTGTCCTGCATTTAATTGAAAATGAGTATATGAATAGCATAGTTTTAAAATAACTTCTCTCTGTTTATTACTTTACTTTCTACTTCACAATAAAAGAAATAGAGGCCATCAGACTAGAACGTCCAAACTTTCTAGCATCAAAGACACCAGACCTTTAATCTGTTTATTCATTCTTTCATCCTCCTTTTCTTTTCCCTAAGGCCAATCTTTCCATCTAAACTGATTTTGCCAGGTGTGATAGTACACACCCTGTAATGCCAGCACCAGAGACTGAGGCAGAAGAATTACTAATGAGGCCAGCCTGAGCTTACGTAGTGAGTACTAGGCTGGCTAGCACTACATAGCAAGATTCTGTCTCTTAAAAAATTTTTAAAATAAATTTGCTTTCTATTATGTCTTCTCAGGAATCTTATATTACTGATTTCTCCTTTTATCATATATTTAAAGTCTTCATTTCCATTGAATCTGTTTACATAACTGTCATCCTTAAAGCAGGGCGAGGGATGTAGTTTAGTTGGTTTTAAGTATTTGCTTTGCTTGCACAGAACCCTGTGTTCCATCCCTAACACCATCCCATGAAGTCAGGTATGAATGTACTTGCATGCCTATTATCCCAGCACTCTGAAGGTTGAGGCAGAAAAAAAAAAACAGAAGTTTAAGATTATCCTCAGCTACATACTAAGTTCAAGGCCACCCTGAGGTACTTGAGACTCTCAAAAAAAGAAAAAAAAAATACAAAACCAAAAAATGATTGGGTATGGGTGGCTCAACACCTGTATCCTAGCATTTAGGAGGCCAAGGCCAGAAGACTACCTTGATTTAAAGGCTGGCATGGTTTACATTGTTCAGTTCCAGGCTAGCCCCAATAGTATGAGATCCTTCAAAAGGGGGGGCAGTGCTAGAGAGATGACTCAACAGTTAAAAGCACTGGTGGTGAAGACTTTAATCCCAGCATTGGGGAGACAGAGGCAGGTGGATCTCTATGAGTTTGAGGCCAGCCTGGTCTACAGAGTGAATTCCAGCCAGAGCTACACAGAGAAACCCTGTCTGGAAAAACCACAAAAACAAACAAAATAGAAGTTACTATATGTTACCTAATGACCACAGTGGTCATTAGGTAACACTAAATATCTACTCTTTTCTTCTTTCATTACTCATTGGCAAATTTGCTTAGTTGTACCTTTTTTTTTTTTTTTTTTTTTTTTTTTTGGTTTTTCGAGACAGGGTTTTTCTGTGTAGCTTTGCGCCTTTCCTGGAACTCACTTGGTAGTCCAGGCTGGCCTCGAACTCACAGAGATCCGCCTGGCTCTGCCTCCCGAGTGCTGGGATTAAAGGCGTGCGCCACCACCGCCCGGCTAGTTGTACCTTTTATGTGCTGAGTGTGTGGCACTCATAATAGAAACACACTAGAAACCAAAAACAAGTAAGATTTTGTGCCCTTGTGGGCCTTTTGTTTTTTTAACTCAGACAGGATAGAATGATCTCTAAATAAGTAGTTGAGAGTGACCTTAAACTCCTGATCCTCTCTCACCTCCCCATGTACTACCATGCCCAGCTCCTTATGGAATTTTTAATCCAGAAACAACTTTAGACACTAAACAAATAAACTGGGTATGGTGTTACACACTTGGCATCTCTCAGCCTGTAGGGAATGGAGTCAGGAGGATTAGTAGGCTGAGGCTAGCTATGTTATATAAGAACTTTGGTAAAGAAAACAAAACACTCTCCCTCCAAAAAAATAAATTTTGTAGAAGATGTTAAAGGTGCTGTAATACTTCAGTAGAAATCTGACCTAAGATGAAGAGATCAAAGCAGCCTGCCCTGTACAGAAGAGACTTTTCAGTTAAAATCTGAAAGATGAATAGGAGTATAAAAAGTAAAAAAGAGAAGCCAGCCATGGATCACACCTCTGATCCCATCACTTGAAAAGGCAGAAGGATTGCTGTGAGTGTGAGGCCAGTCTAAGCTACAGAGTGAAACCTTTTCTTTAAAACACATACTCAGGCAAGGAGGCGTGGTAGTGCTTGCCTTTAATCCCAGCACTAAGGAGGCAGAGGCAGACAGATCGCTGTGAGTTCAAGGCCAGTCTGGTCTGTATTGTGAGTTTCAGGATAACCAGGGTTACACAGAGTAACCCTACCTCAAAAACCAAAAAGACCAAAAAACAAACAACAAACCATAGATGCACACGCGTGCACACACACACATACACAAAACACAACAGACTATTCAGAATTAATATATGCAGAAATCTCTTATGTAGAGAATACATCAACTACATGGATTTGAAGATAAAGCCAGATTAGAATAGAGAAGAAGAGCCAGGTGATGGTGGCGCATGCCTTTAATCCCAGCACTTAGGAGGCAGAGCCAGGCAGATCTCTGTGAGTTCGAAGCCAACCTGGTCTACAGAATGAGATCCAGGACAGGCACCAAAACTACACAGAGAAACCCTGTCTCGAAAGAAAAAGAGAGAGAGAGAGAGAGAGAGAGAGAGAGAGAGAGAGAGAGAGAGAGAGAATGAATGTGATCTAAAACAAAACTAGATTTGTTATTAGGGCTAGACATAAGGAGTTCTAAATATTTTTCATGAACAATGAACCAGCCGTGTGTATATTAAGCACTAATGGTGGTATAGGGGTTTGAACAGATGAAAAATAAATGCAAGCTGGTTGTCATGGTACACATCTGTAATTTCAAGCGCCATAAAGTCTGAGTTAGAGTCTACAAGCCAGCCTGAGCTACATAGTGAAACCCTATCTCAAGAAAAAGAAGGGGTAGGCTTAATTATTGAGGTAAAATTTAAGCTTGGAGTAGGCACAGTAACACATGCCTCTAACCCCACTACTTAGAAGGTACAGGAGGATCAAGAGTCATCATCAGCTTACTCAGTGAGGCCAGCGTGGGCTACAGGAGACTGTTTCAAAAAAAAAAAACAAAACTTTTTTTTAATGCTAACTTGAGACAAACTGGGCATGGTGACACACCTGTAATCCTAGCTACTTGGGAGACTTCAGCAGGAAGATTGGTTGGCCTGAGCAATGTCTTTGCATGACACTGTCTCAAAAGTACTAGAGAAGGGCCAGCAATATTTGCTGCATAAGCTTGCTTACCTGAGTTCCCATCAAAGAACTGACTCCCAAAAGTTGTCTTCTGACCTCCAAGTGCTTACCCCCCTACAAATAATAATAATAGTAACAAGTGAATAATTTTTTTAAAGTACAAATCACTGTCATTAGCTCACAGTTCACTTATCTGCTACCAGACGTCTACAAAATTATAGTTCAGGGTTTTATTGGCAGAGGATGATGAATATTTGTAAATATTCCCAATACTTCAATTTGAGTCATCTGTTCTTTTTATCTCTGATATTTAATGAATTACTTTTGACTGGAGTTTCTCTAATGCTTGATGTTTACCTTAGAAACTAGGATTTTGGAGAATGAAGAAAAAGATGACCCTATGGAAGAATGGGATTCTGAAATGAAAGATGCAGAGAAAGGTAACTTACTTTGATAAGGAGATAAGTCCAGTGGAGTTTGGTGGTACATACCTTTATCCTAGCACTCCAGGTGACTGTCTTAAAAACAACTTTAAACTGGGCGGTGGTGGCGCACGCCTTTAATCCCAGTACTCGGGAGGCAGAGCCAGGTGGATCTCTGTGCGGTCGTTCGAGGCCATCCTGGTCTACAGCGCGAGATCCAGGAAAGGCGCAAAGCTACACAGAGAAACCCTGTCTCGAAAAACCAACAACAACAACAACAAAAAAAAGACTCGATCACAAAAAACAACTTTAAGTCCAACGAGGAAAGCAATTTGTGTTCGTTTACATGTTAAATGATATTAGGTCAGAATTTCCAGTAAACTAAGTGATTTTTGTGGCAACTTTCTGCTGGTGTCCTTTTTATGCTTGTCTTATTTTGTTTTGTTTTCCTAGAACTGGAACAGCTGAAAATTGAAGAGGAGGAGCTCGAAAGGTCAGCTAACAGTTGGATGTTAAAGGAAATATGAAGTTCCCAGATGTGGTGACTTATGATTTCATCTCTGTGCATTTTAGGCCCACCTGGTCTACATGGGGAGCTTCAGGCTAGCCCCAGCCAAGGCTACATAGTGATCCTATCTCAACACACACACACACACACACACACACACACACACACACACACACACACGTGTAATAAAAGTAAAATAAAAATACACTCTAGGCCTGCAGTGGTGGCACACGCTTTTAATCCCAGCACTTGGGAAGCAGAGGCAGCTGGATCTCTGTGAATTCGAGGACAGCCTGGCCTACAGAGTGAGTTCTAGGATAGCCAGGACTGTTTTACAGAGAAACTGTGTCTCGAAAAACCAAAACAACAACATAAAACCAACCATTCTAAGGGGCAAGAGATGGCTTAGCAGTTAAGAAAACTAGTCTGTTCTTCCAAAGGACCCTGGTTGAATTCTCAATCCCCACATGGCATCTGACAACTGCTTGTAACTCCAGTTCCAGGGGTTCTGATGTCCTCTTCTGATCTCCTTGGGCTTCTGCACATATGTGATGGTGCATATAAACTCATGCAGATGCACACATGTACACTTAATAATCTTTTAAAAATGTTGAAGAAAAAGACTTTCCGACTGGAGAGATGGCTCAGCTGTTAAGAGCACTGGCTGCTCTTCCAGAGGACCTGAGTTCAATTCCCAGCACCCCCATGGCAGTTCACAACTATCTGTGACTCCAGTTCCAGGGGATCCAACACCCTCACACAGACTTGTATAAAGGCAAAAACACCAATGAATATAAAATAAAAATAAATAAATTATTAAAAAAAGAACATGGAACCCCAAAGATATCTTCTTGGATTTGAAACTGAGAGACAATGATACATACCTTTTCTAAATAGATCTATTTTAATGTTTTTTTAAATTATCTCATTGACAACTATCTAGCTTATAACTCGTCATCATAGGGCATTTAGTGGATAGTTTATGTATGTGTAATGTATATGTGTACATGTGTACCTGCATGTATGTGGAAGCCAGAGGATAACATCAGGTATCTTTGTCTCTGTTCACCTTTTTTTTTTTTTATGACTGGGTCTTACTATGTAGCCCTGGCAGACTTGGAACTTACTATGTAGATGAGACAGGCTCTGAACTGATAAAGATCTGCCTGCCTCTGCCATCTGAATGCTGGGATCAAAGGTATACCACGTGGCCAGCCTCTACCTTAGCTTTTAAGACAAAGCCTCTTACTGAACCCAGAGCTCAGTTGGTTCTGAGCTGGCAGGCTAGCAAGCACCAGGATCTGTCATTCTCTGAGACCCGACACTAGGGTTACAGACATACACAACTTTGCTTGGTCTTCACTGGGTGCCAGGGATCCAAACTGGAGTCCTTACACATTCACAAGGAAGCTTATTAACTGAGTCATCTCCCCAGCCCCAAAACTTTTGTTACTATTCTAAACTCACTAACAAATACTTTGTTTTTCTGTGAATTCCTGATTTTATTTGCAGACAGTTCTTAGAAGTAGAGAAACAGAAAACGCAGACCCTTGCTCAGATACAGTTTATAAAAGAACAAACAAATAAAACTGAAGAATTACTGGATCAACTGAGGTAAGAGAAAGCAGGTGTCATCCAGTTTCTGTTCTATCCTGTACCTTATATGCTGGTATAGATCTTTGGAGGGTTTTTCGAGTTTTTAGTGTTTTGAGTTGGGCTTTCCCTGTGTTGCCCAGGCTGGCGTACAATTTCTGGGTCCAAGCAATCACTGTGCCTTAGCTTCTCAAGAATACCCACACTCCAACACCACAACACCCAACAATTGCTATGGGCTTTCCAAACCTATAGCGGTGGTTCTCAACCTTAATAGTGCTGTGACCCTTTAATATAGTTCTTCATGGTGTGGGGACCCCCAACCATAAAATTGTTTTGTTGCTACGTCATAACTGTAATTTTGCTACTGTTATGAATCATAATGTAAATATCTGTTTTCCGATGATTTTAGGCAGCTCCTGTGAAAGGGTCATTTGACCCCAAAGGGGTTGAGACCCGTAGGTTGAGAACCACTGACCTATAGTATGGCACAGCCATTTAAAAAAATGTCAGTGTACTTCAAAAGTATGTTAAAAGCATTTAGGGCCATAGGTTAATCTTAAAATATCTTTTAATATTTTGGGTCTGGAGAGCTAGTTCAGTGGTTAAGAGCACTGCCTTTGCAAAACACCCAATTCACTTCCCAGTACCCACATGATAGCTCACAACTGCCTATAATTCAGTCCCAGGGTATCTGATGTCCTCAGACCTCAGCAGGCTCCTTCATGTATGTGATACTCATACACACACTCAGACACATACATTATACATAAAATAAAATGAATATTTAAAAAATATATCTTTAATTCTTCTATCAAATAGACCCCTCCCCCCAAGTTCTGATTTCTTCCAAATGCATCAGATTGAATCAAGTATGGTTGAACATACTTGTAATCCCAGCACTCGGGAGTCAGAGGCAGGAGTATTGCTGTAATTCCTTTTTTTTTTTTAATGGTTAAAGTGAAAGTTTTTATTGTAGATATGAGAGAGAGAACAGCCATAGGCATCTAGAAAAGTCCAAAGCAGAGAGAAAAAGAAGTAGACTGAACATGGACAGCAGACTGGACATGGCCAGGGCTATCTGTGAGAGAGAGACTAGCAGGGCACAGAGAACAGAGAAAACACAGTGAGAGTAGCAGGAGCAGAGCAGAGCAGAAAGCATAATGGGGTAATAAGGACAGTGAGTAGCTGGGAGGGAAGGCCTGGAGCTGGAGGGAGTTTAGGGTGGGAAGGAGGTGAGAAGGGCGAGGATGCTGTTGTGGACTCTGACATGTGTACCAGGTCCTTGTGATGCTGAGGAAGCCTGGAGGCCAGCCTGCACTTTGATGTGCTGATAGGCACCACAGGTAGACATTTGCCCCTCTGCCAGAGGTAGAGGGAAACCAGCTTCATAAGTTCCTGAGGAATGCTGGCTTTCATCTAACCGCCAGGAATCCTCCTATAGCTCATTTCTTTCTGAGTTTCCTTTAAACCTGGCACTAACTCTGAAGTCTTTTTTTCTGCATGGATTGACCTTTGAAAGTGGTATGTGATAAGAGGCCAATTTAGAATATAGAGATATAAGCACCTGTCCCAACAACAATCTTTGACTAAAAGATTCTTTTCCCACTGATCTGCAAGTGCCAGTGGTTCTTATAAGTCAAGTCTATTTATTTGGCCCCTCTTTCTGTTCCATTATTCAGTTTGGCCTTGAGAAAATACCACATTGTCTTATGTTAGATTTCTAATACATTCTAGATCGGGCAACTTAAATAATAATTGTTAGGCAACTCTAGAGGCTAGGAAGTCTAAAAGCAAAGTACAGGTGGTGGGTTGTTTTGAGGCTGCTTTTCTTGGCTCCATATGCCAAAATGACTTCTCTTGTGTACACAAAGGGCTGTAAAGGAAGAGTTAGCTCTCTGGATCTCTTTCTCCTAGGTTTGGTTGTTGGTTGATTTGGGGTTTTTTTTTATTTTTTTGTGACAGGGTCTCACTATGTGGCCCTGGCCAGCCTGAAACTGACAATGTAGACCACATTAGCCTTGAACTCACAGAGATCCTACTGTCTCTGCCTCACTGTTAGGATTATGCTTTCTAATTAATTGGTCTTTATTTATGTCTCAATCTCTTCATCTTGTTTTCAAGTCCTGATTTCCCATCATTCTCTTGATTCACTCTATTGCTAAGACTTTGCATAGAACTTTTTGTTTGAATTACTGAATTTTTCTTTTTTGTTTATTTGGTTTTTGGTTTTTTTTGTTTGTGTTGTTTTTTTGAGACAGGGTTTCTCTGTGTAACAGCCCTGGCTGTCCTGGAACTTGCTTTGTAGCCCAGGCTGGCCTCGAACTCACAGAGATCCGCCTGCCTCTGCTTCCCTAGTGCTGGGAAAGGTGGGCGTCACCCCGCCAAGTGAATTTTTCATTTTTAATTTGATTTTTTTCAGTATTTCTTTTGATTGAGTTTCATGTTCCTATACTATATTGATTTTATTTTATTATTTATTTATTTATTTATTGAGCTGAGGATTGAACCCAGGGCCTTGCGCTTGCTAGGCAAGCACTCTACCACTGAGCTAAATCCCCAACCCCTATATTGATTTTATTTATGTCATTCATTCAGCTGTTATTTGTGTTTTCTTTGAATTTATTCAGGAGTTCATTTGTTTTCACTTTGATTTCTTTGAACATATTTTTAATCAGTTTTTTGGATTCTTTGAAGTTTCATCCAGTTCCTTCATTACCAGGATTAGTAATTTTGGAGAGGTCCTTTGACCTTAGTTTTTCTGTTTCTTGTTTTGGCATTGGTACTTGTATATCTGGTGTTTTGTTGATTTTTTTTTTAAATTATAAATGCTTGGACAATAGCCCAGGTTTATTACTAACGAGCTCTTACATTTTCAGTTAACCCATATTCCTTATTTATGCTCTGTCATGTGGCCGTACCTTTATTAGCATGGCATGTTCATCTCCTGCTCCCTATGTATCTCCCTCATGACTTCTCTGACTCAGTCCTTCCTCCTTCCAGAGTGCTCTGTATCTGGGTGTCCTGCCTACACTTCCTGCCTGGCTACCATCTTGTCAGCTTTTTATTAACCAATGAGAGCAATACATATTCACATTGTACTGAAAGATTATTCCACAGCATTTCCCCCTTACTATCTAATTAAAAAGGAAGATTTTTTTAACATAGGAAAATTTTATATATATACAATTATATAATTTTATATAAATTTTATAAAATATAAAAAACAGAACAGTTACTAAGTAAGAATTATAGTAACAATATCCAATCCATTTTGCTGTAATTCTTGATCAGCCTCATCTACATAACAAGTACTAGGCCAACCAGGGACACACAGCAAGAACTTTACTCAAAAAAAACAAAAACAGACTGGGCTGTGGTGGCGCACGCCTTTAATCCCAGCACTTGGGAGGCAGAGGCAGGCAGATCTTTGTGAGTTCGAGGCCAGCCTGGTCTAGAGAGCGAGATCAGGAAAGGCGCAAAGCTGCACAGAGAAACCCTGTCTCAAAAAACCTAAAAAAAAAAACAAAAACAAAAACAGAGGGGTTGGGGATTTAGCTCAGTGGTAGAGTGCTTGCCTAGCAAGCACAAGGCCCTGGGTTCAATCCTCAGCTCCAAAAAAAAAAAAAAACCAGAATAACAAATAAGCAAACAAAGTACAAGATTGTGCGATCATATTATTTCTTGAGGGTTTTGTTTTATGTTGTTTTTCCTCAAAAGATCTTCATTGGTGATCAGTCTCCATATGTATATATGGAATGTTACACAAATTTTTGTATTATCTTTGCACAAGGGTGAGACCAATCTTCTCTATATTCTTCTGATTTTAGTATGTATGTTGCCAAAGGCAGTACTTGTTTTGTATTTTGAGACATCTCACTGTATCACAGACTGACGTAAAACTCAAGGTGTTCTGCCTTGTCTCAGCCTCCCAAGGGGTAGGGCTGTAAATGTGTAAGCCACCTGGCCATTCAAATTATTTAAATTGAAATACTATTTCCCAATCCAGTGGGGAACAAAGAAAGTAGCTGCTAATGGTACTATTTAATGGTATCGGAAATTCTGCATTCGGGCTAGTAATTTTCTGGATTGATTCCCTAGCACTGGAAAGAAAGGAAGAAAGAGGATAAACTTACTTGTTTTTCTTTATCCTCTAGTTTGTCTGAGTGGGATGTCATTGAGTGGAGTGATGATCAAGCTGTATTTACCTTTGTTTATGACACAATAGAACTTACCATCACCTTTGGAGAACCAGTAGGTAAGTAGCAAAGCTAAAATAATCCTCTTTGGAGTAATGAATACCTACACACACTAAAGATAAAAACTTGTATTTAATTACAATAATAACTACTGACAGCTGGGTGGTGGTGGCGCACGCCTTTAATCCCAGCACTCGGGAGGCAGAGGCAGGAGGATCTCTGAGTTCGAGGCCATCCTGGGCTGCAGAGTGAGTTCCGGGACAGGCTCCAAAGCTACACAGAGAAACCCTGTCTCGAAAAACCAAAAAAAATAATGAAAAATAAAAAATAAAAAAACTACTGACAAAAAGGTAATACCACTGAGAATCTTAGAAGGGTCAGTAACTTTAGTGATAATAGTTTGGGGAAGTTTGCTAAAGACTGACCCGGGAACTCCTGCATGCCAAGTTTATGCTTTACTGCTCTCCCAGGTGAAAGAGCTGAGCATGGTGGCATGGCTGGGGCAGCATCATCTGCTGCATGGTGAGACCCTGTCTCAGAATACAAAAACAGTAAGAGTAAAAGTAGAGCTGCACTGAGTTCTTTCAGAGGATAAAATCCTCTCTAGCCAAATAATGTTCTTCCCCTCCCTACTTTGTGTGTGTGTGTGTGTGTGTGTGTGTGTTTGAATTTACTCAAATGGCTGTTATTCTTTTTTGTTTGTTTGTTTTTTTGAGACAGGGTTTCTCTGTGTAGCTTTGTAACTTTCCTGGAACTCACACTGTAGCCCAGACTGGCCTCGAACTCACAGAGATCCGCCTGGCTCTGCCTCCCGAGTGCTGGGAGTAAAGGCGTGCGCCACCACCGCCCGGTGCTTGTATGGTTTTATTTGATGTTTTGTTTGTTTGAGATGATGACTCGAAATGTAGACTAAGCTGGCTGCCTCTGCCTCCTGAATGCTGGGATTAAAGGTATGCACCATCATTGCTGTTGTTTATTTGGTTCTTGGGGCAAATATTATCTTTGCATAGAAGTTATAGTCAAGGTAAGATCTCTTAATACAGTTTTCAATTACAAAAATATATTCTCTTGGTTCTTCTGTGACCCTGACAATGTTGTCTTTTTTTCCCTTCCTGTGTGGGTGTTGACTTTATTTCCCCCCATAAATTGGGTTTTATTTGGAGGGGGTCTGAGGGGTTGTTTTTTTTTTTTCCATTTATTGAGACAGGCTCTCTGTGAAGCCCTGGCTGTGCTGGAACTCACTGTGTAGACCATACTCGCCCCAAACTCAGAAATTCATCTGCCTCTGAGACTCCTGAGTGCTAGGATTAAAGACATGTGGCACCATGCCCAGCCCGTAAGTTGGTTTTGGTATACCCAAGTCTGAAGGCAGGCTTGGTAATACATGTCTTTAATCCTAGCACTCAAGAGGCTGAAGCAGGCAATTTCTGTGAGTTCAAGGACAGCCTGGTGTGTGTGTGTGTGTGTGTGTGTGTGTGTGTGTGTGTGTGTGTGTGTATCTCAAGTTCCAGGGAAGCCAGAAGTACATAGAGAGAACTTGTCTCAAAAAATTGAAGAAGCATGACGGGGTGGCGCACGCCTTTAATCCCAGCACTCGGGAGGCAGAGCCAGGAGGATCTCTGTGAGTTCAAGGCCAGCCTGGACTACCAAGTGAGTTCCAGGAAAGGCGCAAAGCTACACAGAGAAACCCTGTTTCGAAAAACCAAAGGAAAAAAAAAAAATTGAAGAAGCAAACAAACAAGACTGAAATTTCTTTAAAAAGGGGGAAAAAATAAACCTTTAAAAGTAGAAAAATAAGTATAGCTATGGTCTGCAGTTTAATTTCTTTCAAAGGCCTACTAAATTGATATCATTGAATAATATCAGGATGTCCTTCACCATATACAGAAAATAATATGACTCAAGGATATACCTTCAACTGCCTATGATAAGAATCCTGCTACCTCAGAAGAATAGAAATTTTTTTTTTTTTTGGTTTTTTGAGACAGGGTTTCTCTGTGTAGCTTTGCGCCTTTCCTGGTCCTCACTTGGTAGCCCAGGCTGGCCTCGAACTCACAGAGACCCACCTGGCTCTGCCTCCCGAGTGCTGGGATTAAAGGCGTGCGCCACCACCGCCCGGCAGAAGAATAGAATTTGAAAGTAGAAAAAAGAAACCTTTGTGACTGGGGATAGAGCTCAATGCCTGGGTTCAGTCCCCAGCACTGCAGAAACCAGGTATGATAATAAGTATTCATGAAAGTCCTGGGTTCAGTCTCCAGCACTGCAGAAACCAGGTATGATAATAAGTACCTATAATTCAAGAGAGTAAAAGAGAATAAAAAATCCAGGGCTATCCTCAGCTACATAGGACTTTGAAGCCAACATAGGCTATGTAAGATTCCAATAAAATGAGATGAGAAAGAAAGAAAAATCTCTTTTTCTGATTTTCCTTAGTTGGTCTCCCTTTCTTGGACAAGGCTTACAGGAAGATTAATGAGCTCAATTTTCAGTCTCTGTTAGATGGTAAGTTCAAAATATTTAAGCCTCCAAATTTTGTTGGTAACTTATAGGTATAATTTGTCCTTAAATGTGTTTTAAACAAAAACTGCTTGTATAGTATTCTAAATATTGAGCAGATTTTAAAAGAAATTACTTTATTAGTACTAGATATTGAACAATGATTAATAATAGTTATTTTTGTATTTGAAATTAGCGCTATGAGTATTTAGTCTATACCAGGCACATGTATTACTTGTTATCAGTGCTATAAGTAGATATTATTTTCTAGTTTACCAGTTAGGAAACTACAGATCAGAAAAATTAAGTGTGCTTACAGTTCCTTAGATAGTAAAGAAAGCCTAGATTTGAACTCAGAAATATGTTCCATTTAAATTCATGCTTTCAACTAAGCACTGTTCTATATGTTTAGGCTTAAAGCTTTATAAAATATCTTATATATAATCGAATATGTTATAGACTTGTTTGAAAATAAAAATTAGCTGGGCGGTAATGGTGCGTGCCTTTAATCCCAGCACTCAGGAGGCAGAGTCAGGTGGATCTCTGTGAGTTCGAGGCCAGCCTGGTCTACTGAGCAACTTTCAGGACAGCCAGGTCTACACAGAGAGACCCTGTCTTGATTTTTAAAAAGAGAGAAAGAGATGGGGTTGGGGATTTAGCTCAGTGGTAGAGCGCTTGCCTAGCAAGTGCAAGGCCCTGGGTTCGGTCCTCAGCTCTAGGAAAAAAAAAAAGAAAGAAAGAAAGAAGGAAGGAAAAAGAAAAAAAATGTGCATTTAGTAGTTTGAAAATATTTCTAGTTTATGTAATATAATATACCTTATTAAAATACATGAAAATATAATACCCTTATTTTTTATTTTTTTCCCTTCTTCAGAAGATAAAGCTCCTCCTTCCTCCCTTTTAGTTCATAAGCTTATTTTTCAGTACATTGAGGAACAAGAGTCCTGGAAGAAGAAATGTACAACCCAACATCAGGTACCCCAGGTAAAGTCTGACGAGGCATGTAAAGGAAACCTTACACTATTTGTCCCAAACAGCAGAGTTGAAATTCTGAAAAAAATTATAGTGTCCTGAAATTATAAATATATTTAGTTGTTCAACATTTTGGGGATTATTAAACATTGAAATTTTTCGTTGAGGTTGTGGTTTTTTTGGTTGTTTTTGTTTTGTTTTTTGCTTTTTTGAGGTAGCAGTTTTCTTTTTGTACTTGAGTTTTAATTCACATTCAAAGTAATGGTGGTGGTGTTATTTGGTTTTATTTTGAAACAGTCTCTCAGTAGCTTAGTCTGACTTACAAAGCCAAGGATGACCATGAACTTTTGATCTATCTACCTGTCTTCACTGCCCAAGTGCTGAGATTAGGGACATGCCCTACCACGCCTCATTTATATAGTTCTCGGGATCAAACCTAGGGCTTTGTGCATGCTAGGCCCAGACTCTCTATCTTTTTTGCTTTTTTTTTTTCCAGACAGGGTTTCTTTGTAGACTTGGCTATCCTGGAACTCACTCTGTAGACCAGGCTGGCCTCAAACTTACTCGCCTGCCTCTGTCTCCCCAGTGCTGGGATTAAAGGCATGTGCCACCACCGCCTGGTTAGATTTATTTTGTATTTCATGTATAGATGTTTTGCCTGCATGTATATCTTTGTGTGCACTGCATGACGAGGCCAGAAGAAGGCATCAGAGTTTCCTCAAACTGGAGTTACTGATTGTTGGCCATTTGTAGGTGCTAGGATTCGAACCCAGAGCCTCTGAAAATCTTAACTACTGAGCCATCTCTCCATCTGCTAGGCCTAACTGAGCTACATCCCTGAACCCCAAAGTAATGTGTTTCAGTATGATATTCTCTCTCTCTGTCTCTGTCTCTGTCTCTCTCTCTCTCTCTCTCTCTCTCTCTCTCTCTCTCTCTCACACACACACACACACACACACACACACACACAGAGTCATTTTTTTGTTCTTTTTTTTTTTTCTAGATGCTTCAGGAACTCTCACTGGTAGTGAACCATTGCAGACTTCTTGGAGAGGAGATTGAATTTTTAAAGAGATGGGGGCCAAATTATAGCCTAATGGATATAAATGTGAATAATACTGAGTGAGTATATTCAGTTCCCTGGAGCTGTTATAATAAAGTATTATAAGTTGAGTGGCTTAAAAAGCAGAAAGTTAACTGATTTAATATTCTGGAGGCTAGAAGTCTGGGGTGAATGTTAGTAGGGATGGTGGTCTAAGAGCTGTGAATGACCCTTCCATGCCTTTCTCCTAACTTCTGATGGTTTACTGGCAATTTAGGGAACCTAAATGCATAACTTTGATATCTATCTTCATCCTCACATGGTATTCTTTCATTATGTCTATGTCTAAATTTCCCTTTTAATAAGGATGCCAGTCATACTAGACAAAGGACCACTATGCTGTAGTAACACCTCATCTTAACTCATTAAATTTACAATGACCTGATTTCTAAGTGAGGTCACATCTGAGATAATCAAAGTTAGGATTTCAGCTTTGAATGTAAAAGGATATGTTTTAAGCAGTAATAGAAGATAACTCATCAAGAACTTAATTTTTTGAGATGTTGTCCACATTGTCCAGCTTGCAGTGATCCTTCCCCTTTGGCTTTCAAGTGCTGGGATTATGGGTATGCACCATCCCACTTGGCTTTTTCATTTTTCTGTTTTAAGTTTGTGTGTATATGTAAATGTATGTCACATGTGTGAGTGCCTGCAGAGGTTAGAAGAAGGCATTGTATCCCCTGGAGCTAGTCACAGGTAGGTGTGAGCCACCTGATGCTGATGCTGAGAACTGAACTCCATTCCTTTGGAAGAGCAAGAAGCACCTTAATCACTGAGCCATCACTCTGTTCTCCTTGGAACAACTCACCTTATAACCCAAACTGGCCTCAAAAGTATTGTCATCCTCTTGCCTTAACCTCCAGAGTGTGCCAAGGATTACCACCTATAGCCTATGATTGTGAATCAACAAACAAACTCAGAGTTCACTCAGTAAAGCACTTGCCTTACAAGTGTCAAGAACTGAGTTCAGATTTTCTGAACTCTTGCTTTGAAAAGTCCAGTATGAGTCAGGTATGGTGGTGCATGTCTGTAATCCCAGAGACAGAGTCAGGAGGATCTCTGAATTAAAGACCAGGCTTGTCTACATAGCAAGTTCCAGGACTGCCAGGGAAGAAAGGGAGGGAGGGAGGGAGGGAGGGAGGGAGGGGGAGAGAGAGAGAGAGAGAGAGAGAGAGAGAGAGAGAGAGAGAGAGAGAGACTAGTGTTATAGCCTGCACTTATAATCCTAGCAGTGGCAAGATTAAAGGCAGAGAGAAATGGATCCTTAGAATCGTTTGGCCTAGCCTTTGTGATGTCATTCCAGACCATTGAGAGACCCCATCTCACACAAAAGGTAGAAGATGCTTGAGGATCAGTACCCAACATATTGACCTTCATACATACTGTGCATGTGCATACTTATACAAACTCTTTCTCTCCTCTCTCTCTCCCTCTCCCCGACTCTTTGTCTGTCTGTCTGTCTGTCTGTCTCTCTCTCTCTCTCTCACACACACACACACACACACACACACACTTAATGTATTTCATTACAGTCAATTAGGAAGTAATTATTATATCTTTTTTAAAATAATATCTTGCTCTAGATGTTTTACCTTTTCTATTTGATAAGGACAAGAAATAACAGCTACCTAAGTTTTATATGCAAGTATAAAAGAAAAATGTGTTCATGTTTTAATCTATTTTGGTCTTATATTTTTAATTGTGTATCTTATCTTTTATAGATTGAGGCTTTTATTCTCCAGTTCTGCAGCATTTACAAAATTTGAGATAACTTTGTCTCTCTCAGCACATTATCCCTTGGTCCCACTAGTATTCACCATTCAAAATCACCTTGGGAACACTGAGTAAGTAAATATCCAGCTCGATAGAAGTTCTAGCTACTTTTGTACACTTCTTATTTCATTCCAAAGGTCCTTGAAAGTGTCAACAAATACACTGAGAAGTAAGTGTCGCTTCTTTCTGACTCCATTTTCTAGTATTGGTTCTTCTAAAGTCAATGATCTTATTATTGTCGCCAGTGGATGCTGGAGTCCAGTCTAGTCTTTTATGGTGGCTTCAGTTTCTTAACGCTTCTCCCTAAGACAAGAATCAAGTTAAAATTTTGGAACTGGAGATGTACAGATGCACACCTGTAATCCCACACACCTTAGAGGAAGTGGTAGCAGGATCAGAAGTTCAAGATCATTCCCATTAGAGTATGATCTACTTTATAACTTTTTCAACAACACTGTGGCATATTAGAAGCTGTCTTCCTTAAATTCATCACTAAACAACAACAGTTTGGAGTTTCACTGCTAAAGGAATTAACTTAGAGACCAGGGAGATAGCTCAATTGGTAAAGAGCCTGCCACACCAGCATAAGGATCTGTGTTCCAAACCCTAACACATGTAAAAGGAGGGTGCAGTGGTACACATCCAGAACCCCAGTTCTTGGAAGGGTAGAGGCAGCAGGAACCCGAGAGTCACGAGCCAGCCAGTCTAGCCAATCAGTGAAAGACCTGTCTCAAAAAATAAGTTGGAGAGCAACTAAGAAGACAGTTTGTCTACCTCTGGTCTATACCCACACACACATACACAGGAACACACATGTGCATACATGCACAAACACAAAACATGGTGGGGGTATGGGAAACAGGAGCTGGAGAAATGGCTCAGTAGTTAAGAATGCTTGCTGTTCTTCCAGAAGTCCTGGGTTTAGTTCCGAGCATCCACACAGGGCAGCCTACAACCACTTGTAACTCTAGCTCCAAGGGACCCAGTGTTGTCTTCTGGCCTACTCTAGCACCTGCCCTCACATGTGCCATTCCTACACACACAGATACACATAATTAAAAATAAAATGTAATCAATCCTATTTTAAAAGTAATTAGGGAGTTTGGAGTTAAAACCCAGTGGTAGAATGCTTGCCTAGCATGTACAGGGGCCTATGTTTAATCCCTAGCACCATAGGCAAACAACAACAAAAAAGCAACCAGGTCAAGATACTTTATGATAATATTCAGAATTGTTTATTCAGCCTTATTTTAGAATACAGTTTCTATTAAAGTTCTGCTTGTTTCCAGAAATATCCGTTTGTGCTTCCTAGAAACTTAAGAGGTAGTATCAAGGAAATGAATAGTCCTGAATTGGAGACAGGTGTAAGTTTTTCAGGAAAACTAATTAATACCTTTTTGTCCTTTCTAGCCATGATGAAATTGCTGCAATTATATCCAAAGTGCCTTTAGAGGACAACTGCCTGAAGAATATAGTCAAGCAAATTTACCAAGATCTACTTAAGGACTGAAACTTTTACCATAAGATCCACACATCACAACTATAACAACTAAGGAAAAAAATGTGTTTACCCAAGCATAGAGGTGCCCTCTTGTAAACACAGGACTCGGGTGAGATAAGATCACAAGGTCAAGACCATCCTGGGCTGCCTATGAGACCTGGTCATAAAACAGACAAACAGAAAAAATACTTAAATGATACATCAGGGTCACCATTGCTGTTTATCCTTTGCCTTAACATCATAGAAAACTAGCAAAATGCCTCCTGATGACATCATAGTTAATTTGTTTAATTAGTTTTAAAATACCTAGTCAAAAATGGTGAGGTCTCAAATAGCATGTATCAACTTGCTTATCCTTATCCTCAAGGGTAAGTGATTGGACATGTGGGAAATTTGTCCTAATGTAACTCATTAATGGAGCACTTACCTTGTGTGCATGAAGCCCTAAGGTTAATACCACAAAATCAATTCTTTTTAAAAGTGGTACTCTTTCCCTTACTATAAGCTCTGAGTAACTTTTCAGAGGAGGTAGGACTATTGACACAAAGATAGACCATTTTCTCCTATTTACATCTTGTGTCTTTATGGCTTTTCCTAGCAGATATGTCTAGAGTAGAAACATGTCTGTCAGCCTGTGGTACAGAAGACTGTAACAGGAGGATGGCTTGATCTCATGACTTCAAGACCAGTATGGTCAATAGAGTGAGATTTATCTCACTAAAACAAAAGAATGTCTCTGTCCACAAACTACTCATCCTCTTTCTCCATTTCAGAAATGCTATTAAAAGAAAGCAGAAGCACTCAAATATCGGAGTGGTTGCCATCTTTTCTTAAGAGTCTTGGTATTTTTTTCTACAGTGCCTACTAATGTTGTCTTAAGTGTACTCTTTCTAGGAAAAATTCATTCATTTTGAAATATTATGTAAATATTTGAATGTTTTTGTTTTTGTGATATAAGATACGTAGTAAAGAGATAATATGCCTTCAGTGTAGGCTATTTCCTTCTCTGTAAAGAATGCTTTACAGCTAGAATTTTAATCTTTTTTTAAGTAAGTAGTGACATTTCAAACAATATCACATTGCAACACTAGTTTCTCACAATCATAAAAAACTATTGCAAAACTATTGCTTCTTGAAGCCACATTTTTAAAGCAATATAAAAATTGTTTAGTAAATGAATAGTATTCTCTGAGGTAGACAAATGTGAAAGGACTTTTCCCCACGTGCTAGTCAAATCCTAATCATGCTAACTTTTGTTTCTTTATATTTAATTCTAAACCATGTTTACATTTTCAAGTTAATTTGTCTTAAATATTTACTTTTTGTGTAAAGTCCTTTTAGTTCCTCAAATGTTATCTTACTTTTGCTAGCTTTTACTTCTGAGCTATACATCAAAAGATCACAGAGTCTTTTAGGTTTCAAAAGTCAACACAAAACTATTTTGACTTAAGTGTTAGAGATCCATAAAATACTTGTAAAGTTATCAGTATTATCTGTTTACCATAAAATTTAATTTATCCTTCTGACTAGAATTATTTTTTCCCTATATGTCTAGGAGGTTTTCTTTTATGTATTCTCTAAACTTGAAAACCTGCTCCACGAATGATTTGGTTATAATGATGGCATCTAGCATTAGAGCATGATTTTAGTTGTATTTATATAGGTATTTGTGTTTTCCTCTGTTTACAGTTTTGGCAATTTTTGTATTTTCTAAGTTTCTCTTTTATTCATTTTAAAGGATTTTTTTCATTATTAAAGTGCATCGATTACTTGAAATCCTTTATAATTAGTATCTCTATTAAGAGTATTTGTAGTGGGGCTTGAGAGGTGGCTCAGCAGTAAAAGTGCTCACAGCTTTTGCAGAGTTGTCCTAACACCCACATGGCGGCTCACAACTGTTCGTAACTCCAGTTCTAGGACATCCAATGCCCTCTTCTGGCCTCCATGAGCACTGGGCTTGGAGAAGGCATATATACATACATCAGGCAAAACACTCATACACATAAAGTTAAAATAAGTCTTTTAAAAAAATATTTTTGCTGGTTATAGTGGTACACTCCTTTAATTCTTAGCACCTAGGAGGCCAAAGTAGGTGGATCTCTGAGTTTGAGAGGCCAGCCTGGTCTACAGAGTGAAGTTTCAGGATAGTCAGGGAACACAGAGAAACTGTCTCCAAAAACAAAAACAAATAAATGAAAAAGATTTTGTAGAAGGCGCCTGGTGGTACAGAACTGTAATTTTGTTTCCTTGAGATACTGAAGGAGTATCACATGTTTAAAGCTAATCTGGACTCCAAAATTAATTTTCAGGCAAGCCTCCCATGAACTGCACTGAACCCATACATACCAACAACACACCAAGATGGAGACCAGCCTGGGCTTCATGAGATCCTATCATTCAGTTTGGAGAATGCTCATCTAGCATGTACAAAGCCCTGGGTTTGATCCCAGACATTGCCTAGACTTACTATGGTGGTACACTCCTGTAATCCCAGCACTCAGGAAGTAGAAGCAAGAATATCAAAAGTTCAAGGTCATTCTTGGCTAGATATCAAGTTTGGGCTATATGAGAACAAGAGCAATACCCTCAAATGTGTAACCACAGTGGTTATAGTTTTAATTGTCATCTGTCCACTTTGTCAAGTTCTTCCAGGCCATAGACACCAGCTGCACCCTAATCACAAACCGATAATGAGCAACACATGGATACTGCCTGTAGTATGAATTCTAATTGGTCTTAATAAAAAGCTGTAGTCAGATATTGGGATGAAAGCTGAAAGATCAGAGAAGCAGAACAGCCAGCCACTAGAAAGACTTCTTACCTCTACCGAATCCTCAGACCGAGAGGGCTGAGCTCCTGTCGCTACCCCACTTTAACACTTTCTCCTCTGCCCAATCATATCACTACCTGTTTCCTCCTCCCAAGTACTGGGGATCAAAGGCATGAGATCCTTCCCCCCCCCCCCTTCAGTTCTTTATTAGACCATCAGGTGTTTCAGACAGGCACAGTAACACAGCTTTACAGAGTTAAACAAATGCAACATAAGTAACACACCTTAAAATAATATTCTACAACAGTTTAGTTTGTTGTCCTTTGTTTTGTTTTAGACAGTCTTGCTATGTAGCTCAGGCTGGCCTAGAATCCATAATCCTCATGCCTCAGTGTTACCAGTACTAGGGTTAATATAGGATTAAGAACCCATTAGTGTCAGGCATGCTCTGGGCTCTGTAGAAGCAGTAGGGAGGGAGATTCTTGCTTGCAAGAGGCATGCATGTGGGAAGCTTTGCAAAGCACAGGGGTGAAGAGAAGCACTCAAAAGTCCAAGTTCCTTACTCCCAGCCATGGAAACCCAAATCTCTGCCTTCACAGAATGATGGTGACGGTATCATAGGGCTCAGAGGTTACCAGGGGACAAGCCAGGCTCAGATGGCTAACTCACAACTGACAGGAGTTTAATGTTCAAGCCGATGCTAAGACATCCAGAGAATGGCCGAGGCCTTCACAGTGCATGCATAGTCTGGGGACTCAACACTCCAGCTCCTTCAGCTTCTCTTTTAGCCATGCTTCAAAGCAGTTTCTGCATCATTCCTACCTCCAAGCCATTCCATTTGTTGCTTACTCTGCACTCAGGCCCTTACTCTTGGCCTCTCCCTAGACCTTGACTGAACGCTGGATTTAAATACCTATCTCTGGCAAGATGGCTCAGTGAGTGAAGGTGCTTGCTGCCAAGCCTGGTGACCAGAGTCATCCCCAGGGCCCACATGGTGTAGGAGAGAAGCAACTCTCATGGGTTGCCCTCTGACCACCCGGTGGCCGTGGTACAAGTGTACCCCTTAATAATAAATAAATGTAAACATTTTAAAACAAATCCATCACTCCTTCAGTCATTACTTGGAAGTTGTTGGTGGGAGAGACTCAATCTGGCCGGTTCCATCTGTGTCATGTGCTGGGCTGTAAAACTCAGCAGATGTAGGCTGGAGATATAGTTCAGTTGGAAGTCCCCAGCATTGCATAAATTGGGAATGGTGGCAGATGCCTATAATTCAGCACCCCACCTGCCTCACCCTAACAAGTACTGGAATTACTGATGTGAGCCACTATGCCTGGCTTGGGGTGGGTCCTTTATCCAAATATTGTACTGTGGTAGAATGTATGATATAAAATTTACCTTTTAGTGCACAATTCAGCAGCACTAAACAGTTCCCAATACTTTGCAGCCAGCACCCATCTCCAGAACTTTTCCCATCTTTCCAGACTGAAACTCTGTTCCCATCAAACACTGCCTCCCTCCTCAGCCTCTGGCATCTACTATGTTTCTCTCTATTGATGTGTCTAGGGATCTCATTTAAGTGGGATCCTGAGTGCTTATCTTCTGACTAGCTTATTTCACTTGACGTAGTGCCCTCTGGTTCATCCATATTATATTACCTGTCGGAATTCCCTCCTTTTGAAAGTCTTATTTGAAACTGCAAAGTATTTTCTCTGTAGAAAATAGTAAAAATGATAACATTTCCCAATAAGCCCTTTTAAACCAAATAATAGTTGAATTATACATATAAATATTGATTAGATTCTGGGATACAGAGGAAATCTATCTTCATCTGTTCAGAGAGCTATGTTTTTTACTTAAGTTGTATAAGTGAGATTCCTATTCATCTTCCCCTTCACTGTTTGATTTATGGCAGACATTTTTCTATAGGCTAATATCTATAATCTCAAAAGCTTTTAGCCTTCCCTCCTGAGAGTACAGCCAGCATATCCTTTCATCAGCTTGATATGGTACAAATTCTTATCCTAATAGTGAAATGTTTCACAAAAGCATAATGAGTGATTGGGCAAATGAAAACTTATTATAAGTCACAGTCATCCTAGGGTCCTCCCTGTTAGGTAGCCTCCCTAGATCTGTGGGTTGCAGTCTGATTGTCCTTTGCTTTATATCTAGTATCCACTTATGAGTGAGTACATACCATGTTTGTCCTTCTGAGTCTGGGTTACCTCACTCAGGATGATATTTTCTAGTTCCATCTATTTGCCTGTAAATTTTATGCTGTCATTGTTTTCTCTGCTGCAGATTAATTCATTCTCCAGTTCAATCCTTCAGGATTGAACGACCCTTTCACAGAATCAATTATCAGACATCCTGCATATCAGATGTTTACAATTCATAACAGTAGCAAAATTACAGTTATGAAGTAGCAACATAATTTATGGTTGGGGATTACCACAACATGAGGAACTATTAAAAGGTCAAAGCATTGGGAATGTTGAGAACCACTGGCTCTAGAGGCTGAGGCAGGTAGATCTCTGTGAATTTGAGGCCAACCTGATCTATACAGTGAGTTCCAGGCCAGTTGGAGCTATATAGTGGGAGCCTATCTAAAAAACAACAACAACAAAATGAGAACCAAATACTGCAGGCTATCGATATAGCTCAGTGGTAAAGCCTAACATGCACAGGGCTCTAGCCTCTATCCCCATTATGACAAAATAGAAAACGAGTATATAATATAAAAATCTCCTTTAAAAATGTTTATGCTTGACATGGTGGTACACACAAATTCCAGTACTTAGGAGACAGAAGCAGGAGGATCTCTGAGTTTGAGGCCAGCCTGATTTACATACCAATTTCTAGGCCAACCAGGGCTACATAGTGAGACCCTGTTTAAAGAAGGAAAGCAGGCCAAATACTGTTTTTGAGTCTCTTTCAGAAGCTTAAAAGCCAGAATGGCAGTTTTCTAAAAGCAAGAGCAACAGGAAGAAAATGTAATTTCCACTGTGCCAACTACTGTGGAGGATTGAGAAGTAGTCACGAAAAAATGGCTAGCTATGCACTATTTTAGCGCATTTGATAAAAGATCTTTACCACCATTGATTTCTAATGCCTTATCATATACTAAATTGTTATTACTTGTATCTGTTTCAATTTGTGGGAATCTGAACAATGAACCTTCAACATCATCTACATTAGCTGGGCAGGCATGGCATTATATTACACACCTGTTTATCCCAGCACTCAGGAGGCTGAGCAGACAGGATTGTTTCCTAGGCTACATAAAAAACAAAACCAAAAAGCCAACTTTTTCTTCAGTGAAAAGGCTACACTTCTGCTGATTCAATTCTGGGGTTTTTTTTGGTTTTTTTTTTTTTTTTGGTTTTTTGAGACAGGGTTTCTCTGTGTAGCTCTGTAGCCCAGGCTGGCCTCAAACTCACAGAGATCCACCTGGCTCTGCCTCCCGAGTGCTGGGATTAAAGGCGTGCGCCACCACCGCCCGGCCAATTCTGGTTTTATTAGAGCTTGATTCCCCAGGATTTCAGGTCATTATTGGGCTGGAGATGTAGATCACTTGGTTGAGTGCTTGCCTGGCTTCATGAAACCAAGAGTTTGATCCTCAGCACCACATAAACCAGTCAGAGAGGTGAACCTCAGTAATCTCAACAATCGCATCCAAAGTTCAAAGTAATCTTCAGCTACATGGCAAATTTGAGGCCAGCCTGGGCTACATACACCCTGTTTCAAATCAAAACAAAAATCACTGAGATTATGTAGTTTATAGTTTAGGCCAGGCAGTGGTGGTGTACACCTCTAATGTCAGCACTCAGGAGGCTGTGAGTTCAAGACCTGCCTAGACTACAGAGTCAGTTCCAGGACAGTCAGAGCTGTTACACAGAGAAAACCTGTCTTGAAAACAAAAAAACAAAAACTAAACCACCCAGGTTAATTTAAGCATTGTAAGAATGGAATTTAGTCCGCTGATTCATTCTTCTCTTTTGGAATGGATGCATACCTTATTGATCTCAAGAACAATACATGCTGCTGGGTCTCTGAAGAATTGGAAAGAGCTGAAGTCATCAGAATGCAAAACTTTTTTTTTTTAATTTCTGCTCCCACTTTCTATCTCTACTTACCTTTCTGAGAATAAACCTTGTCTTGACATCTACACAGCCATAGGTGTCTTGCCTCTTGTTTCTAAGCTTAGGTTTGCCTAGATTCCAATTCTAAATTTCCAGGAACAATTTATTATTCACCTGCTATCTATAATTAGTTTGGTTACTTCTACAACCAAATGCTCCCTGAACTCTTTTGTCATTGTTAGTTATTTAGTTCAAACCTCTGTCTCTCACCTGAAATATTGTAAGAGTTCCATGGAGGAGATGGTGGCTGCCATCAAGCCTAACAACCAGAGTTCAATGCCAAATACATGGTAGAATCAAAAAGCTTTGAAGTTGTCTTCTGCCCTCCACAAGTAAGGGCCCACCCTCAAACATACACATAGACAAATGAACAAATAGCTGAGGAGCCCCCAACTGGATCAGGCCCTCTGGATAAGTGAGACATTGATTAGCTTGAACTGTTTGGGAGGCACCCAGGCAGTGGGACCAGGACCTGTCCTTAGTGCATGAGCTCGCTGTTTGGAACCTGGGGCTTATGCAGGGACACTTCACTCAGCCTGGGAGGAGGGGACTGGACCTGCCTGGACTGAATCTACCAGGTTGAGCTGAATCCCCAGGGGAGTCTTTGCCCTGGAGGAGATGGGAATGGGGGGTGGGCTGGGGGAAGGGGGGGGGGGGCGCGGGCGGGAGTGGGGAGGACAGGGGAATCCATGGCTGATATGTAAAATTAAATTATAAAATAAAAAAAAATGGCCGGGCGGTGGTGGCGCACGCCTTTAATCCCAGCACTCGGGAGGCAGAGCCAGGCGGATCTCTGTGAGTTCGAGGCCAGCCTGGGCTACCAAGTGAGTCCCAGGAAAGGCGCAAAGCTGCACAGAGAAACCCTGTCTCGAAAAACCAAAAAATAAAAAATAAAAAAAAATAAAAATAAAAATAAAAAAATGTTTTTAAAAAACAAACAAAACCCTGTTTTTGTTGTTCTTGTCTCTATTCAACAATAGTGTAAGGATTAAATAAAAACGTTGGTCAACTTTAAAGCACCCCACAGCCAGCCCTGGTGGCACAAGCCTGTAAGGCCTAATAAATCCAGCTATATGGAAGTCTGAGGCAGGAAGATTCAAAGTTCAAGATCACCCTGGGAAACTTATCCAGAGAAACGCCCAGAGCCCTCGGGCTTCGTTGATGCCTTTAATTCCAGCACTCAGGAGTCAGAGGCTGGTGGATCTCTGTGAGTTCGAGGTCAGCCTGGTCTACAAATCGAGTTCCAGGACAGCCAGGGTTGTCCTGTCTCTAAAAACCCTGTCTCTAAAAACAAAAACAACAAAAAAATGTCAAGCACGGTAGATTATGTCTGTAACCCTTTGGGAAGCTGAATTCAGCCTGGGTTACAGAGAACCAGTCTCAATAATAATTACTAGCTGGGCATGCAGCTAAATTGTTGAAGTGCCTTTTAGCATGCATGCAGCCCTGGGTTCAGTCCCAGCACAGAATATAGTGGTGGATCACTCCTGCAATCCTAGCACAGAAAACCAAGGTGGGGGAAGGACTGAGGTCATTCTCAGCTGCAAAGAGTTCGAGGCCAGGCTCAAAGCACATAGATATATAACAAGAAAAAACAAAAAGCCTAAGTTATAGGTCAAAGTTCCTGACAAACTACACAAACATGTTTTCAATTCTGAGCCCTCTTTTCTGGAGTTCCAATAAGCACCAAAACCCACTACAGAGTGAGTTATCTTATTTTTGGTGGGTTTATAAATGTATATAATGTATTTCGATTAGATTCACCCGTCCCAACAACCGCCCAACTAAATGTACTTTTTTTCCACAACTGGCTGGCTCTGTTTGCAGGTTTTACCCCTTTATTCCAGCTTCTTCACCTCTTCGCCCACATTGATTCCCAGAAACACCCCACCTGCCCAAGGGTGGCATTCTGACAAAACTGTACACCACAAACACCTTTTCCGCCTTAGGCCAACAACCCGTGCGCAAGAATTTTACAGAGCAGCGCCCGCAGCAGTGCATGCTGGGTGATGTAGTCCTGGGCCGACCTCGTAGCCTTTGGGGACCTGTAGTCTTCAGTCAGGTAAGGGGAAAGGTCAAGTCAGAACAGTCACAGAGGAAGGCAAAAGTGACCTACGGAATCACTCAGCTTCAAAGTCGCCGGGCACGTCCGTCAAGCTCTCAGCGGAAGTGGCTATAGGCGGGTCCGAGAAAGGCGTGATGACGTCGCAGGGGTGCGGGCGTGACGGGCCGTGAGGGTTTGGCGGGATTTCTGAAAGTCGCGCGTCGCTGGGGCAAGTGCTCGCAGGCCGGTTCCCGGGCAAAGCCGTGGTGTCCCCGGAAGCGCGGCTGGGAAGGCTGAAATTTGCTCCTGTTCGTCCCAGACGACCCTACAGAGGAACTGCGCAGTGGTTCGAGCCGGTGACGGGGGTTTTGTGGTGTGTGCAGAGCGGGCCGCCGGAAGGAGCGCGCGGCGCACGGCTGCGGACCGGTGAGTGTGAGGCGCGGGCGGAGCCCTCCCGGAGGAACCGCCCGGGTTCCTCGGCTGACTCGGGCCCCTGCTCCCGTCGCCAGCTTTGGGGGCCCCTCTGCGCTGAGAAACGCGAGGATGGCGGAGCTGGGCACCTGCCTGGGGCCAGCCGACCGACGCTAACTGGTCCACTGGGTTCGTTGTGGAGAAAACGAACCCTTCTTCAGGCTTTTGTTTTGAGACCTGGCTCACGCCTTAGTCCAGGCTGGACTCGAACTCCTGCCTTGGTTCCCAAATGCTGGAGCTGAAGACTTTCACGTTCATTTCTGTGGCCCCGACGCAGGAAGCCGAGAGCCTGAGAGATGTGCTCACAGCTGTGAAATATTAGGGCCAAGCCTAACAGATTCCTGGTTACTGTGTTTTGTTTTGTTTTTAAGTGGAGCATAGTGGTTGGTGCCAGTGATTTCTGGAGACTGAGGTAGGAGTTCAAAGATTGCGTAAACAGAGTAAAGACTGAAAAGTGCAACACAAATTTCTAAAAGAGAATCCTGGCCAGATGATTCACACCTATCCTATGATCCCAGCACTTGAGAGGAGAGGCAGGATGCAATTTCAAGGCCAAACTGAGCTATATATGGACGAGTATGTCTCAGGGAAAAAGTAATGTAGGGGGACTGGAGAGATGGCTCAGCCGTTAAGAGCGCTTGTTGCTCTTTCCAAGGACCTGAGTTCAGTTCCAACACCCACATGAACCACCCATAACTCCATTTCCCGTGGATCCCTTGCTTTCTTCTGACCTCCACAAGCACCAGGCATGCTTGTGGTACACATACATATATGCAGACCAAATACTTCTGCCCAAAAAAATAAATCTGAAAAGAACTTTAAAAAAAATAGTAATAAAGTGAAGTATAAAATACAAAAACCACAAATGAGTGCATACACAAATTATTACAAAATGAATCTGTGTAATCACCAAGTCAAAGAAATCAAATGTCATCACTCTAAAAACCTCTGTTATCCTTTCTTATCTGATATTTCCCCCTCACCCTATGGCTAAACAGTGATTCCTAACACTGCTCGCTAACTTGGCCTATTTTTAGAAAACATTATTTAGGCAGGGTCTGACTTTGTAACTCAGAAACTGGTCTGGAACTCTGAATCCTACTGTCTGCCCGCTAGGTGCTGGGCTACAGGAGACTGCCACCATGAAGGCTAAATACTTCTTTAAAAAAAAAAAAACTTTTATTTACTTCTATTTTATTTTATGGTGCTTTGCCTGCAGGTCAGATCTTTGAGTTACAGACAGTTGTTAGCCATGTGGGTGCTGGGATTTTTAAGATTTATTTATGTATATGGTGCTCTATCTGCATGTGCACCTTTATGCCAGAAGAGGGCATCAGATCCCATTATAGATGGTTGTGAGCCACCATGTGGTTGCTGAGAACTGAATTTAGGACCTCTGGAAGAGCTGCCAATGCTCTTAACCGCTGAGCCATCTCTCCAGTCTTTTTATTTTTTCTGATTTAGGATCTTAACCCAGGCTGACCTTGAACTCACTTTGCTATTCTGCTTCCCTAGTGCATCTTTGCCTGTTTTTAAATTTCACATAAATATGCCAATAGTGGTGAATGTTTAATTGTTCACATGCTTGCCCTCACTTGCTTTTGTTTTCTTCCTTCCAGAGCTGAGGACCGAACCCAGGGCCTTGCACTTGCGGCAAGCGCTCTACCACTGAGCTAAATCCCCAACCCCGCTCACTTGCTATTTTATGATCGGTGTATAGTACTATCTTACGAACTTTGGAGTGGGGGTGGAGGCTTCTTTTGGAGGTAGTCTTATTCAGCCCAGTCTGTCCTTGAACTTGTAGCAGGCATCAGCCACCATACAGCTTTTTTCTCCTCTTGTGGTTCTAATTGTCTTGGTTACTGAAGAGCTTGCATGTGTGTTCATGTTTTTGTTGTAGAGATACCTTCCTCTTTAATTATCTGATTTCTGTTCTTTTTTTCGTTATTTGAACAAGTTCTTTATGTTTGTATTCTGATTATCCACCTGTGATTATGTATGTGGCAGATATTTTCCTCCTGTTATGATTTGATTTTTCATGTTCTTGATGTCTTTGATGGGTAGAAGTTTTATTTTTATTTATTTATTTATTTATTGAGGCAGGGGTTTTAGGTAATCCAGGCTAACCTCAAACTTGCTATATATGACCTTGACTTTTTTGTTTGTTTGTTTGTTTGTTTGAAGAAAGGATTTCTCTGTGTACCTTTGCGCCTTTCCTGGATCTCGCTCTGTAGACCAGGCGGTCCTCGAACTCACAGAGATCCACCTGGCTCTGCCTCCCGAGTGATGGGATTAAAGGTGGGCATCACCACCACTACCACCACCACCACCACCACCACCACCACCACCACCACCACCCGGCCACTTTGACTTCCTAACCTCCCTGCCTACCTCCTAAATGCTGGGATTACAGACATGCCTACCATGCCTGGTTTTATGCAGTACATGACATCAAACCCAAGGCTTCATGCATCGTAGGCAAAAACTCTACCAATTGATCTACATCCCAAGGTTTAAAGTTATAAACTTAAATGTAGTCAGAGATAAGGGTTTATTTCAATAGTTATTTAACCTGTTCAGGGACCTGAATTCCATCTTCAGTGCTGAAAATAAAATAAATATAGTCAGTTTTTTATTTGCTTTGTAGTGCTGAGGATTCAACTCAGTGCCTCTTTTCTCCTATGCTAGACAAGGACTGTACCACTTGCCCTATTTCTAGCCTGTGTTTTCCTATTAGATTGTTGTTGCTTTTTTTTTTTCTTTTGGTTTTTTGAGACAGGGTTTCTCTGTGTAGCTTTGCACCTTTCCTGGAACTCACTTGGTAGCCCAGGCTGACTTTGAACTCACAGAGTTCCGCCTGCCTCTGCCTCCCGAGTGCTGGGATTAAAGGCATGCGCCACCACTGCCCGTGTTGTTGTTTTATGTATCATTCTAAGAAGATAAAAATGTTCTGGCTGGGGAGAGATGGCTCAGTTTTTAAGAGCACTGGCTGCTTTTCCAAAGGACCCAGGTTCAATTCCCAGCTCATAACTGTCTGTAACCCCAGTTCTTGGGGATCTGACACTCTCACACAGATGTACATGAAGGCAAAACACCAATGCACATGAAAATAAATAAAATTAATAGTAAAAAAGAAAATATTCTGTGTTTTGAAATTCTACTCACTATGTAGTATGGTAAGGCTTGGAACTTGCTGCCTTGTAAAAATATCTTTTTTTTAAGATCTGTTTGAATAAACTATCATTGGCTGCATGTAGCTCAGAGCTGTAGATATGCCTGACTTTTTGGTTTTTTCGAGACAGGGTTTCTCTGTGTAGCTTTGCGCCTTTTCCTGGAACTCACTTGGTAGCCCAGGCTGGCCTCGAACTCACAGAGATCCACCTGGCTCTGCCTCCCGAGTGCTGGGATTAAAGGCGTGCGCCACCACCGCCCGGCTAATATGCCTGACTTTTTAAAGCTTCTTTTTATGTGTATGAGTGTTTTACCTCTATATCTATAAGCATAACATTCATGTCCAATGCCTGCATGGTCATAAGAGGCTATTGGATCTCCTGAAACTGGAGTTAAAGACGGTTGTGGGTGCTGAGACCTGAACCTGGATCCTCTTCAAGAGTTGCAATTGTTCTTCATCTGTGGGTAGGGAGGGCTGGCTATAATTCTTCAAAGGTTTGTTGGAAAACTAAACTTACAATTCTTTATCACCCAAGAGTATTTCTCTAGTGTTGATTCATACCGACTGAATTGATTGAAAAAATACTCTCTGTATTTTTTAGTAATGGCTATGCAAATGCAGCTTGATGCAAATGCAGATACTTCAGTGGAAGAAGAAAGCTTCGGTCCACAACCTATTTCACGGTTAGAGGTATGTTCTTAGTTGCTAAGTATTTATTTACAATGCTGTAATACATTCTTCTATGTAATGGAACAAATTAAATTTTACAGAAATTAGATTGGGGTTCAGGAGGTTGTCAGTTTCTACAGAAAAGCACAGGGTTGTTATTAAGACTTGTAATAACAGGATTGTTATAAAGATTTGTATTATGACTTGTCTGGTCGAGTCTCTTTCGACAATTCTCTTCCTACTCTGTTTTCTCCCTAAGAGCTGAACTTTAGAAATGAAGGTGGAATCCCATTGCTTCTTATACTAAGTATAGAAATGCTGATGAGGGAATTAGTGGTGTAACCCAGGAACACATGTAGGAAAGGGGAACAACTTCTCTCCACTGGCCCAGGTGGAAGATACTACCGAGCAGGCTGTTGTAAGGCAGGTTGAAGGGTGTGGGGTTGTTAAGATGTAAGACCCAGCTCTACTTTAGGACTCAACATTAAGAATACTAAGTATTAGCTAGGTGTGATAGCTCACACCCACAATTCTAGGAGTTGGAAAACTGAGTCAGGAGAACCTCTGTTGGAGGCCAACCTGGTCTATATAGCAAGTTCCAAGACAACAACAGCTACATAGTGAGACTGTCTCAAAACCAAGCCACAAAAAAAACAGAACAAACAAGAGGCTTGGAGAGATGCTCTGAGGGTACAGTCAATGTCGTGCAAACAATGAAGACCTGAGTTTGGATCCCCAGCACCCACAAAAGCCAGGCAGAGTGGCATATGCCTGTAATCGTAGCACTGAGGAGGTGGAGACAGGAGGATCATTGGGGCTTTTTGGCCAGTCAGTCTAGCCAGTCTGTGAGAATAAGGTGTAGTAAGAGACCCTGTCCCAAAAAATAATGTTAAAATGACTGAGGCAGACTCTCAAAATCACCCTCTGGCCTCTGTGCATGTACACTCAAACTTATACACACATGAGCACATGCACATATACCATACACACAAAAAAGCAAAACAAAGAATATCAGGTACTAAATCTGTACAATATTTCTGCAGGTTATACAAAGGCCCCAGTGGGAGGGAACACTTCAATCTTCTGTCTCGGTTTATATAATTTTCCAATCTTCCCAAACTTCAAGACTCTGGAAACTACTTAAAGGATCTGAGCTTGGTGGCACTCACTTCCGTGGTGGAGCAAAAAGTCAGGAGTTCAGGGTTATCCTTTGCTCCGTATCCGGTTTGGGCTGCATGAGACCGTTTCTCAAACTTATGGGAGTTTGTGATCAACCTTCAGAGGTCATGGTCATAACCTTAGATTATTTGTGTGTATTCATATAAGCACACATAGATGCTCCTACCCAAGGAGGAAGGAAGAGGGTGTCAAATCTATTGGAGCTGGAGTTCGAGGGGTTGTGAGCCACCAGACATCGGTGCGGGAACTGAATTCCAGTTCTCTACAAGAGCAACAAGCACTCTCAACCGTTGACCCATCTCTCCAGCCCCCATAATGTTTTGTTTAGATTGATCTATTACATTTTTAATAGGAAGATGAAATAAATTTCCACCAAGTAATATTTTTTAAATAGGGCTTTTAAAGACACTGGGGCTAGTTCTGCACAATCAAAGTTTAATATTGAAATGAAGGTTTATTGAAGGAAATGGTACTAGCTAAACAATTTTAATTCCTAGCTCTCCATTATAAACACAAAATTATTGTTATCTCTAACAGGTTGTATTGTGTCAAGATTATTTGATTCATCTTATTGGGGTTTTTTTTTGTCCTGTTCTTTTTAGTGTTTTTCTTTTGAAACAGGGTCTCTACCTAGAGCCCACTATATAGACCAGGCTAGTCTTGAGCTCACAGAGATGCACCTTTCTTTTCCTCCTGAGATTTATTTTGTTTTTTTGAGGCAGGGTCTTACTATGTGGCCTTAGCTGGCCTGGAACTCACTATGTAGAGCAGGCTGGTCTCAACTCATACAGATCTACCTGCCTCTGCCTCCTCTGCTAGAATCCTCCCCTGGCCCTGGATTTCTTTATTTTTATTTAATGTTTGTGCTGGCTAGTTTTATGTTGACTTGACACAGCAGTAATCATCTGAGAGGAGAGAACTTTAATTGAGAAAATGCCTCTGTAAGATCAAGCTGCAGGCAAGCTTGTAGGACATTTTCTTAAGAGATTGATGTGGGAGGGCCCAGTCCATTGTGGATGGGCCTATTTCTGGGCTGGTGGTCCTGAGTTCATTAAGAGCACAGGTTGAGCAAGCAATGGAGAGCAAGCCAATTAAGTAGCACTTCTCCATGGCCTCTGCATCAGTTCCTTCTCCAGGTTTCTGCCCCTGTTTGAGTTCCTGTCCTGACTTTCTTCAGTGATGAACAATGATGTGAAGTGTAAGCCAAATAAACCCTTTCCTCCCCAAGTGGCTTTGACCATCATGTTTATCACAGCAATAGTAACCAGAAGACATTATGTGTGAGTGTTTTGCCTGCATGTATGTATATCCACCATGTGAATGCCTGGTGTTTATAGAAACCAGAATCGGGCATGGGTTCCCTGGAACTGGAGTTAACAGGTAGTGTGAACTGCTAGGTGGGTTCTGGATACTGAACTTGAGTCCTCTGCAAGAGCAACAAATGCTTTTAACCACTGAGCTACCTCTGCAGACCCCCATCCCCCATAATGTTTTTAATGCTTTTGTTTCTGCTTTTTAGTGGTCCTAGGCTTTGAACCTGGGGCCCTCTGGTAGTCAAGGCAAATGTGCTGGTTAGTTTTTAATCAACTTGACACAACCTAGAGTCATCTGGGAAGAGGAAACCTCAAATGAGAAAATGCCAGTAGCCAAGTCTGTGGGGCATTTTCTTAATGATTGGTGTGGAAGAGCATGTGGGTGGTATCACCCCTGGGCAGAAGGTCCTGGGTTCTGAGGAAGCCATTAGGTACAAGCCAGTAAGCAGTGTTCCTCCATGGTCTGTGCTTTGATTCATGTCCTGTCTTCCCTTCAGGACAGATTGTGTGTTGTAAAGTGAAATAAACACTTTATCCTCAAGTTGGTTTTGGTCATGGTGTTTGTCACAGCAGTAGAAAGCAAACTAAGACAGCAAGTATTATACCAATGAGCTTCAACCTTCAGACTAGCTATTTTAATGTTGAGACAGGGTCTCATGTAGACTAGCATGGCCTTGAGTTCACTGTGTAGCTGAGGATAACCTTGATTCCTGATCCTCCTAATTTTACTTCCCAAGTGTTGGGATTATAGGCATATATCAGCATACCTGTTTTTGTGTTTCGTTTTTTAGATTTATTATTTTATGTATCTAAGTATTTAGCTTTCATGAGTGTGTGTACCACTTATGTGTCTAATGCCCATAGATGTTGTCAGAAGTGGGCTTCAGGCCAGGCGGTGGTGGTGCATGCCTTTAATGCCTTTGAGGCAGGTGGATCTCAGGACAGGCTCCAAAACTACACAGGGAAACCTTGTCTCAAAAAAACAAAAAGCAAAAAAAAAAAAAGAAGTGGGCTTCAGATCCTCCTGAACTGGAGTTGCTGGCAGTTGTGAGCCACCCTGTAGGTGCTTGGAACCCAGGCTGGTCCCAAAGTCATTGTGTAGCTGAGGTATATGCTACCATGCCTATTTCCCATAGCCCCCTTAAATTAAACAAATTTTTTAATTAGCATATGTTAAGTATACATAATAATGGGTTTTGTTACGATGTTTTCTACATCTGTATAATGTATTTTGACCATAATCACCTCTATTATCCTCATTTGTCACCCTCCTACTGATTCCCTTTCTCTTCACAGCCAGTTCCCCTTCTTTCATATATTTTAGCTTGTTTTGTTGACCCAGTAAGTTTAATTAGGGTTGTTTACATGAGCTTGGGCAAGGGGTTATTTGTAGCTGGAGTTTTCCTGCCTGGCCCACAGTCAGGACAAATCTCTATCACCTGCCAGTCCCACAGCCCCTCAGACCCAACCAAGTAAACACAGAGACTTATATTGGTTACAAACTGTATGGCCGTGACAGGCTTCTTGCTAACTGTTCTTACAGCTTAAATTAATCCATTTCCATTAATCTATACCTTGCCACATGGCTCGTGGCTTACCGGCATCTTCACATGCTGTTTGTCATCGTGGCGGCTGGCAGTGTCTCTCTGACTCAGCCTTCCACTTCCCAGCTTTATTCTCCTCCTTGTCCCGCCTACACTTCCTGCCTAGCCAATGGCCAATCTGTGTTTTATTTATTGACCAATCAGCAACACATTTGCCATACAGAACATCTCACAGCAGTTATTCACAGGAGTAAAGGCAATTATCAGTGGCTATGTTGCTGAAGAAAATGTCTCCCCCTTTCCCTAGTAACCGTTAACTACAAATAGCTCTGGCGAGGTAGGGATTGAGGCCTAATGAGCCCTTCTGAAGAAGGAAGTCAAAAGATTACTTTACCATTTTTATCAAACAAGATCTGTGCACAGTTATCACAAGACTGAGTGGGAAATCCGAATGAGTCACCTGCTCCATTCTCCGCTTCTCTGACCCAAATGCTCCTTTCTATTGGTTAGCTGACAGATGACAGGATTCCTGTAACACCCTTCCCTACCATTTTCCCCATTTAAAATTTTTGCTTATTATTCTGTTTATTGTTGTGGGTGCACATGTGTTACAGCACACCTGTAAAGGTCATAGGACAACTTTCCTACCACCATAGGATCTAGTTGGATCATCAGACTTAAGGGCAATCAATCACTCACATCCACGGAGCCACCACACCTTGTGTTTTATTTATTTTTTGTTTTATATGTATGAGTGTTTTGCTTTCTTGTATATCACTTACATGCAGTATGTGCACAGGTTAGAAGAGGGTGTCCAATCCCCTTTAATTGGCATTAGTGATGGTTGTAAGCTTCCTTGTAGATACTGGGACCCTACCCTGGTCCTCTGCGAGCCAGCCAGTGCTCTTAACTGCTAAGCCATCTCTCCAGCCTCCCATTTTCTCCATCCATAATGTCAATCATTAGAGCAGAGCTTTCCAGTCCTTGTTCTTCCAAAAGGATATTGCTATGCCAAGGTAGCTCTTACTCTGGGGGCAGTCTTATCTGTTTGTCCTAGCATTGAGAAATAGCAATGTCTGTATGTCTGATGTGGGAAGCATTAGAAAACGCTGGTTTAAAGTTATTTTGGGGCTGGAGAGATGGCTCAGAGGTTAAGAGCACTGGCTGCTCTTCCAGAGGTCCTGAGTTCAATTCCCAGCAACCACATGGTGGCTCACAACCATCTGTAATGAGATCTGGTGCCCTCTTCTGGACTGCAGTCATATATGCTGTATACATAATAAATAAATAAATCTTTAAAAAAAAATAAATAGTTATTTTGATTTGGTTTTGTTTTTTTGAGGTGGAGCTTCTGTATGTAGCCCTAGCTGTCCTGGAACTCTATGTAGACCAGGCTGGCCTGGAACTCAGAAATCTGCCTGCCTCTGCCTCCCATGTGCTAGGATTAAAGGTATTCACCACCATGCTCTGCTACTAGTTTAATCTCAATTTCTAAGTCCATTTTAACATGCATTAACATAGTTCTAGTTTAAAACTCATGTGTGTCCTAGTACATATGCATGTACGAGCCAGAGGTCAACCTCAGTATTGCTCCTCAGGAGCCATCTACTCTTTTTTTTTTTTTTTTGAGACACGCTTTTTGGCTTGGAGTTCACTGGTTGGGCTAGACTGGCTGGCTAGTGAGTCTCAGGGATCCACCTGTCTCAACCTCCTCAGGGTAATAGCAAACACTACTACATCTCACTATCTCCCCAGCCCAAAACTATTAGTTTTGATAATGAAAAGGTTGATAGTTTGTTATTTAATAACTTATATGTAGACAAGCGTTTTAGAGGTTCTGCATATATTAGTGATCTTCAAATACCTCTCTAAAGTGTAATATCCATGTTCATCTGTTGTTTTCTTACAGCAATGTGGCGTAAATGCCAATGATGTGAAGAAATTGGAAGAAGCTGGTTTCCATACAGTGGAGGCTGTTGCTTATGCACCAAAGAAGGAACTAATAAATATTAAGGGAATCAGTGAAGCCAAAGCTGAGAAAATTCTGGTAAGAGTAGCTATGTGATGGCGGGGAGGGCAGACGGTATATAGTGACAGGCTGTCTGCTTCCTTCGTTCTCTTGTCCTCTTTCTAGAGGTGACTATTGGCAGTTTTTATTTGTGTTTCTCTGTGTAACAGCCCTGGCTGTCCTGGAACTCGCTTGTAGACCAGGCTGGCCTCAAACTCACAGAGATCCTCCTGCCTCTGACTCCCAAGTGCTGAGATTAAAAGCGTGTACCTCCAGTGCCTAGTTGTTGTGAGTTTTTATCTTAAATTCAGATTTCCTGTAGAGAATTGTAATATCATGGAATTTGATATAAATACTGCCAAAAATACTGATTACCGTTCCCACCAGCCGTGATTGGTGTGCACCTTATTTTGAATATGATCTCTTCTCATAGAGATTTTTTTTTTGAAAATTAGTTTCTTTTATGTGTGTGGGTGTTTTGCTTCCATGTGTGTTTGTGCCCCACACACTTGCCTTCAGAGACTAGAAGAGAGTGTTAGAGTATCTGGAACTGGAGTTATAGATGTTTGTGAGCCAACATGCTGGTACTGGGAATCAAGCCTTGGTCTTCTGGTAGACCAACAAGTGCTCTTAACCACTGAGCCATTTTTCCAGCCCCCAAAATATGTTTATTATGTATGCAGCCACAGAACAATTTAGAAGAATATTGATGCCACATCATTGGGTGCAAGCCTTAGTTCAAACTACTGTGGGACCTGTGGCAGGAAGTTGGAGGCCAGTCTCTGATACAGATTGAATTCATCAAGGCCAGTTTGGGCAACTTAATTTAGTGAGACCATGCCTCAAAGGAAAAAGGAAAAAGAGAAGCTGAGTATATGGCTCAGTGGAGAATACTTGCCTAGCATCTGCTAGTCCCTGGGTTAATATCAGTACTTCAGAATGAGAGAGAGAGAGAGAGAGAGAGCGCATATTGGTAAAATGTTGATATAAATAGCAGATGAGCGTTGGGAATGTAGCTCAGTTGTAGAGTGGTAAGTTAGTGTGCTCACAGCCTTGGGTTCAATCACAACAATAAAGTCAAGTTAACAGTATACATTCATACATCTTTTAATGCTTTTATTAGCCTCTATTAATATATAATTACATTTTCATAACATGTATATATTTTAATCATACCCCATCACCCTCAATTGTCTCCTCCTACTCTTGATCCTCTTCTTCCCCACCAAAGAAAACATTTCTTTCCCCCATTAATCATTAACAGTATATAAATCCCGGTGCAAGGGTAGGGCCCCATTAAAATGTGTGTATTTTGTATGCATGCATAGAATGTGCACTAGGGATAGATGCACTAAATTATTAATGTCGTTATTCCCACATAGTAAGATATGAGCTGGACATTGTTTTGGTTTGATTTTTGTCTCTGGGCTGGGAATTGAACCCAGGACTTCTTGTATGCTTTAAGTACATGCTCTGCTATTGATCTGTGCTCCAGCCTTTATTTTCTTTCATTTTTAAATTTTATCTACTTTATGTGTATGAGTGTTTTTCCTACAAGTGTATTTGTTGCGGAATAATCTTTTTATACACTGTGAAGATGTGTCACTGGTATTGGTTTAATAAAAAGCTGAGCCGGGCGGTGATGGCGCACATCTTTTATCCCAGCACTTGGGAGGCAGAGCCAGGTGGATCTCTGTAAGTTCAAGGCCAGTGTGGGCTACCAAGTGAGTTCCAGGAAAGAAGCAAAGCTACATAGGGAAACCCTGTCTCAAAAAAACCAAAACAAACAAAAAAAACCATGTTGAGGGGTTGGAGAGATGGCTCAGTGGTTAAGAGTATATACTCATCTTGCAGAGGATCTGAGCTTAGTTCCCAGCACCTATGTTAGGTAGCTTACAACTTCCTGTAAGTATGCACAGAGATTTGTTAGAACAAGAGACAGGAAACATGTACAGACAAATTCTCTGGTGGTTTTTTTTTTCTTCTTTTTTTAATATTTGAAAACTTTATTTTCTTAAATGAGTACCAACAGAGATCGGAAATGACAAACAATGCCTGGTTTTTTTTTGATGAGGGCTACGAATATACCTTTTTTGGCCTCGGGAGATGTGTGAGAAAATACTGATACATTTAGAGCACTTCTCTGCCAAGTATAAGATCAAAGACACCAAAATAAATCCTACTCCTTGTTTTAATTTTTATTTTATTATTTTATGTATGTAGGTGCTTTGTCCTTGTGTATGTTTATGTGCCCCATTTGTGCGCATGCCCACAGAGGCCAGGGCAAGGCATTAGATCTCTGGAACTAGAGTTACAGATAGTTGTGAACTACTGTGTGGGTGCTGGGAATTGAACTTAGGTCCTCTGAAAGAGCAGCCAGTACTTTTAGTCATTGAGCCATCTCTGCAGCTCCAAACTCCTACTCTTTATTCACATGAGAATTTAATAGTGGAGCTTTGTGTTTTAGAGTTAATTTTGTTTTATTGTACTTGCAGGCAAACTGATTGATTCCTTTTCAGACTTAAGCAAAACCTATAGGTATCTGAATAGATGATAAGTCTGCAGAGGTATTGGAAGAGAAAAGGAAAAAAAGGAAATCAAAGCTGGGTATAGTGGTATACGCCTTTAATCCCAGCACTCAGGAGGCAGAGGCAGATGAATCTCTGAGTTCGAGACCAGCCTGGTCAACAGAATGAGTTCCAGGACAGCCAGGGCTACACAGAGAAACCTTGTCTGGAAAAAACAAACCAAAACAGAAAATGTATACCTGATAGGGATGAAGAATTAGACATAAAGCAAGAAGAGTCTGGAATGGCATGTGTCCTTGTTTTGCAAGGCAGAATGTTAAGGGATGACAATCAGGAAGTAAGGTATAAAGACATGACATCGGGGCAGGAGAGACGGCTCAGAGGTTAAGAGCACTGGCTGCTCTTCCAGAGGTCCTGAGTCCATTTCCCAGCATCCACATGGTGGCTCACAACCATCTATAATAGCAACAGATACCCTCTTCTGGCGTGCAGGCAGAACACTGTATACATACATAGTAAATGAAAATAAATATTTTGTTGTTGTTGTTGTTTTGTTTCTGTGAAACAGGGTTTCTCTGTGTAGCTTTGGAGCCTATCCTAGAACTCACTCTAGCCGAGGCTGGCCTTGAACTCACAGAGATCCGCCTGCCTCTGTCTCCCGAGTGCTGGGATTAGAGGCGTGCGCCACCACTGCCTGGCGAAAATAAATCTTAAAGACATACTACATCGTCACAAAATAGAGAAGTCAGATATGTACAGTTCTTTTGTTTTTAATCTCCTGTGGTGCTACCCTCCTGTCATCCTAGCACACAGATGTTTTCCTGTCATGACCTGGGCTTGTCTTAGTGTACATGGAGGTTGACTGTCTCTAATGTAAAATAAGAGGTGAAATGTGCAGAAGTCTGAAATTTTTTATCAAAAACCTTACACTCAAGAAGTTTCAGATTTTGGAATATTCAGTGGATTTTCAGTGAAGGATGTTCAACTGATAAAGTATCCAAGTACACCAAGATGTATAAAAGTCACAGTCTAAAGCATTTTGGGTCCCAACTTTTCCAGATAATGGTTTCTTTGCCTGTGTCATGTTATTGGTTTAATTTTTCTTATTTTTTCCTAGACTGAGGCAGCTAAATTAGTTCCAATGGGTTTCACCACTGCAACTGAATTTCACCAAAGACGGTCAGAAATCATACAGATTACTACTGGCTCCAAAGAGCTTGACAAACTGCTTCAAGGTATAGTAATCTCTTATCGTATTTTATAAACCCTAATTAACACAGCTTGTGGCCAGAACAAACCAGAATGTTAGTGTAGAATTCATCTTAGATGTGAATATGACATAGAGAAGTATGAACTGTAGATTTCTTCAAGGCCTTGACTGGCTAATTCTGTAGGTTTGCTTTTGTAAATTTTTTTTAGTTTAGGGTTTTGTTTGCTGATTTGTATTGACAGATCTTGTATATTCCAGGCTCATTTGAATATATTGTAGATTATAGGAATGCCAGCTTTCTCAATAGATGCTATATTATAGTTGGGAAAGATGGTAACGTTGGAGGAGGCTAGGTGAAGATTACCTAGACCTTCTCTGTATGTGTATTTCTTTGTAACATTCTATAAATCTAACATTATTTTAAAAATAAGTGATGATTTTAATTTTTTCTTATTTTTGGTGGTTTTAGGAATTAAATCGGGAGCCAAGGATGTCCTTAAATTGATGTTTTGTTCAGCTTGGTTTGGTTTGGTTTGATTTTGAAACAATCTCTCACTTTGTAGCTCTGGCTATAAATGAAATAATTTAATCTTTGTTACTGTATTTAGAGACTAAGTTCCCTGTACTTAAGGAAATAAATATGAGTGTGTGTGTGTGTGTGTGTGTGTGTGTGTGTGTGTATTTTCTATCACAAGATTAAAATTTAATGACTGGTTGAATACAATGGAGGAAGGCAGAGAGATAGCTCAGGGAGTGGTTGCTTCATAACTCTGATGACCTGAGTTAGATCCCTTTAATCCACAGAAGAGGGAGAGAACCTATTTCCCAGAGTTATCCTATCATCCACATGTGAGCTGTGACCTATGCCTGCCTAAACTCACACACATCATACACACAGTACTGATAACAAAAATTTAAAAACATGGGCGATTGGTAGCACATGCCTTTAATCTCAGCACTCGGGAGGCAGAGGCAGGCAGATCTCTGTGAGGTCATGGACTTTCTGGTCTATAGAGCGAATTCCAGGGCCATCAGGGTTACAAAGAGAAACCCTGTCTCAAAAAACCGAAGGAAAAAAAGAAAGAGAGAGAGAGAGAGAGAGAGAGAAAGAAAGAAAAGAAAAATTTAAAAACAAAAAAACCACATGGGAAGGGATTGAGCCCAGAGACCCATGTCCTCCACCACTGAGCTATACTTTTTGGTACAAAACATTGTACATTGTTTAAATACTACTCCAAGGGCTCTAGAGATGGCTCAGTGGTTAAGAAGACTGGTTGTTCTTCCAGAGGTCCTGAGTTCAATTCCCAGCAACCACGTGGTGGCTCACAACCATTTGTAATGACATCTGGCTCCCTCTTCTGACCTGCAGGCAGACTGTATACATAATAAAATAAATCTTTAAAAAAAAATACTACTCCAAGTATAGTACATGTTGCTGTTTATTGCAGATCACTGACTAGCCTGGAACTGACTCTATAGACCAGGCTAGCCTGGAACTCACAGAAATCCCCCTGCCTCTGTTTAATGAGCACTAGGATTAAAGGCATGCACCACCTTATCTGTCCGGTTTGAACCCCTCTAAGATCCCCTTCCCTCCAGGGCAGCCAAGGCTAAGAAAGACCCTGTCAAAAAAAAAAAAAAAAAAAAAAAAGATGATGATGATGACCCCCTTCCCACTGGATATAGTGGCCTCAGCTATGGAGTGAGTTGAAGCTAACCTAAACTACATAAAATCCTGTCTTACAAAAAAACGATTCTCATTCCTAGTATTTACTGACTGGATTAATGGTGAAAATAATTTTCTGGTGACAATTATTTAATGTCCCTAAGCCTGTTTTCTTCAAGATGAGAATGGTGAGACTTCATATCTCTTAGGCTTTTAGAATTACATGAATGATACATTTACATGCATTGGACGAGGAGAATCACAAGGAATGGTAAATACTAGATTGTATTAAAACTGCAGAAGCCGCTTGTTGTCTTTTCATTGTTGAATTTTGTAACTTGATTATGGTAACATTACATGAAACTATACATGGAATAAAACTATAGCAACACAAAACAAATACCTGGATAACTGGAGATTTGAACATGCTGCGGATTGAATGAATGTCAGCTTTTGTTGGAAAGTTAACTCTGAGGAGACTAGGTGATAAATGCACAGAACCCCTATATATAAAATAATCTGTAATTATTTTAAAGTAAGTGGTGATTTTTATTTTTTATTTTTATATTTTTTGTGATGATTGGGAATTGAATCTAGGGCCTTTTATCCTAAGCAAGCATTCTACCATTAAGTTACATTCCTATACATTTGGGACAGGGTCTTTTTTTGTGGGGGGGGGGGGGCGGTTTCTCTGTGTAATTTTGGTGCCTGTCCTGGGGCTCACTCTGTAAACCAGGCTGGCCTCGAACTCCTAGAGTTGTAGACCTGGCTCTGCCTCCTGAGTGCTGGAATTAAAGGCGTACGCTACCACTGCCCGGATGGGACAGGGTCTTAATATATTGTGCAGGCTGGTCTTGAATTTCCTATATTGCTCAGAAGGGCCTTAAACTTTTTTATTCTCCTGCTTCATCTTCCCACATAGCTGGTGTACAGGTGTATACTAGTGAGCCTAGTCTCCTCCACCCACCCCCCAAAAAAAAAGAAAAAACAAAAATAAAAGAAATTAACAAATTACTGATTATTGAAAATGGGAGTTTTAGCCAGGTGGTGGTGCACACCTTTATTCCCAGTATTTGGGAGACAGAGGCTGATGGATCTTTGTGAGTTCCAGGACATCCAGGGCTGTTCTACAGAGAAACTAGCTCTCACAAAACCGAAAGAAAAAAGAAAATGGGAGTTTTATGGGAACATCCATGTGCTCCAAGAACATTTCCGTGATTATAGTTTCTAAATAGTTACTTTATATGAGTTACTTTTTACTTTCATAGGTGGAATTGAGACTGGATCTATCACAGAGATGTTTGGAGAATTCCGAACTGGGAAGACACAGATCTGTCATACATTGGCTGTAACATGCCAGGTGAGTTGTTGGGGTTTGGGCTAATCAGCTCAGCAGACATTGGTTGACTCATGATATCTTTATGCATCTATTAGGATGGACATAAAACGTACTTTCTCTAGAATTCCAAAGGTAGTTAGAAGATAATTCCTACTGAAAATCAATCCATATCATAGAAAGTTCCAAATGACTGATGCAAAATATTTTCCTACCATTTCTTCTAGATTTACTTGCCTTTCTTCATTGGTCTAAATTTTATTTATTTGTATACGTATGAGTGTTTTGTTTGTATGCATGTCTGTGTACCATGTTCATGCCCAGTGCCTTCAGAGACCAAAAGAAGTACTAAACCTGCCGGGCGGTGGTGGCGCACGCCTTTAATCCCAGCACTCGGGAGGCAGAGGCAGGTGGATCTCTGTGAGTTCGAGGCCAGCCTGGACTACCAAGTGAGTTCCAGGAAAGGCGCAAAGCTACACAGAGAAACCCTGTCTCGAAAAACCAAAAAAAAAAAAAAAAAAAGAAGTACTAAACCACCACCACTACCACCACCCCAAACTGGAGTTTGACAGTAGTTGTGAGTGACCATGTGGATGCTGGGAATCAAACTCTGGTCCTCTGGAAGAGTAGCCACTGCACTTAACTGATAAGCCACCTCCCTAGCCCTGCAAGTCTACACTTTTTGTCTCAGAAAATATGTGTAACAGCTTTGTCTCAAAAAAATGTGTGTAACAATAATAACCTGATATGGTTCATTAAACACAGTATCTAGTCTTTTTTTTTTTTTTTTTTTGGTTTTAGTTTTTTGAGACAGGGATTCTCTGTGTAGCTTTGCGCCTTTTCCTGGAACTCACTTGGTAGCCCAGGATGGCCTCGAACTCACAGAGATCCACCTGGCTCTGCCTCCCTAGTGCTGGGATTAAAGGCGTGTGCCACCAACGCCTGGCAGTATCTAGTCTTTTTAAGTAAAAATGTTTTCTCTGTAGTGGTGAAATATTGTTTATAATCTAAGAAATAAAGCTTGCCTGAAGATCAGAGGGCAAAACAAGCCACAGAGTTAGCCACAAAGCTCAGGCAGTGGTGGTATACACCTTTAATCCTAACACTCAGAAGGCAAAGACAGAGATCTATTTGAATTTCTGTGAGTTCAAGGCCTCAAAGGCTACACGAGATTAATCTACTCTAAAAGAGAAACAGCCAGGTATTGGTGGCACACACCTTTAATCCCAGCACTAGGAAGGTTGAAACAGGAAGTGATATTGCTGGGCAGAGAAAGGAATATAAGACAGGAGGAGACAGGAACTCTTGGAGAGACTCTTTCAGGTTGAGGAATTGGTGAGGTAAGAGGTGGTAGCTGTGGCTTACTCTGCTTCTCTGATCTTTCAGCTTTCACCCTGATAATCTGGCTCGGGTTTTTATTGTAAGACCTATTAGGATTCATGCAACATATGGCGCCCAACATGGGGCTCAAATTCATGAAAAAAGCCACTTGCCTGTGGCTTTGCAGCCACTGGCTCAGACTGGAGCTGGATTCAGCCGGAGTTTCCACCCTGCCTTGTAGCTAAAGTTTTCCTGGTCCTGCTCAGCTTCTGCAACCCTGCGACCACTTGGACCCAAGTAAACACACAGAGGCTTATATTAATTAAAACTGCTTGGCCATTAGCTCAGGCTAACTATTGACTAGCTCTTACACTTAAATTAACCCATAATTCTTATTTATGTTTAGCCATGTGGCTTGATACCTTTTCTCAGTTCTGTCTTCACATCTTGCTTCCTCTGTGTCTGGCTGGCAACTCCTGACTCATCCTTCCTGTTCCCAGAATTCTCCTCTCTGCTTATCCCACCTATACTTCCTGCCTGGCTACTGGCCAATCAGCATTTTATTTATCAACCAAATCAGAGCAACACACATTTACAACATACAGAAAGACATCCCCTACCTTGCCAGCTAAGTTTTTTTTACAGCCTCTCTGCAGCAAACTCCATAGGCTTTTCAGCTCCCAAAACTGCAGGAGTGGGCTGCTTTCACCCATTGCCCTGTGCAGACAGCCAACTCCACAGGCTCAGGCTCCAAACACCAGAATTAGCTGCTTTTCACGCGTTCCCCTATGCAGACTGCTGGCTCTTTTCACTTCTGCCCTCTCCTGGTGGGTTGTGGCTTTCTCTGCCCCCTCCCCGGGGGGGGGGGGGGGGGCTGCTGTCACACTGTCATCTGAATCGTCATTGTCAGCAGATTTGGTGAGTCAATTGGGATTTCTTAAAGGGAGGAATTAGTTAAGAGGTTTTTTTCTACATTAAAAAATGGGAAACAGAGCCGGGCGGTGGTGGCGCACGCCTTTAATCCCAGCACTCGGGAGGCAGAGGCAGGAGGATCTCTGTGAGTTCGAGGCCAGCCTGGGCTACCAAGTGAGTCCCAGGTAAAAGGCACAAAGCTACACAGAGAAACCCTGTCTCGGAAAAAAAAAAAAAAACAAAAACAAAAAAAATGGGAAACAGCCGAGTGGTGGTGATGCACATGCCTTTAATCCCAGCACTCAGCAGGCAGAGCCAGGCGGATCTATCTCTGTGAGTTCGAGGCCAGCCTGGTCTACAGAGCAAGATCCAGGACAGGCACCAAAACTACACAGAAACCCTGTCTCGGGGGAAAAGAAAATGGGAAACACTATTACAATGGATAATACACTACATGGTCTGAAAATGGAACAATTAAATGAGAGGATAATTAATGTTGTTGGAATTTATGTAATGTCAATTATAAATATTTGTTTGATCATTTCTATTTTATCATTAAAAACGTTGGTTAATGTGACTACCAAGTTTTAGAAAAACTTGTTAAAACAGATTATGGAGATGTTCAGATCCAGCAGAAATTATACTACTTTTAACCAATGATGAAATTGACAAATTATGGCAGAATGTGAACCTTGGCAAAGAGCTTGTAGTAATTTTTTGGGAGAGATTAACAACAAATATCTCAAAAGCAACAGAATTCCATTTATAAAGAGAACTAACTGGATCCTGCCTCACATTGAATGGGAAACACCAATATCTGGAGCCCCTCCGTTTTATACTGATGCAAACAAATCAGGAGAGGCAGGTTACAAATCAGAAAATTTAAGTAAAGTGGATCAAAGTCTTTATAATTCTGTCCAAAAGTCATAATTATATGCCATTCTGATGGTATTAATGGATTTTACGGACCCTCTAAACATAGTTACTGACTCAGTATGCAGAAAGAGTTATTTTACACATTGAAACTGCTGAATTTATCCCTGGTGACTCAGAATTAACTTCGTTCTTTATTCAGTTATAAGAAATAATCAGGAATAGGAGTCATCCCTTATATATAACACACATCCAATCCCATACAGGTCTGCCAGGCCCTCTAGCACAAGGTAATGATGAAACTGATCAACTATTGAAAGGAAGTGTGCTGGAGGCCTCAGAATTTCATAAAAAAACATCATGTCAATAGTAAGGGTTTGAAAAATGATTTTTCCATAACCTGGCAACAAGCCAAGGAAATTATAAGGAAATATCCTACTTGTTCCTTATACAACCAAACTCGACTACCTGCAAGAAGTAACCCAAAGGGTACTGAAAGGAATGAAATCTGGCAGATGGATGTGTTTCATTTTGTAGAATTTGGAAAATTAAAATATGTACACCACACCATTGATACCTATTCAGGATTTCAATGGGCATCTGCTCTGAGTTCTGAAAAGGCTGATTCACACATTGGCTAGAAGTTACGGCCATCATAGTTATACCTGTACAAATTAAGACTGACAATGTTCCAGCATATGCTTGGGAAAATGAAACAATTTTTTTCCTTATTACAGTATAAAGCATATTACATTTATACCATCCAGTCCTACAGGCCAAGCAGTCATAGAAAGATCAAACAGAACTCTAAAGGGTATGCTAAGTAAACAGAAAGGGGTAACAACCCCCCCCAGAAATAGATTACATAATGCTTTATTAACTTTGAATTTTCTCAGTGCTAATGAAAAAGGAACAGCTGCGGAGAGACATTGGATAATAGAAAAAAAACTACAGAATTAAATCAGCCTATATACTTTAAGGATGTGCTGACCTCAGAATGGAAACCAGGATATGTGTTATGTTGGGGACAAGGTTTTGCTTTTGTTTCCACAGGAGAAGAAAAGCTATGGATACCATCAAAATTGATAAAGGTTCAATTTGAACAAGAGAGACCTCTTAATTAGAAGAGGTGATAGTTCATCAACCAGGGTGACCATTCAATTTAGCTGACTTAAACAACTAACAAATGCTTTTCATTTAATCAGATGTAACTTGCCAAAAGAGAACCTCCCCAAAGTTAGGGTTGGGGAAGGGATTTGTTTTTGTCTTTCAGGAGAATGAAGGCTAAGGAATCTGAAGACCACTGGATAAATGTGACTTCTGAAGCAAAAGGATAAATCATCCAGAAAAAAATTTCCAAAAAAAAAGAGTAATTTGGCCTCTTGGTATAGCACATATCTAACAGGATAAAATTTCATAAATCTTCCTAAATGTTTGTTTCTGCTGCTTTCTACAGACACATATAACGCAAATGGTCTTTATGTAGTCCCAGTTCAACTAAAAATTAAAGCTGGCTTTGGAGTTGGAGTGTCTCTCTCCTTCTCTAAACCCAAGCATGCTTGTTAAAAGAAAATGCATAATCTCTGTCATATCAGAAGAGCCACCTGATATGGGACAGAAGAAAAGCGAAAATTAAGAGACTATTCTGTATTACTACTAATCTCATGATCCTTTGGTTTTATTTTGACTGTTTAAAACTTTTAAAGTATGAATTTTATATCAAAATTTGTAAGACTAATACATATATTTTTTAAACTTTGTTCATGATATTAATGGTCATAGAGTACTAATTCTAGAAAAAAGGCTTCATCCAGCTTCCTGTACATGATTTTGGGTTTGAGTCTATCGGTTTTCTGCGGTGAATCATGACTAAGCCTAACAGTGACCTTTGAAGTCTCCAAAAGGATGATGGGGCCCCACTATGATGATTCCACATGGACTATGATAACGCCATTAAGCTGAGATACCACCCAAAGATTTGGACTACAAACTGCTCAGGACAAATTCTAGATGGTTAGCTGAGATGATCCAGCCTCACAGACTACTCTAGCCAGGACCTGAGACAAGCCTTGCACTTTCCCATTTTGCAGAGCCTGGACAACAAAGGATACAGCTACCTTTCCAAGGACTTGACAACCCAGAATTTTCTTCTCAAAATCCCCTAAAGATGCCTTTGCCCCCAGACAGCAGGAAGTAAATTTAAGAACACAATGCCCACATTCCCAAGACGTGGGGTGGGTGGTTTTGGGTCATTCAATGAGTTACGGATATTTGTCATTGTTTTGATGGTTGATTACAAGTTGTCATTGTTAATGGTCAGGAAAAAAGCTAAACAAAGGAGACTAGATTCAGGGTTCTTGTTTGAAAAGAAAAAAGAATATAGATATAAGATAAAAGGTTATTGAATCTACTTTTAAAATTTTTACATTGGTTTGGGTTTTTGTATATTGTATACAAATTGTGTATATTGATACAAAGTTGAAATTAATTATATTAGAACATACTGTACATGTACTTTTAATCTTGTTCAAGGTATTGTACCTATACAGCTCATTTAACAATGTAATGTAAATTGCTAGTCCTTGAAAGTTATTATTACAAACTATTTAGGATAATAAAAAATGCTAATTAGTAGTCAGTCACATATTGAAATAGAACTTGTAGTTAGGTTAGACATGTTTTCAAGGTCAAACATATTTTAGATAGACAGGTGGTCTTCAAACACTTTGAGATCTACACAATATGGCATTTAAGGTATTTTAATAACATAGTTTTTGGGGTTTTTTTTTTTTTTTTTTCAATGACAATGAGACATGTCTGCTCCTGGCAGCACCAATCTACTTCAGAGAAGATGATGGGCATCGAAGAACATCCTTATGAGGTTTCTTTGTGGCAAAAGGTAGCCACTGGGCAAGAAAGTGCCCTAGCCTCAGCTTTTGATAGTATGCTGTCCAAAAGGACAAGCAGGACACAAAGGAAAGGACTGCTGAACCTTGCTAAGACAAGGTAGGACAGCCCTTCAGAAAACCCTGCTTCACAGAAATATCTGTCAGATATGCTAGGCCTGTAGGCCCAAGATAAAAGCCCCAACGTTGCTGAAGAACCTTGGGTGACTGTCCAGGCAGCCAGCTGTTTCTGTCATTTCTCACATTTTTTGGAAGTCACTTGTTTGTACTTACTGAGGTAATATTATTTCCTTGTTGTGTCTCTGAGGGAATTGAAGACTAGATAGTTACAGTTTTCCTTGTTAACAAATTCAGAGAAGAAACTAAAGAGGTGTAAAGTATGTAAGTTTGAAAGACATCAAAAGATAGTTTTCAGTTTGTAATACTAGTTAGAATAGAAAGTGAATTAGGTACAACACATTGAGTTCACCAAAATATGATAAATAATGGAGTATATTCTCTGAATTTGTCAGTTGTTAATGGACTGGACATTATTAATGTAATTCTTGATTGTATATATTGTATATAGTTAATGTATTTATTGTATATAGTTTTTCTTATAGTAGTTTTAACCTTTTTATTATTTTAGACAAAAAAGAGGAAATGTGGTGATATGTTTGTAATCTAAAAAAATTTACCTAAAGACCAGAGGACAGAGCTAGCCAGAGTAAGCCATAGAGGTCAGGCAGTGGTGGCACACACCTTTAATCCTAGCACTCGGGAGGCAGAGGCAGAGATCCATCTGGATCTCTTGTGAGTTCAAAACCACCCTGGACTACACAAGCTCAGGTTCTGCCTCTACTTCTCACAGCACTGGGATTACAAGTGCCTTTGAGCCACCATACTCAGGAAGGATGGGTGTCGCAGGAATCCTAATTAGTCTTAGGATTTCAGAGAAGCAGAGCAAGCCATAGCTACCACCTCTTAACATCACCAACTCCTTAGACTGAATGAAGCCAGAGTTCCTGTCTCCTCCTGCCTTATACTCCTTTCTCTGCCCAGCCATATCACTTCCTGTCTCAACCTTCCTAGTGCTGGAATTAAAGGTGTGTGATCCCAAGTGCTGGGATTAAAGGTGTGTGCCACCACTGCCTGGCTCTGTTTCTCTTTTGGACTGGATTGATCTGTGTAGACCAGTGTGTCCTTGAACTCACAGAAATCCAGATGGATCTCTGCCTCTGCCTCCCGAGTGCTAGGATTAAAGGTGTGTACCACCACTGCCTGACCTCTATGGCTAACTCTGGCTAGCTCTGTCCTTTGGTCTTCAGGCAAATTTTATTTCTTAGATTACAACTATATCATCATCACAGATGGGTTTGTTTGTTTTGAGGTAGTGTCTTGTGTTGCCAGGGCTGACCTCAGATTCACTACATAGCTGACCTTGAACTGATCCTCTTCATATGTGATGACAGAGATGGGCTATCATTGCCTGTTATCACATGTGTGACATTTGAACTGATCAGTCTCAATATGTAGTTTTATCATGTACTTTGGATTGTTTCAAAGCAGTATGACTCTGACAAAACACTAGTTTTATGTGTTTCATGTCTGTTATTATTAACTTGTATTAAGTCCTGTTGCCTCTGATTGTCATTTTGTTTTATTTTAATGTGTATGGGTGTTTTGCCTGTGCATGTATGTCTGTGTATGTTTGGTGCCCATGAAGGCCAGAATAGCATTTTAGATCCCCTAGAATTAGAGTACAGGTGGGTTCTGGGAATGAAACCTGGGTCCTCTGGAAATACAAGCAGTGCTCTTAACTATGGAGCTATTTATTTATTTATTTATTTATTTATTTATTTATTTATTTATTTTTGTTTGATGTGCATTGGTGTTTTGCCCGCATAAATGTAGCAGGGCATCAAATTCCCAAGAATTGGAGTTACAGACAGTTGTGAGCTACCATGTAGGTACTGGGAATTGAACCTAGGTCCTTTGGAAGAACAGCTGGTGCTCTTAACCACTGAGCCATCTCTCTGGCCCCATGCTGTTTTATTTCCTGGTGCAAGATCTCATACTGTAACCCAGCCTGTCTTGGAACTTAATATGTGGTCTGAGCTGGCTTCAAACTCATGGAGATCCTCTTGCCTCTGCCTCCTGGATGGGAATACAGGTAAAGTGTGACCCACCATTCCAACCAAGTTCATTATTTTAAAGTTGGATTTTTGTTTGTTTGGCTTTTATAATTATAATTTTTTATTTTTTGAGATTATAATATAGTGTGTATGTGTTTTCAGGGTTAAAGTGTTAGGTTTTTTGTTTGTTTGGTTGGTTTTTTGAGACAGGGTTTCTCTGTAGCCCTGGCTGTCCTGGAACTGCTCTATAGACCAGGCTGCAGAGATCCGCCTGCCTCTGCCTCTGGAGTGCTGGGATTAAAGGTGTGTACTACCGATGCCCAGTGTCTTAAAGTGTTTTCACCCTTATTTGGAGTGGAGGAAATTAGATTTACCATGGGGAACTTGGCAAACTGCATCAGAAGAGTAGTGGTTTCCACTGTTCCTTTTTTCTCTCCAGCTTCCCATTGATCGTGGTGGAGGTGAAGGAAAGGCCATGTACATTGACACTGAGGGTACATTTAGGCCAGAACGGCTGCTAGCAGTGGCTGAGAGGTAGGTCACTAAATTAGAAGAATGTGTTTAACTTGTTACTAGGGTATTTTAAAACGTTAATTTGCCTAGAAAGTGTCTCATTACTCTACATCCCAATTGTCTGGTTTAAAAGAACTATTAATAATGTAAGACATTCTTTACTCAACACTGTAAGATCTCACAGGCTAAATAAAAAACATGATTCAACTGACAGGTTGAAAATGAAAAGCTTGAAAAAGATAACACAATCAGGAACCATAAGAGAAATTAAAAGACTGCAGCAGCACCCCTCAAAGAAAACTACTAAAGTCGAGAAAACCCTTTTTTTTTAATGTGTTCATTTGTATAGGCGTGGGCATGCCCACCCATGGTGTGCATGTGGAAGCCAGAGGACAGCTTCTGGGAGTGAATTCCTCCTTCCACCGTGTGGGGTCCAGGAACTGAGCTCAAGTTTGGTGCCAATCTTCTGAGCCATCTCATTTGCCCTGGAAGAACTTTTATAATTAAAAGATCAGTTCATTAGGAAGGCATGACAATTATAAACATAATTAAGAATAATTTTTTAGTTTGTATGTGTGAGTGTTACCTGTATGTGTGTCTGTGTACCGTGTGTAAGGATTACATATGGACTCCAGAAGAGGGTGTCAGATACTCTGGAACTGGAATTATAAATGGTTGTGAGCTGGGGCCGGGGGTGAGGGGTGGCTAAGCCTTTAATCCTAACATTTGGAGGCAGAGGCAGGTGAACCTCTTTGAATTTGAAAAACAAAACAATACATGGTTGAGAGCCACCATGTGAGTGCTGGAAGCTAAACCCAGGTCCTCTACAAGGGCAGTAATCACCAATATCTTTTTTTTTTTCCCCTAGACAGAGTTTCTCTGTGTAGCCTAGGCTGTCCTGGAACTTGCTCTATAGATGAGGCTGGCCTTGAACTCACATAGGTCTACCTGCCTCTGCCTCCTGAGTGCTAGAATTAAAGGTATGCTCCATCACCACCTGGCCCAATATCTTTTAATATCCAAGATTATGGGCTGGAGAGATGGCTCAGAGGTTAAGAGCAATGACTGCTCTTCCAGAGGTCCTGAGTTCAATTCCCAGCAACCACATGGTGGCTCACAACCATCTGTAATGAGATTTGGTGCCCTCTTCTGGCCTGCAGTCATACATGCTGTATACATAATAAATAAATAAATCTTAAAAAAAATTCCTATTAAAAAAAATACATATATATCCAAGATTACATCACCAAATTGAAATTTTTTAGAATCTATATATCATGTCAAAATTCTAACAAGCTTTTTTGCAAATTGACAAACTCATGATTTATGTAGAAAAATCTAGAGTTTCATTTATTTATGTTTATTTATTTATTTGTGTCTGAGGGTGGGTAGGTGTTTTGTCTGCATGTGTGTCTGTGCACCATTCTTTGCCTTCAGAAACCAGAAGAGGGCATTGGCTATCCAAAACTGGAATTTTGGTCTATATTATGGTTGTGAGTCACTGTAGAGTGCTGGGAATTGAACCTAGGAAGACTCTCTGGAAGAACAGCCACCATTCTTAATCACTGAGCCATCTCCAGCCCAAATTCTCAACTTAAAGCTCATTATAAAACTACAGGAGTCATTACAGATGATTATAACTTAAAAATAGATATGCAGCTGGGCGGTGGTGGCGCACGCCTTTAATCCCAGCACTCGGGAGGCAGAGCCAGGCGGATCTCTCTGAGTTCGAGGCCAGCCTGGACTACCAAGTGAGTTCCAGGAAAGGCGCAAAGCTACACAGAGAAACCCTGTCTCGAAAAACCAAAAAAAAAAAAAAAAAAAAAAAAAAAAAAAAAAAAAATAGATATGCAGCTAGGGATATAGCTCAGTGCTAAAGTACTTATCTAGCTTACATGAGACCCCACCCAGCTTGATTCTCAGTACTGAAAAAAAAAGGTATGTATAGGGAGAGTTACTCAGCAGGTATAGTGGCAAGAGTCAGACAGGCAGATCTCTAAGCTGAAGGCCATCCTAGTCCAAAGGGTACATAATAAGACCGGTTCTCAAAAATAAAAAAATAGATGAATAAGATCAGTGAATGCCAGGCGGTGGTGGCGCACGCCTTTAGTCCCAGCACTCAGGAGGCAGAGGCAGGCGGATCTCTGCGAGTTTGAGGCCAGCCTGGGCTACAGAGTGAGATCCAAGAAAGGCACAAAGCTCCACAGAGAAACCCTGTCTCGAAAAACCAAAAAAAAAAAAAAAAAAAGAACTAAATATAAAGTTTAAAATAAAACTTTTAATTTATAGCCACTTGATTTTTTTTTTTAATTATCTATTTGGTTGTTTTGGGTTTGGGGGAGTTTATTTTTGTTTTTTTTTTTTTTTTTAGGGTTTTGTTTTGAAACAGGGTTTCTCTGTTGACCTGGCTGTCCTGGAACTGATATGTAGACCAGGCTAGCCTCAAACTCACAGAGATCCTTTTGCTGATGCCTCCCATGTGCTGGGATTAAAGGCGTGCACCGTCATACCCAGTTTATTAGGATGGTTTTAATTAAAAAAAAAACAAAAAGGAAGAAAGAAAGAGTAAGAACCAGAGTCTCCCAGACAGTTCTCTAAAATACTATGCAAGTGTTAGTTACACATCTTGCTGGAACAAAGGGGTTTCTTCACTGAGAACAAAGGCTCTCCAGAAGTTCCCTACACTTCTGGGTTCTACACTTTTTTACAAGTTTTACTTTAAATGAGGACCCTGAGGCACAGAGGCAAAGGGACTGATACTGAGAACAGACTTTGGGGAGAAACATGGACCAGAAAGTCATCACTCCTCTTTTCTGTATCTTCTGGCTGGCCCCCAAATCTCAGAGATCCACCGTCCTCTACCTCCTGTGTGCTTCTTTTGTAAGACTATAAATTCCTTTAGGGAAAACAATGAGCTTCTACATCTTTCCATCGAATTTTGTATATTAATCAAGTACTGAATAAATACTGTTACTTTTATCCACACCCCAAACAATGAGAAACGTATCCAATCATTTTTGACCCAAGTAACGTTCTGTTGTCCACAGTTTTTCTCTTATTTAATAATCCAGAAGATAATGTTACGACTAACAAAATGATTAATTGGGTAAAGGCATTGTTGTTAAGCCTGACTCCCTCAGCTCAATCCCCAGCACCCACAAGGTAGAAGGAGAAAACAGACTCCTGGGGGTTGTTCTCTGACCTCCACACATGTCATGCAGTGTACAACAACATGATTTTTTTTAATTTTTCAATTTAAAAGGTATTTAAATGAAATTTAATGGGCTCTAATTCTTTGGGAGCTTGTGTTCATGATTCCATCATAAGGATAAAGAGAGGGAGAGTATTATCTTAGGGTTGGGGGTCAAGTAATAATCTAGTACTCAGGAGGCAAAGGCAGGCAAAGTCAGCCTGCTCTACAGAGCAAGTTCCAAGACAGCCAGAACTACAGAGAAACCCTGTCTCAAAAAAGACAGAAGACCAAAACAATGGACCTGGCATAGTGGTACAAGTCTACAATGCCTAATACTTGAAGTTGGAGGCAGGAAGATCAAGAGTTCTAGGCCAGCCTCAGCTACATAGTGGCATTCAAGGCCATATTTGGGCTGAGAGAATGTCTCAAACAATGTAGGTATGATAATGCACTCAAAATCTAACCACACCAGAGGCAGAGAAAAAAGTATTGAGTTTCAGGATACCCTGGGCTACACAAGAGTTCTAAGCAAGCCTGAGCTACATAGTTAGACCCTGTATCAAAACAACCAAGGGCTGGACATGTTGGTACAAGTCTTTAATCCCAGCATTTGGGAGACAGAGGTAGGTGGATCTGAGTTCCAGGCTGGCCTTAAACACAGACCCTGTTTCAAAAATGGGTGGGGGCAGGTACCAAAACAAGTTTTTCCATTTTTTCTTCTCCAGTGTTAAGACTCAAGCCAAGTTTAGAAACACAAAAGGAAGAGAATTAAATCTGTTTTAGTAGATTAGTAGAGGTGAAGGGAAGCTGGCAGAGTGTGGCATGTGGGCACTTGTTATCCAGCTGCCCTGGAGACTGAACCCTGAGAATTCCTAGAGCCCAGGAGTTTGAGGCTAGCCTAGGAAACAGTCATACACCCTCTAGAAAAGTTCCCAGAAAAATTTATAGCAGGCATTTGGCTGAGTCCTCATAGATGAATAATCAAGAGGGAATCTCTCCTGTTGTTACATATTTACTAAGACTGAAATTGTTGGGCCAGGCATAGTGAGGCATGCTTTTCTTTAATTCTGTCACTCCAGACATAGGCAGATGTCTGAGTTCAAGGCCAGCCAGGGTGACAACATGGTGAGGCCCCAGGGAGAGAGAGATTGTGCCACTTTGAGCATTTATGTCTTAGGTGGCAGTTACAAAGTGGAAGGAAATACAGATCATTCTATGAAAATAGATATATAATGTGCTCTTTTTAGCTGCAAAAGAAAGCAGTCTTTGAGGCATAAATATTAAAGTATTCATTTAACATAACTAATCTTTGAATGGTTTGTTATTTTTGTTTATCCTAATTCTGTAGTTCGTGGCTTTTCCAAGAGAATATTGTTACCTCATACTTGGAAATTTCTCATTGTACTTAGGAGGGCAAAAGAATAAATTTGATGTATCCTTAGGTCTTGCTTCTAGTCTAAAATAGTTGGTGCTGTCGTCTCTATAAATGGTTTGCCTATACCTCTAATAGAAAGGGACTCATATTTGTGAGTCTTGAAACCACTGGGAACACTACTTCTTAGCTATTTGGATAATAGAAATATTAGGTATTGCCGGGCAGTGGTGGCGCACGCCTTTAATCCCAGCACTCGGGAGACAGAGGCAGGCGGATCTCTGTGAGTTCAAGGCCAACCTGGTCCAGGACAGGCACCAAAGCTACACAGAGAAACCCTGTCTTGAAAAAAAACCAAAAAAAAAGGAATATTAGGTATTAATTTCTCATGTATTTGAGTTCTGTCTGAAGCCTAAAAATCTCTTTTCTAGATACGGTCTCTCTGGCAGTGATGTCCTAGATAATGTAGCTTATGCTCGAGGGTTCAACACAGACCACCAAACCCAGCTCCTTTATCAAGCATCGGCTATGATGGTAGAATCCAGGTACGCATTCAGTAAAAGACGTTAAATCTCTCCCCATAGCCCTTTACCTGAATCAAGGTAATATGAATAGAAACAGGATAAAAATAGAGATTTAAATTTCAAGAGCTATTTTTGTGTGTAGGGTTTTTTTTCTCTTTTGGTTTGGTTTGGTGTGGTGGGTTTTGTTTGTTTGGTTGGTTGGTTGTTTTTTGGGGGCAGAGGGGTTTTTAGGTTTTTTTCAAGACAGGGTTTCTCTGTAGCTCTGGCTGTCCTGGAACCTGCTCTGTAGACCAGGCTGACCTTGAACTCAGAGATCCTCCTGCCTCTGCCTCCCAGTGCTGGGATTAAAGGCGGACACCAGTACTGCCCAGCTTTGGTTTTTGTTTGTTTGTTTTTAATATAATATAGTGATACTTTTTTTTTTAGTTTTGTTTGCTTTTAAGATTTATTAAAAGAGCCGGGCGGTGGTGGCTCACGCCTTTAATCCCAGCACTCGGGAGGCAGAGCCAGGCGGATCTCTGTGAGTTCGAGGCCAGCCTGGGCTACCAAGTGAGTTCCAGGAAAGGCGCAAAGCTACACAGAGAAACCCTGTCTCGAAAAACCAAAAAAAAAAAAAAAAAAAAGATTTATTAAAAGATTATTAAAATTTACTTAGGTGTTTTTTTCTGTGAATGTATGGCTCATGTCTGGGAGACTTATAGAAGTCAGAAGAGGACTCGAATCCCCTGGAGCTGGAGTTCCAGGCCGAGCTACCCAGTATGGGTGCTGGGAAACAAACTTGGGTCCTCTAAAAGAGCAGACAGTGCTCTTAACAGCTGAGCCATCTCTCCAGTCCCCAGTTCCTTTCTTTTAAAAATGTTTTTGTGTGTATTTGGTGTGTGACATGTGTAAGTGTTTATGTGTACACACACATACATGAGTGTGGGCTTGCATATGAAGTGACTCACATGTGCAGGTTAGAGGACACTTTTGGACGTCAGTTCCCACTCTCCACCTCATTTGAGACAGCATCCCTTCATTGTCCTCTGCTGTGTATGCCAGGCTGGTGTCCATAGGCTTCTAGATTGCAAACACATGCTCCCTTGGCTGGCTTACGTGGGCTCTGGGAATTTAAACTGGGGTCCTCCCACCTACATGACAAGTGCTTTACCCGCTATCCTCTCTGCTCTTCAGTTCTTCTTCTGGCACAGTTGCTTTATGGTTTCAGTCAAGTCACTAGTGAAAGACGAAGCTATGGCTGGAGGTATAGCATTTTTCTACAAATGTTTCCCTTTGTAAGAGTTGCTGTGGTCATGTGTCTTTTCACAGCAATAGAAACCCCGAGACACCTGCCAAAAACAACAGAAGGTACCCACCAAAGGGTGTCTCGGGTTGGACATTTTATAAACATTTTAATAAAACGTGCGTTTGTGTTTGAACTAGGAAGTTGGTGTCAGTAGCTCATCTGTTTTATCCTCGCAGTTGGGAGACTGAGACAGGAGGATCATATATTTCAGAACAGCCTGGGCTGCATAAGTAACAAACCCCAGTCTCAAAAAGAAGAAAAGTGGAAAATATGGAATACATATAAACTTTTAGGGTGGTGGGGAAGGGAGGTTTTGACAAAGAATTCTTTTTTCTTGTAGGTACGCACTGCTTATTGTGGACAGCGCTACTGCCCTCTACAGAACAGACTACTCAGGTCGAGGAGAGCTTTCAGCCAGGCAAATGCATTTGGCCAGATTTCTGAGGATGCTGCTGCGACTTGCTGATGAGGTAAGCTGTAGTAAAGAAACCAAGAATTCAATGGCTTTCAGTGGTTACAAATTGCTGGAGCCTTCTGAGGACGTAAGTACCTTGTATTATCAAACATGAACGTTAGTTAGCCATTGCTTTGTTGTGAGCATTAATGGTTTGGTATGTCTGTGGTAAAAACTGACATTTTTTCCCTCATCAGTTTGGTGTAGCCGTGGTAATCACCAACCAGGTAGTAGCCCAAGTAGATGGAGCAGCCATGTTTGCTGCAGATCCCAAAAAACCCATTGGAGGAAACATCATTGCCCATGCATCAACAACAAGGTAAGGTGATGGCAGAGGCTTTCTGGAATGGGTATGATAGAGACATAAGAAAACACTTCCACTTAGTCCCTATTAAACCCTATTAAAATTGCTGCAGTATAAACACTTAGGAAGCCTCACTAAATTTGTTGTGCTTTGGTTGATACAAGTGTTTGCTTTGCAGATGGAGAGATGGCTCAATGATTATGATCATGTTCTGATCTTGTAGAGAACCTAAGTTGAGTTCTCAACACCTCCATGAGGTGCTCACAACCTCCTGTAGCTCCAGCTCCAAGAGATCCAGCAACTCTGGCCTCCGACAGGCCCCTGCCCTCATATGCACATAGCCACATACAGACACAAATGCCTAGATCTAATTAAAATCTCCCAAGTGTGAAAAAATACATGAATATTTGATATGCCTCCCTAATTATAAAATAATGTTTTTCTTCAAGCTTTTCAATAAGAGAGTCGTGGCAGAAATGGATTCCTCCAAGTTGGAGGTAGCCAAATACACTAAAAAAGTTCCTAAAAATCCCTTTAGGAAGTTAGGCATGTCTGAAACAGTTCTGTCATAGGAATAGAATTGTTTATAACTTGGTGTTTGTCTGTCTTTGGGTCAGGCTGTACTTGAGGAAAGGAAGAGGGGAGACCAGAATCTGCAAAATCTACGACTCTCCCTGTCTTCCTGAAGCTGAAGCCATGTTTGCCATTAACGCAGATGGAGTGGGAGACGCCAAGGACTGAGTCATCAGGGCCGTTTTTTCTGTGATACACTTTTAAATGCTGTACAGTCTAATGAAGAGGGCAGCTCCCTGGGCTTCTTCAGGCTCTTCCTGATGTGACCGCCAGGACATGGCTTCCGGGAAAACAATTACTGTATCTGCTTTCTGGTGGCAGAAACAGGAGACGGGTCAGAATTCAAACTGATCTGAAATGTTCATTTCTTATAGTTTATTTCTTATAGAGTATATCAATGTCTGATTTCTTTGATGTTTGGAGGAGAGATATGAAATAACAGCTATCAGACAATCTTATGTTTCAAGAGAAGTAAAACTGGAAAGACCTGAGTCTTCTCTCACTTCTCAATGATGGTAAAATAAAATGCCTGAGATGTGACAGGGAATGGGTGCTTTCCACATTCTTTTTCTCTATACGTAAGATGCAAATTTTAAAAGTACATGCCTGGACTCTCACATAATTTAAAAAATGATTGTGGTTAAGGAGTCTTGCATGAGGCATGCTAGACTATCAGTCCTATAGTGCTTCTTGTTCTGGAGACATTTATCTAAATTGTTCTGTTATTAAAAAAACCTGATAAATCAAGAAAGAGGCAGACGCCAGGCAGAGTGGCACACCTTTAATCCCAGCATTGGGGAGACAGAGGCAGGTGGATCTCTGAGTTCAAGGCCAGCCTGGTTTACAGAGTGAGTTCTAGAACAGTGAGGGCTACACAGAGAAACCCTGTCTCAAAGCAAGCAAACAAACAAAAAAATATAGGCAGAGGAACAACCAGTTGACCACAATTCCCAGATCAAAAAAGCCCATGAATCTTTCTAAGCCCCTCCCTACTCCTTCCGGTCCATCTCTGAAGAATCCTGGGTCCTCAAATCTCCATGGCTAATTTGGTCAGCTGGTTGCTGACTTCACCTCCTGATTCAGGGTTAACTATATTAGTAGCCTCAGAGTGTCACGGTGCAATTAAATATCCCAAAACATGTTCTTTTAATTACTAAGACTTCACTTAAGCAAATTCGTTCTGCAGCTGTTAATAAGGTAGTTGTGTGCAGTACATGTGCTATATCTACGAGTCATTCTCATGCCAACTGAGTACTGCAAAATAATCTCCATAATCTTTCAGAACTGAGCAGTTATGACCAATTGCTATAGTTGTAAGATTTGAAAACTAAAGAAAGCCTACATTTTCAAATTGCTGCACTTGTATCCTTTGGCCTAGGAGTGAGATTCTAGGCTGATTTACTATGTCTTTGTTTTCATTCTCTAAGTCTTGTGTTGCAGAGGTCTGACATTGGCCAAATGATTCTACTTTCGGAATATTTTCAGAAACTATGGTCTCCTTTTGGGTTCTTGAGTCTAATTAATAAAGAATTTTAAAACAGATTTGGAAGGAAGCTCAAAAGCAATTTTATTCAAGTTTAAGAGAAAAGCAATAGAATGGGTAAGCTGAAAATGCTAGCAGCTTCTAAGAGGTAAAGAGCTGGAGAAGTAGTCGTGTTTTTTAAGTTAGGCATGGAGATGGGAGAGACAGTAAGGAGGCCCAGGAAGTCAGGGGAACAGGTTCAAGGTTCTGGCTGGTATCTAGGGGGGGAATTAGATATATATGAAAACCAACCCAAGCCTCTGACCTGAGTTTCGAGGGCACTGGCTTCATCTCAGGACAGGATCACAGCAGTGACCAAGGCTAGACCTACTTTATCCAGGAAGTTAAGGCACTGCGGGCTCCGGGGACATGGCTCAGCAGGGGAAAACGCTGCTTGCCTGTCAGAGGACTGAGTTCCCAGCACCCAGAGCGGGTAGCTCACAAAGAGCTTTTACTTCAGCTCCAGAGCAATCTAGCACCTTCACACAATTTTTTTTAATGTGTTTTTCCTGTATGTGTGTATGTACTACATGTATGCCTGCATGGTGCCCATGGAGATAAGTCATCAAATGTCCTGGACCTGGAGTTACAGATGTTTTTGAGTCACCATGTGGGTACTGAGAACTGGGCCTGGGTCCTCTGTAAGTAGCAAGTGTCTATAACCACTGAGCCATCTCTACAGCTGCTGCTGCTAATGTTTATGGTGGGGGGCTGGGTATGGTTCGACATGCCTTTAATCTCAGGAGGCAGGTAGATCTCTGAGTTCCAGGGCAGCCAAGTCTACAGGGAAGAGGAAAGGGGTCTCTGCTCCAGGCCATCATTTCTGGAATGCAGTGGGCGACCTCTGTGTAAACAAACGTTTTCCTGAGCAGGGGGATTAAAACATTTGCATGAGAAACTTACAGAGTGGTGAAATAAAGATTAGAATTTTTGTCCTAAACCCAAGTTTCAATAGAATTTGATAGAAAAGACTATTTCTTGCTGCTGAAGAGATAGTTTAGCGGTTAAGAGCACTTGGTGCTCTTCCAGAGAACTTGAGTCTGATTCCCAGCACCCACGTCACATGACTCAGAAAGCTTGTAACTCAGCCTCCAGACCCAATTCCCTCTCTGGCCTCCCTCAGGCAAACACACGGGACATACACTCACACATAAATAAGTCTAAAATTTTTTTGCTGAAAAGGTAAGAAGCCCAAATGTTTGGTGCACATGCTTTTTGTCTTCAGTTTCCTCTGTGGAAGGAAAAATACTCTCAAGTTGTCAAATAATGGAAACAGACAACATATCCTTCTAATCAAATTTAGTTTATTTCAAATTTGTACCAAAAAATATTCCAGGCACCTCTTCAGGTCACTTCCAAAATATATTTTTAAACCCTTGGCCGATGCTGCCATCCCAGAAGCTGCCAGAACCCTGGAAGTCACATGGTCCAGCCCTCACCCCAAGAATACAGGTACAGTCTACATGATGGGTGGTAAGAGGGCAGTGGCTGGGCTATGCTGGCGGTTCCTCTTGTCTTCATGGGCAGGGAATGACTTTAGGACAATAAATATGAATATTAGCAAAGAAGGTTACAAGTCCTACGCTTGGTTGCCGTGGCTCTTCGGTGTTCATCTATCTCACTGGCGGTTGAAAGACAGTTCTGCTACTCCGTCCTCAGCTCTGGGCCTTCTGGGCTGTTCTCCACACTTAACTCTATGGCTATACAGTCTTGATTTCTCAGGAATTCACTTAAGAGTTAGAAAGCAGAAACCTAAGCAGCAAGTTCATCCCCAATTTTAGATTAAGAGATTATAATAAATTAACTGATAACATAGAAAGTTGAGGGATGATGGTAGTAGCAGTCAGACCTCAGGGATCAAGACATCCCCTAAACCAGTCTTGCTTGGTTTCCTGAACTCAGTGGTGTCACAGGGGGGGAAAGGCAACTTGATTTTCTTTTCTCTGTTTAAGTAGTAGCCCCCAAGTCACTGGAATGTGATTATTTTTCTAAAATTATTTCCAATTCTTCTAGGTCTTTTTGGAAAACTGAATCCTAGGAGACAAAACAAATCAAGTACAGAATCAGAATTAAGCTTTCCCCCAGTCACTAGACCCTGACAAGGGCCCTTTGCTTCTATACTGAGCTGTTACCAGTCTTCCTCCGAACTTTCCCTATGGTAGCTTGGAGTCTATGCAATCTGTCTCTTCCTTACACACCTCAAGTAAAGGAGGAGACAGATCGCATAGCATGTAGGAGACTCCACATAAAATGGTAAACTTTCTTTCCTGGGAAAGGTGACTCTGTGGCAGAAATCAGTATTTAAAGGCTCTTTTAAAAAATTTTACTGGCCGGGCGGTGGTGGCGCACGCCTTTAATCCCAGCACTCGGGAGGCAGAGCCAGGCGGATCTCTGTGAGTTCGAGGCCAGCCTGGTCTCCAAAGCGAGTTCCAGGAAAGGCGCAAAGCTACACAGAGAAACCCTGTCTCGAAAAACTAAAAAAAAAAAAAAAAAAAAATTTTACTGGAGCATGGTGGGGAGGTGGGCAATACGTAAAGCATTTGCCATTTTGGTATTGGGATGTGAATGCAGACCCAGAACACATATCAAAGCCAAGTGCAATGACACAGCTGACCTAGCCAGGGTTGTTAAGGGAGATGAGAGAAGAAGATGGAGAATCAATCCCCTGAAGCTCTGGACAGCTAGCTGAAGATGCACAGTGATGGATTACAGAGACCCTGTCTCAACGAAGTGGAAGGCGAGGACTGATACCTGAGGGTTGTCCTGACCATGAGTCAAGACATACACATACCATCCACACACAAAGTATTATCAAGCTAAGCTGTGGTATACTGCTGCTACACCTGATCTTAGTACTTGGGAGACTCAGACACGATGGTCAGATGGAGGCCAGCCTAAAAACTACATTTTGAAATGCTGTCTTTAAAAAAAAAATACTATTTTACCTCATTAGTGACATCTGGCAGCTCCTGAGCCAGCTTCATCCACTTTCTAGCTTCAGAGTTTTTTCCTAATTCTCTATAGCACTGAGAAGAAAATTGAAAAGAGATCAGAAAGAAAGACCCATGTATATGTTAGCCCAGAAGCTGAGGATGACAGTGCACACCTTTAATCCCAGCACTCGGCAAGTATAGGCAGGTGTTTTATATCTCAAGACCTTGTCTCAAAAAAAGGGGAAAGGCAGGACAGTGGTGGCACACGCCTTTAATCCCAGCACTCAGGAGACAGAGGCAGACGGATCTCTGAGTTCAAGGCCAGCCTAGTCTACAGAGCGAGTTCTAGGACAGCCCGGGCTATTGCATATAGAAACCCTGTCTTGAAAAACCATGGGGGGAGGAAACAGTGGCTCACAACTAATAACCTCAACATTCAGAGGCAGGAGGATTGCCATGAGTTAAAGGTCAGCTTGAGCAATTGAGAATCTTCTTACGAGTACATCTGATCAATATAGCTCTCAAAAAACAGTATGGCAGAGCATAGACTGTTTAATCCCTACCGTCAAAAGATCCCAGAAATACAACATAAGTATTTCCACCTATGTTGAAGGTGAATTTACCTTAGAAATATATACCCGTCCAGCTTTTGAAAATCCTGGCTGTAACTCTTCAGCCTGGAGAAAAAAGAAACTCACTTTATTAAGAGGTTCATAAATTCAATTCCATCTGAAGTTTAGGTACTAGAAGCTCTACAAAATAATCACAAGATTGATATAGTGTGTCTGGGAATTAATATTTTTATAAACTCCAAATACTCATTTTCCCTCAAAATAGGTAAATACAAAATTATCCTCAACTAGGAAATACAACTTCACCAGCTAGGATCCCAGGAACAGGCCACTGGCTTCCACCCACCATTCCCCTCTTGCTACCTTTAGGAAGCTCTGGAGCGCGTCCTGCACAGTGGCACTAAGAGGGCTTTCGAACAAGGCTGTAGCCGTTTTTTTTTCCAACCAGCTCAAGTGAGAGACCTGCCACCAAAAAATGAAGGTGTGAATAGGTTTTGAAGACATTTGTTGGGC